ACAGTGGCTTCTTGCATTAAAATCAGGCGCGGATTACCGAGCTTCTCCCCAAGCCAGCTGAGTCAGTTTGGGGAGGAAGGCCCAGAAACATGGAGTGAGAGGGTGCTCACGGCCAGCCCGCCTTGGGCTTTGCTCATCCGGGGCTTCCTGGGCTCGCCCTGAAAAGCCACTGGTTTAGTGAAAAGAACATGAATAGACCTGGTTCCGCCACCTCTGACTCGGGTTAAGTTGCTTGAGTACTTTGAGCCTCCGTTGCCGACCTGCGGGTGGGCTGCACCGCTGCTGCCTTTCGGGGTTGCAGGGGGAGCTGCGGGGGGCGCGTATAAAGGGCCCGGCGCTCTCCTAAATGCTGTAGAGCTCTGGCGGGTGGTGTTTTGGGGGGACGACTGCTGGGGCCAGAGGAGTCGGGGGGCTTGGTGGAAGAGGTGGCACTTGGATTGGCCCTGCGAGCTGGGTGTGCTGTCTCCAGGCAGGTTTGGGCGGAATTGTGCTACATGTTTTTTTCCAGCGGGAGAGGCCTGGGTGGTCTGGTGAGGTGAGGCTAAGAAGTAGGCTGGAGCCCACCGGGGGAGGGGAGCCTGGGACAAAGGTTTGTAGGGTGGCTTCATTCTGCAGCTAGTGTGGGGTCCCGCAGGGTCCTGGTAGAGACGGAAGGCTCAGGGCTGTGTGTGGCTGTGATTTGGTGGCTGAATGTGGCCGGGGACGCCAGCGAGGAGGCGGTTGCTGATGACCAGCTGACAGCTAATTTCTGAAGAAGGCCAGAGCAGTGGGGGGGAGGGAGAGGAGGGCTGAGCCGGCAGCACGTTCACTTTTCTCGCCAGGACTTCAGATTCCATCTGTCCTCTTTAATACCAGCTCCGGGGAGGAGGACTGGCCGTCCAGGTGATCAGAGTCCGGGGTGCTCCCGGGCCAGCCCCGCTAATGCATGGGTTGCCGTGCCTTGTGGCAAGGGCCCCGGTTCCAGATTCCCAGGCCTTCTTGCCGCAGACTAGCCGGGCCTGGCCCCCGGGGGGCAGGTGGCCCCCTTAAGCCGCACACACCCTCCTCCTCGGCAGAGCACCACCACCAACGGCCCTCAGTTTCCTCACAAGCCTGCTCTGGGAATGCAGTTTTCACAGGACTGATTCCCAATCTGTGATGGATTCTTACACACTGATTGATTCAGCTCCTTTGGGAACTCTGGGGGCGGGGGGGGGGGGGCGGGAAGGGTTTGGGCCCTGTGGTTTAAATACTCACCCTTCGTCTCTCGTGTGCTCTGTGTGGAGGGAGGGCTCTGCTGCGAGGCCCATCACCTGTGGGATGAGCGGGCCGGCGGCTGGGTGGGCCTGGAGGGCGTGCATGGGTGGGGGTGACAGCTGCCGCTGCTGCCCACCTGCCTCTGTGCCGGGCACCCACCCACGTTCTCTCACCTGAGCCTCCAGGGCCCATCGCAGCCTGTGTTTTTGGCCCCGTTTACCGCAAAGGAAGCACTCACAAGGACTTCGGTTACCTGTGGTCACCCCGCTAGTCAGCAGTAGGGTCCGGACGCAAGGCCAGCTCTGCCCATCTTCACAGCCTGGGAATATCAAGAGAGGTTTGGGGAAACCACCCAGGTTCTCAATTTTCAGTTCTGATCGTTTTGCTCAGGCGAGACATGCCGTCTCCGTGCCTCCCCTGAACATCTGCGATAACCGCCCTGCTGCCCAGGAGCCCAGGAGCCTTTGCGTTGCCGTGTCCCTGAGGCCGGGCGCTGGCCTCGCCTCCCTGCAGCCGTCCTGCTCTTCACGGAGGCCCAGGGTCCTTGGCCCTGCCCGCTCGTCAGCAGGCGGGCCTCAGTCTCCGCTGGCAGGTCTGGCTCCTGAGGCCTTGAGGAACCAGAGCATGAGCCGGGGCGTTGGCAGCCCGCGTCACACTGGTGTTACATTTGTCTGGTCTTACCAGTAGTGCAGTTGGGCGGACAGTGTAGAACTGGGCGTCTAGCTGACTAGGGTTTGAATTTCAGCGCCAGAAGTGACTCGTCAAGCTTTGTCAACATCTCTCAGCCTCCGTGAGCCTTGGTTTCCCTTCCGTAAAAACAGGACGCTTACCACTGAGCTTGTGTGCAGTCGTCAGGGTCAGAGATGTTTTAAAGTGCCTTGACACCTGCGTGGCCCGCCCGGCTTGAGCCCGGTCAGTGGTAGTTTCCATTAGCAGTGCTCGTAGTAGGTGAGGGACTTCATGCTCTTTGGTGTCCTGACGTTCCTGGAGACCCTGACTGATGCAGCGGGCTCTCCACGACCAAAAATACACACACACAAATTTGCACAGGCTCCCAGGGACCCGCTCAGTGGGCCTCAGGTCAGGAACACCAAATCACGTGTTCCCTGTGGGATTTGGGGAACAGGTCATTTTCAAGTTGTCGACTCTTAGTTTGGGGGACACGTGGAAGAACTTCAGACATGCAAGTTCTCAATTTACATACCTGAATTAAAATTACATAAGCAAACGAAATGGGGGAATGGAGTCAGTTATTGTGGTACACGTGCGTATGCGCTAGAACTTGAACCAGACCTCAAAATAATGAGTCTGATGGGTGTCTGTGCAAAGGAGAGAACGAATCCACGAAGTGATGTGTGTGGACCAGTAATTACCGTGCACATGAATGACACACACCTCTTACTTGGCGTAATGCAGAAATACTTTACGCTTAAAACGTAGCCCGGGTGGCTCAGTCGGTTAAGCATCGAGTCTTGATTTCGGCTCAGGTCATGAGCTCAGGGTCGTGAGATCAAGCCCCAAGTCAGGCTTGGAGCTGAGTGTGGAGCCTGAGATTCTCTCTCCGCCCTCCCTGCCCCCCCAAAGTAGGCATGACCTTGATCTTTTTAGGATGATCTTTCTAGGATGGCAGGCAGATTGATTGTGAATTTAAAGACGTACCTAAATGGCTTAACACAGATTTTGTGGTCCCTTTATGCAGTTTTCCGAGGGAGATCTCTAAAAGCAAGTGTCAGATGACTGTAGATGGATGGGGATCATTTCAAAAGAAATCCAGACCTTGGTCACAGTGTGGAAGAGAGCTGGGGGGCTTGCCATCAGAGCAGGAGCCGGGCAGGTGCTGCCCCTCCGTGACCGTCACTGTGGGCAGGTTACTTTACCTGAGCCTGTTTCCTCATTCGTAACATGGGAGCAGTTCCCCACCCCCCACCCCCCACCCCCAGGCGCTCGCCGAGTGCTGGTCTCGTTATCTAGTGTATTCCCCATTCCCAGGGGATGCTGATAATGTTCTAGGGGCCATGTTTTGAGAATTCTCGTTCTTTTTGGTGGGAAATGGTATTTGGAGACTACAGTCTGGATACTGGGGAGGATGCTGATTTATACTTTCTCAGTGAAAGGAAGGAAATAACAGAAAATAGAAGTTCATGTTGATATTTCCAATTCATATTTACAGTGACATGTTTTAACTTAATTTCATATTTGTGTTGGTATTCTCTTAGACTTGTAGTCTTGGTTCTTATCACAGTAATAATTACTTATTTAATAAATAAATACACACACACACAGTTTCAGAATAACAATACAAACATTATTTCTTCCAACATGATTACTAAGTGTAAGACTTTCTGCAGTAGTCCCTTTGTCCTTGGAGAAATACCTCACTAGGGCAGACCGATCACTCTGCTTTTAAGTTACTGAAATAATTCCTCTGTTTGGTTAACCCATCAACCTGTTATACAGTTAGATTTATTTTTTGTTTGTTTGCTTCTAGTTTTAGGGGATTTTCTATTTTTTAAATAGTCCTCTAAACACTTAAACGGCTTCCATGGTACGTCTGTAAAACGAGTTCTCCTCCCTCCCACCTCATTCTCTCTTTTTTTATTTCCCTGTAGGCCACTTAATTTATTTTGTAGTTGAATGCATGACAGTATGCTGCACATATTTTTTTTTCTCCTGGGGTCCTCTTGACGCCTACCTGAGTGGTATATTCTGAAAAGCTTACTTTAGGTCAGCGTGTTTATAGAATCCTCATTCCTTTCTCTGGATCGCGTCTGAGTGCTCTATTGTGAGAATGTACCTTAGTCTGTTCCTCTCCTGGTGGATATTTGGGTGGTTTCCAGCCTTTTGCTAATATGAATAGTACTTCAGTATTACAAATAGCATTTATCCTGAGGTATAATCACACGGTTTACTGTTGGTTGTGTTTTTTCCCTTAACATTATAACATGAACATGAACATTTTCCATGTTAATTGTACATGTCATTATTTAAGATATATATATATATATATACACACACACACACACATACATAAAAATTGGTTGAAAGTCCTCCGCAATCCCTCTATTCAGGTATGATGCTGTTATTATTTTGATGTGTTTCCTCATAGCCTTAACAACATTTTGTATGAGCATTTAGGAAACAAATGGCATCATATTATATAGTGTCTCGGCTTGTTCAAGACAGCCATATTGTGTCATATGTGTGACACATAATTGTGTCTTTTTTTCTTGAAGATGTTATTTATTTACTCAAGAGAGGGAGAGAGAGTGAGTGAGGTCAAAGTTGGGGGTTGGGGGTGGGGAGGAGCAGAGGGAGAGGGACAAGCAGATTCTGTGCTGAGTGCTGAGCGCGATGCAGGGCTCAATCTCAAGACCCTGAGGTCATGACCTGACTGGAAACCAAGAGTCGGATGCTTAACTGGCTGAGCTACCCAGGCATCCCATAATTGTGCATTTTTTAACGGCATGCTTTTTATAATTAATTCCCTATTTTTTAAAAATACTTAATTCTTGTTGGATGTTTAGTTTCTTTCTGATTTTTCCATAATGTAAATAATGTTGTGATAAATATCTGCGTAAAACTTTTTCCAGATTTCAGCTTATTTCTAAAGCTGGTTTTCATGAGACTTTAAAGAGAGAAGGAAGTGCACGTTTGTTAAATACACCTCTTTGCTTGCTCTTGTATAGATAGCGGTGAGCCCGTGAGAGATGATCATCTTGAAATCTTTGTCAAATAAGTTCTATTTTTTCTTTTTCTTCTGACAGGACCTTAGAAATGAAGTTGAGAAACTACGCAATGAAGTGAATGAAAGAGAGAAAGCCATGGAGAATCGTTACAAGAGTCTTTTGAGTGAAAGTAATAAAAAATTGCACAGTCAAGAGCAAATGATCAGAAGTCTAAGAGGAAGCATCGATCCAGAGGACTTGTTGCTCCAGGTGCCATAACTTCTTTTTTCTATTGTATTTAAGTCTGTTGACTTAGCATAGGCTGTTTTCTTTAAAAACTCTTTTGCATAAATGTTTGTAGAAGCGTAAGGCTGGCAGAAATGACGGTAGTCCTCACTGCTTTCTGTCAGAGCATCGGAGCACCTCAGAGCTTACTTTCTGTCCTTTGGGCATCAGCCACCAGCCAGAAGGGAAGGGACTTATTCTGGGTCCCGACTGAGGCCCTGGCGGCCTGCCTGCCTCACTGAGGTGCTCCTGCTGTGGGCGCCCGCTGCTGTGTGTGCCAGGCCCTCTCACCCCTCCGTGCTTTTCCCTTTTGGACTTGGAATGCCCTCCTTGTCTGATCATGGAGTGAAGTTGCGATTTAGCGCCTGCTGCTAGGTGATCATGATGGATTCAACGCGGGTATTTAACTCTGCTTCCTGCTGGAGCCTCGTTAGCGTGACAGTCAAGGGGTGAAAGGTGCAGGCCCCCAGGACTGAGCACTCTGCTCCATGCCTTTGGGACGAAAGGCCAAGAAGCAAGCTGGTTTATCCTGTGGAGCCCAGAGAGGCTCAGCAGGAAGCGAAAGGATCTGGTCCCTTTTTACCCAGGAGATTTGGCTGGAATGCTGGGCAGTCCAGGGACCTTGTTCTCTTCACTAGCAGGAGGAGGTGGTGGTGGTGGTGGTGGTGGTGGTGGTGGTGAGGATTCTTCTCTAGTGACCTTAAACCAGAGAAGCTCTGGCCTGGGGGTCACCAGATGCAGCTGCAGGCAGGAGTGGGTTTCTTGATAAAGATGGGAGTGGAAGTGTGCATCCCCGGCACTGAGAGTCCTCTCGGGAGAAAAGACAGATGGGCGTCTTCAACAGAACAAGCACATCCTCACCTGGTCCTCTCCCACTGAGCCTGCCGCTGATGTGCTCTTTCCACACTTAGAACTTCTGAGCACCTTTATCTTTAAAGGTAGATGGACAGCCTGAGCTCCCCACACGGGAACAGTGTGCAAGAGGAAAGACAGACAGAACAAGGCTAGGGAGAGACAATAGAAGTGGGAGGATGAGAAGCAACCAGACAGCTTTTCAAAGAAGTCGACGCTATAACATCTTTAGATAAGAATTAAGATCAGGATCTGATTAAAAAACAAAAAACAAAAGACAACAAACTTGGGAAAGAAGAATGAGCTACTGGAGATTGGAGGTTTGATCACATATATAAAGAGTTTAATAGGTGGCGCCTGTGTGGCTCACTCGGTTAAGCATCTGACTCCTGATCTCGGAACGGGTCTTTCTTAGTCTCAGGGTCATGAGTTCAAGCCCTGTGTTAGGCTCAGGTTGGGTGTGGAGCCTACTTAAAAAAAAAAAAAATTAACAGGAGATTAGAGATGCAGGAAGATCAAGGTGAGTGAGATAAACAGGCGAAGAAATGAAAGGGAGAAGCCAGGGACTCTAGTATGTGACTGCCCGGGGCTCCCGAGAGACGGGACAGGCAAAGCAGAGGGAAGGAAACCCTCAGAGCAATAGGAGAGCTTCCGAGTGGAGGGCAGACTCCTCTGCGTTGAAAGGTCCCTGGGTTTCTAGCACATGATGGGGAGACACCCACACCCCAAGGCACGTCCTTGTGAAATCACAGCACACGGGGATAGAGAGGATCTGGAAGGTTCTAGAGCGAGCTGCAAAGGACCCAGATGCGGAATGACATCAGAATTTTCAGCAGCGACGCTGGAGGCCAGAGGCAGGAGAGCAGGCTTCCCGGTCGCTGAGGAAGAGCGGTGTCCAGCCCAGCATCCCGTGCTCCGCCCAGCTGGCAGCAGGAGTGAGGGCAAACAAAGGCATTTCCCAATGTTTGGCGCCTGAAATCCTCTGCCTCGCAGGTGCCTCCCTTAGGGAACTCCACGCAGACCCGTCCAGTGATCCCATACAGACGAGGAAGAGACCCGAAAGGAGAGACACGGGATTCTCCGGGGACGCGGTGACGGAAGGGCCCAGGATGCAGAGAGCTTGTATTTGAGCTCTTGAGACAGAGGCCGCAGTTGGGATTTCTCCAAGAAGTGGAAACGGAACCCATCAGTTACCTGAGGTGTCTGACTCCATCTAGAGGCATTTTTAAGTCCCTTTAGAGTGTTTAGAGATAAATCTACAGTAAGTACCTAATTTTAGTTTTATGAACTAAGTGAATGAATAGAACAAAGCAGTTGTCACTAATTCCAAGGAAATCAAAGAAATGAACAGAAAGGAAGTGTAATCACGGGAGGCTAGACGGGTGAGTCGTGCATAGTGTGCGCGTGGTCGAAATGGTATGAATGTGGACCATCGATGGAACTGAAATCGTGTTGTAGCTATCAGGAAAAGTGCTGAGGGGGGCAAGAGCTAAACCCTTCAACTTCTGTGGTAGGAGCCAGGGGATAAATCCTACCTTAAGAAGTCAACGGGACGCCTGGTGGCTCAGTCCGTTGAGCGTCTGACTCTTGATCTTGGCTCAGGCCTTGACCTCAGGGTCATGAGTCATGAGTTGAAGTCCCGTGCTGGGTTCCACGCTAGGCAGGGAGCCTGCTGCAAAAAGAAAAAAAAGTCAAGCAGGGTGAGAGTAGCAATGTGATGTGAATACAGGAGGGGCGGAGCAGTTGGGAGTCTCCTTCCTGGGAGTGGGACCCGGAGGGGAGAGTGTGAGGTAGGGGGCCCCTGTGTTCCACGAGAGCGGCGCGGTGCTATTTGTTAGACAACGTGTAGGTACAGTCGGGCTTTTAGAAAAGGAAAACGGAAAGTATGAGTCAAGCACAGCTGGATTATGACAGTTCTAGAAAGGTAGTGTTGGTTATTTGCTTTCTAGTTTTTCCTGTCACAGTTTAACAGGTTTTTATAAAAAGTTGCCCCGTGTCTTTCATGTTTGTTTTCATCTAGGTCCTCATAGAAGTTTGACATGGTAAAGTGATTCTGATAGGTACTTAGGAAGAAGGTGTTGTTCTTGCCCTTAATTTCTGACCTAGTAGGACAGAGACATCATTGAGGAGTTACCAGGTTTTCAATAGTTAGGGATGTATCGACCTGGGCCTTAGGACCAGACAAACCATGTCTAGCCCTGCTGTGCGGCGGAATGCCAGATCTGCTGAGGGGGTCAGCGAGGGAGACTGTGCATCACCACGAGGGACCTTCGAGACGTGACCAGACCCCATAAACGTATTCACAGCCTTTCTTCCTGGAAGTCCAGTCTCCTCTTGGTACAGATGGGTCAGGTGTTGTCAAATCTGTCCTGTTCTGAAAGAGGCTCCGATTTGTTGGCTTGTGATACACGGTTCTTCTAATCACTTGCAGTAGCCCCGTAGGATGGCGGGCAGACCCGAGGTCATACCCTGGCTCAAGGGGACCCAGGATGAGAACCCTGTCCCGTGGGGCCAGGGCCCGGGCTCGGTCCTCCGTACCCGCTGGGCGGCCGTCGGGGTCGGGGGAGAAGGGTGCCTTGTAAAAAATTGTAAAAAATATCCTCCATTAGAGAGTTTTGGAGGGTCTGTTAGTATTTTTTCTCTTGAGCAAACTTGCTCATGATTTGTTTTGTTTCCTTAGGAATTCAGCGAAAAAGATTCGGGAGCCGTACAGCCGACTCGCCCTTCACAGAGTGGGGAGGAGCTCAGGGCCAGGAGTGGCGACTCAGCAGCAAAGTGCTCTTTACAGCGCTCACCAGGCAGCAACCGCATCTTCTCGGAGGTAAGCTTGCCTGGACTGGGACCTCCGCGGGCGACTCCGTGTTCCTTCTGACACGTGTGTGGCGACTGCTGTCACGGAGAGCCCCTCCGAGGCCTTCTTGCCAGCGACTGAGCCGATGAGAGGTAGGAGGAGGGCTCTTAGTCGGCCCGCCTTACAGGTTCATGCCCTTCGGCTGAGTGTTGCTATTTCCACCACACAGGAAACTGGTAAATCACAGCCCGTTAGAGATGAGCCTCTCGCACATTTGCTGTCCCGGGGTTCACCTCTCAAGAGCCGTGTCATCTGTGCATGTAATTTCTACGGCAAGATTTTCCTGTTCAAACACACAGAAACCAGCAGGTCCTTCCTGGTCTGGCCTCGGGTCACCCTCCGTCATCCCTAACTACAGCTGACTGCTTGCAGATTCCTTGCACCTGTCCCCTTTGCACCTGTCCCCCTTGCACCTGAGCACCTTTGCATTTGCTGCTCCGTCTGCCTGGAATGGCTTTTCTCTCCTTGTTTCCTGGGTGGCTCCTAAACATCCCTGGAAGTGCCCCTCTAGTGTCACCTTCCCCGACCCTGCTTGGTAGTGACATCTCCTCTTCCTCCCCGGTGCGCAGCACTTTGCACGCCCATCGGTGTGTAGATGACCTAGGATCCGTCTTCCTCTGCCCCTCCCTCGAGCCCCTGCACACCAGGGATGGGCCCCTTAGGGTAGGGAACTGGGATTTGTGTCGAAATCCCAGTGCCTCACTCAGTCCTTGGTCTAGTAAATACGTGTTTGTTGAGTGAATGAATGATTCTATTGGTTTGTGAGAGATGCAGTCCCCCCCTCCACCCCGAGCGTGCATATAATGCAGCTTGGCGGCCAGATACGGGATAGGGAAGGACCTCATTGGAGGCCAAGTTTTTTTTTTTTTTTTTTTTTTTAAACCTGGCTTTAATTAAGTCCATACATTCAGAAGACAGAGAACTCTTACGCAAATTAGTTCTTTGATGAATGGCTCTGATCATGACTTGTGGTTTTGTGAAGGGTGATTCTCAAAATAATTAACTGGTGCAGCACGGACTTAGCCATGAGAACAGGCGCAGGCGGTAGGGCTGGAGTCCCTGCTCTTGTGCCAGATACCAACCCTCTAGTTCTTGGCTCCTGGAGAGGTCCCTAAGGGTCTGCGGGGAGGGGCTGGGGAGGGCGGGTCGGAGGTCATTTTACAGCTGGTGTGGAGGTAGTGTGGTGGCTGGTACGAGCCATTGCTCTGCGGATCTCCTCATGTCAGCCCTGGTCTGGGGGTGTCGTTGGCTGGACAGTGGGGACTTCTTACCTGTCCATTCGTGGACCTGCATTTTGTTGTTTCTCTTGGATGAGAGTGTCAGCCTCAGTAGTGGAGCCCAGAAGTCTGGAGGCCAGGATTTTTCTCTTGGCTCTCTCACCACTTGGGTGATGTTGGGCATGTCCAATAACTAAATCTCAGGGGGCTGATATTTTGTGAGTCAAACCTGCATGTAGTTACTTGAATTTGACCAAATTTAATTGGGTGTTAAGATGCACACTAACTTGGGGGTGCGTCTGTGGCTCAGTTGGTTAAGCGTCTGACTCTTGGTTTTGGCTCAGGTCACGATCTCAGGGTCGTGGGATCGAGCCCTGTGTCAGACTCCATGCTCAGCGTCTGACTCGGAGCATGTTCACGCTCAGCATGGAGTCTGCTTGAGATCCTCTCCCTCTCCTTCTCACTCCCATTCGGCACCGCCCCCTACTCACGCCACGCGTGCCTTCTCTCCCTAATAAATGAATAAAATCTTAAAAAAAAAAAAAAAAGACGCACCCTGACCTGTACTAAGGCACAGTCAGTGTTTTGAAACGAGAGTAGCCCAGCAAGGTGTTTTTAGATGGACAGGTCTTCCCTGATTTCAATGCATTTCGTCAAACTTTGCTATTTTGAATCCATATTTAGACAAAATATGTCTAAATGTTGAATGAAATGTTTATAGATTTATTGAACAGGCTGAGTGTTTTACAGTTTAATCTCACCAGTTTGATCAGCTACCACTTTTTCGGTTTCTTGCGCTGGGCGCTGTCTGCACTTCACAGAACCACAAGTAAAAAGTCGTATGATTTTCAGTTAGATTTAGAGCCTGGTGATGTTTAAATTACTGTGCAAAATGCCTGAGTGTTTTAGCAGAGGCTTTAATTCTGTTCTGCAAGACTAATTGCAAATTGTGGATAAAGAATTATGAATGATCATTTTGGAATTATAAATTTCTTAGGTGCCCGTCTACGCAGTCCCACGTGTTGCAGCCTGTGGCTTTCTACACCGCCCCCCGCCCGCCTCCCCACCCCACCCCACCCCACCCCCACCCGAGAAGGCTGTACTTTTCTGACTGTAGTTCTTTCTCTGTAGAAAACGTGGATTTCTCCTGCTGTGCCCTTGGCCACTTTGTGTTGGTTTAGGGTTTATCCTCTCCCCATTTCTACAAAGAACTTGAGGCTGTGATGAGGTCTCCGTGGACTCAGGGCAGTCTCTTCCGCCTCTAACCACTGTGTGATCCTGACAATTAATGCTGGGTGATGAGGGGATCGAAGAACAGGGAGGGAAGCACCCTGCCCGTATTTAACCTGCTGCAGCCCGAGATTTATAGCTTGGCTGCTGACATGGTTGGGACATCACTGCTGAATTTCCTGAGTATTAGAATAAACGTCTTTGTTGCCGAGCTGTGACACAGCTGCCCGAGTAGATAGCCCCCGTCCATCTCCCAGGCCACCGCACTGCCCTGCTTACCACGACGGGAGCCATCGGGCTTTGTCTTTACGCACCTGCCACCTCTCCAGGTTGTGGCCTGCACATTACACGGGTTTCCTTCACGTCATTAAGGAAGCTCTGCAGAGGAGGGAGTGCCCTGGATCTGGAGCGGGAACTTCTTCTCTCCGGCTCTGTGGCCTTGGGCGGGTCACTTCATCTGGCTGAAACCCACTCTCCTGATCTGTGCATGGGCGGGTTGCACGCTTACCTCCTGATTGGATTGGGAGTACTGCACTGCATTAGTTGCCAGTTAACGTTCTTCTGGTTGCAAGCCGTAGGGCCCGACCGACATGCATAGCGTGGCCACAGCAGCAGTGAGAGGGAGCCTTTACCGGGAGCGCTGGCGGCCCCCACAGGTGCCGGGAGAGCCGAGTAGCCATGTCTCAGGGTAGAAGCGCGGCAGCCCCGTGGACAGCGCAGCTCTAGACTCCAGGGCCCTGTGTTTGATGTGACGCACACCCAGCGTCCCAGGTGCTGGCTTGTCAGCTGAAATCCGAGTCTGGAGAGAGAATCCTACTGGGACACTGTGGGTCCCGGGGTGGCTTACTGAAGAGAGGGGTCTCCTGGGGTCTTACCCCATGTTTTAGGGACGGGTTTCAGATGAGCCGGGTGGGCCCTGAAGGCCGTGGGGAACAGACTGCAGAGGCAGACCCCAGTAGGCGTGTGGCAGCCTTGGCCTCCTTTGGGATGAGAGGCCTCCTGTCTGGGTTGCTTCTTGTTCGGAGGGGCAGGAGGGCGGGTGGGGGTGGCCTGTGCCTGCTGAGCAGGTGCTTCTTGCCGCTCCCCGCAGGGCAGCCTGGCCCCCCGCCTCTGTGCCGAGGAGATCTCCTGGTTTGTCAGCTGTGCGGAGGGAGCCAAATGACTTCATTCTAATGGGGCATGATTCAACGCAGGGGAATGGGTGATTGATGAAACGGGACCCAAATGGCTCTGAAGAGTTCATTTATTTAACATGGGCGAGCTATTTGCTTCTAGGAAGACGTTGACTCGCTCTGACTTCCATTATGCAAAGCATCCACAGGAATCTCTGCTCTTGAGATTCACGTTGGTTCCTGCGTTGTCCTCCCAGCTGCTTAATGCCCAGGTCAGCCAGCGTCTGTGGCGGGTCCAGTGCCTGGCTTGGGACGTGGCTGCCCCCAGGGGGCCCTCGCACCCGCCAACGGGTGGCTGGTGCGCTAGCTCTCGGCTGAAAGGGGACCAGAGAGCCAGGGGGGCCGGGCCGGGGTGTTTTTCTCAGTCCCGGAAGGCTTCCCGGCGAGAACATGGCCTACGCGGACCCTGGAAGGTGCTGGCAGTGTGTGAGCGAGGAGGGTGGACGGTGGTCCCTGCAGAGGGGGAGGGGATTCCCCCGGGGCTCAGATGGAGGGAGAGCGGGCAAGGGAAGTGCGGCGGTCGGCCGGCAGGTGGACAGGGGGCTTGGAGCGGGTCGGGGCAGCTGCCGGCGAGAACCCAGGCCTCTAGGCCCCGGCCTTCCCCTGGGCGGTCCTCGGCCCGGGCCTGCACCGTGCGGTCAGGATACAGGAGCCCCAGGGGTTGGTTCACCGGGCACACGCCTTCCTCGTGTGGAGTCGGCGCCAGCGGCCCAAGTCCCCCATTGCCCTTGTTGACGGGCTTTGAAGCCGCACACGTCAGCACGAATGCTGGCTGCCACGTGGTAGCTGGGTGGACTCAAGCAGACGTTCTCTTCTCAGAGAATCCGTTTCTTCATCCGAAAACCGGGAAGGTCAGTAACCGTCCCGGGCTTCGGTTAGAGGTGGTGGCCCGCGCAGAGGACCCGGCAGAGCTCCAGAGCCTCGGAGCAGGGGAGGGGCGGCTCGCGCCACGTGTCTACTCGTGCCAGGCTTCGCCCCGAGAACTTGGTGTAGACGAAGTCGTTGAGTCTCCCTCGCAGCGCCCCGAGCCACGCGGGGTCCTTGCCTTCATCGTAGGTGCGGAGCTGGAAACGGCGAGAGGTCGAGGAGCTTGCTGCGGCCGCACGGTAAGGCCACGGTCTCAGCCGTCACGGCCTCATGGCAGCTGCTCAAGAAGCAGTCGGTCCTCAGATGTTCTTTGCCCCGTTGGCCACCTTTTACGGGGTGGACAGTGACGGTGTGACCCGTCAAGCGCCCCAGGGCTTTGCATCCATCGTGGTGCCGGATGGGTGGACCGAAGAGCAGGGGCCTCTCCTCGGAGCCGCAGCCGCAGCCGGCTGCCTGGTGCACGCCTGCCTCTGCCCTGCCCTCGGGCCCGCCGGTGGCCCGCTGTGCGCGGGTCCCTCCTCACGGAAATGAGGAGTGGGCGAGGTGAGCGCGGGGCCTGGCGTCCGGACTCCGCGAGGACGTGCCCGGGGAGCGCCGAGCACGGTGGCCGGCCTGGTCCTGTCGTCCTGCGAGATCCTTCCCCGGCTCTTCTCTGGGCCGCGTGCCGACACGGGGGGTGCACAGGGGCGCCGAGGGGACCCCGCGCGACAGCGCTGTGCGCAGAGGTGCATGGGGGCTGCCTGTGCAGTGACACGCGGCGTGACTCACGGACGGCCTGACGGTTCCGGCGGTCCGGGGGACTCGCTCGTCACGAGCAGGCGGGCGCGTCAGCATGGGCAGCCCCTCAGCGCCCCTCACTGGCGGGGCTGCCGCTGCCGCTGCTGTGGGCGCCGGAGGCCGAGCGGCTCCGAGCCTCTTCCCGGCGGCGGGCGTCTGCGGAGCCGGGGATCCGGGATGCCCTCCCTGGGACGTGCTCAGTGCGTAGGATGTGTGCGCGGGGTCGTGGAGGGAACCGCTCACGTGGAAACGCGGGCGTGGGATAGTGACGAGCGTGCTCTGGGCATGGCGCGGCTGTGCTAAGCTGCTGAGGACAGTGGCCGCTGCGGTTTGGAAGTCCTGGGGACAATGTTTTTTTTTTTTTAAAGACTTTATTTATTTATTCATAGAGACACACAGAGAGAGAGAGAGAGAGAGAGAGAGAGAGAGAGAGAGGCAGAGACCTAGGCAGAGGGAGAAGCAGGCTCCGTGCCAGGAGCCCAACGTGGGACTCGATCCCGGGACTCCAGGATCACGCCCTGGGCTGCAGGCGGCGCTAAACCGCTGTGCCACCGGGGCTGCCCCCTGGTGACAAGGCTTTGAGGTGACTGGAGACGCCTGGAGCATCACAGGTGCCTGCGTCTTCTGACGACGCGGTCCCGGGAAAGCACTGCGACTGCTGTGGGGTGCGGCGGTGCCGGTGTCCCTGCCGCTGCCATCGGCTTCGGGGACCCTGTCCTAGCGGGTGGGACCTTCGGGGAGCCTGGGCCAGCGTGGAGCGCAGGGGCCGCTCACGGGCCGCCGTCCCACCCCACACACTGTCCCCTGGCACTTGGAAGCGTCCAGGCCGCACGGGGCGCCGTGCCAGATGTCCTGCGCGTTCGTTAGTTCGCGTTGAGTTCTTACTTTCGGATGGTGTCGTGGGGGGGGATGTTTGGAGGACCCAGGGCTCTGTTTTCCTGCGTACCTGGGAGTAGGCCTCCCGGCAAAGGCCGCTCTCGTCTGAGCACCTCGGCGTGTGGTCCCGTGGGCAGGACACTGTCGTGCATCGAGCGCAGCGCCCACGAGCAGGACTAAGCAGACCTCCACGGCCTGCTGGTCCTCAGATGCACGTCGGTGCGCCGCGTGTGCCCAGACCCCTCGTGGCCGCAGGGCCCGCTTCAGGCTCACGTGGAGCTTGGTCTCGGGGCTCCGGTCTGCAGCCTGGGACAGTCTCCCGGGCTGACCCTGACCCTCGTGCCCGTCAGGCTGCTCGAGCGTCCGGGCCAGTCCTGTAGTGCAACGTCCTCGCGTCGGGCTCAGCTTGTGTGGCCTGGCCGCCCGGCTTCAGGGAGGTGCCTGCACGGCCGCGTCCTCGCCCTGTGCCCTCCTGAGGGGTCACGGCTCACGCCTGCGCATGGCTGGGCAAGCTGGCTTCCAGGACTGTCAGGTGGCGCCCTCGTCCCTCCTCTGCCGTTAGTACGCATCCTGGGCCGTTCGAGGCTCGGTCAGCGTCCCGACGCTCTTCAGACTGTGACCCGGTGGTTTTAGCTTCTCCCTTAGGGTCACAGGGCTGGTGAGGAGCAGAGATCCGGCTCCGGTCGCTTTAGCGCGTGGCTCACTGGACCTTTTCTGTTGGAGTGTGAGTCCCCTGTCCCGGACACCAGGGTGGGTTGACAGGCTTCTTGTCTTGGGAGCAAGAGCGAGCGTGGAAGGCCATCTCTGTAGCGTAGACCGAGTGAGCGGTGGTTTCGTCCCGGGTGCGTCGGGTGCGCGATGCTCCTTTTATGGCTGCTGTCCAGACCCGGGCGCAGCAGAGCGGGGAGCTCTGCTGGGGCCCGTGGTGCCCGTCATTCCCCGGCGTCCTGCAGGTGGTGCCCCGACGTGGCCTCATCAGGGCCTGGGTCTGTGAACGGCCCACATCTGCATCATGTCAGGGTGCACGCTTTTGAGGTTCTCCCCTTCATGTCAGGTGCCCAATGTCATTTCCAGGAAAAGCAACAATTAGACTATGAAGAGCTGCTTCGGGTCTTGAAGAAGGAGCGGGACATCTACGCTCATCTGGTGAAGTCCCTGCAGGACCCAGACAGGTAAGGTCACAGTCTGCACGTCACACGCGCACGGACACATACCTACTTTGAATAAATACATTTGGCGTCTGAGGCAGCAGAGCCCTTCCAGTTTGCTCAGAAGCTTCAAGTGCCTTTTGGTGGTGATTGTCGTACGTAGATAAACATCTTACATCAAGAATTGTCTGATTTGGGGACGCCCGGGTGGCTCGGTTGGTCGGGCATCCAGACCCCGATGTAGGCTCAGGCCGTGGTCTCTGGGTGGTGAGGCCGAGCCCCATGTCAGGCTCCGGGCCCAGCACGGTCTGCTTGGGTTTCTCCCCTTCCTCCGCCCCCCTCCCCCCCCAGCACTCACTCTCTCTCTCTCTCCCTCTCCCTCTCTCTCTCTCTCTCAAGTAAATAAGTCTTCAAAGACAAAACAAAACAGTTCTTTGGTATTTGGATTGTTTAGGTTTCTTTTATCCTGACGAGCATAGGATAAAAATATGATCATTAGGATTAAATGTTTATCCTACTTGGGTCCAGATTTAGAGAGGGCTCCGAGGGTGTTAGCGCCCCATCCTCACGGCCGCCCTGCAGGTGAGGTCGTTACCCCTGCTTCCCGGAGGCCCTGAGAACGGAGCTTACGCGACGTCCACAGTGGGTCCCGTGGGGAGTGACTGCACGCGGGAACCCAACAAGGTCCTGCCTCGGAGCGACCTGTGTCTCCCCAGAATTGCCGAGACGATCTGGTGCCAGTGAGTGGTGGTGCCGGGGTCTTAAAAAAGAAGAAAGGGCATGTAGCCTGCCACGTGTTCATGGGTAGGGGGACCATGGTAGTGTTTGTTTTCCTGTGCTTTTGTATTTTGAATTTTTCCATAAACGTGGCTTTACTTTTATAACCAGAAAAAAAACAAACAAAACAAAAAACAAGACCCACTGATGACGTAATAGTCAAGGGGAGGCTTGTTGGCGTCTGTATTTTAAAGTGCAAATGGGTCTGTTTAAAAACTGCTGGTGGCTTCGGGTGAGGTATGGATGTGTTGAGTCACTATATTTATTCTACACAGATTTTTTACTCTGCATGTTAAGTAACGAGTTTAAATAAAAACTTAAAATTTCTGCTGTCTTGTTTTACCAAGCATCAACAGCCTGCAGGCCGAGTTAAACAGCATTTTCGCTTTGCGGAAGCAACTGGAGCAGGACGTGCTGACCTGTCGGAATTTACAAAAGACCCTGGAGGAGCAGATCAGTGAAATTCGGAGGCGGGAAGGTGGGTGCTCTCTTGGCTGAACGAGGGGATGGGGAGCCTACCGGGTTTCATCTGGGTTCCTTTCTCGGGGTGACCGTGTTGATGTTGGCCCCCCAGTCTGTGCGCGTCCGCTTCGGCCTCCGTGGGAGGGCTCAGCGCATCGTGTGAGTTTGCGTGCCGGGGCACCTGCTGCGGAGTCTGGGCCGCACGGGCACGTGGCGCTGAGATGGCTGCTTCCTGTTGAGACCTTGCCGTCGGCGTTGTCGCCGCCACAGGCGACTCCGTAGGGAGGGCTCCGAGGTGAGGGGCCTGTGGTCCTTGCGTTGCCGTGCTCGTCGCAGCCACACTCGGCCCTCCGCTCGCTGGAACCTGAGCCCGTAGAGTGCGCTAGCGTCCTCTTCCTTTCTGTCTCTAGCCTGGTGCCTGGCACATAGGAGCAAAAAGATTTGGAAATAGCAGTGGTAGGCTTGACCCTTCTGGAGCAGGAGCACCTGCTGAGTACACGGCACAGCAGCAGGCACCTCATTGCTCATCACTGATCGTGACGCTCGTCCCCTTGGCTGGCGTAGGTGTTGACTTCATTTTACAAATGCAGATGCTGTGGCTCGGGGTGGGGTGGGATTGATGTACCCACGTCCGAGCCAGGGCATCTTCCTATGAGGTGCGGCTCCTCCCAGTGCACTAGGCGTATCAGCGCTTCTCCCCAGATCGTTAAGTGGGATCGTGTTTGTAGACGCGTCACTCAGGACGTAGCCTGCCCTTCCTCTGTGCCTTCCTTCCCCGTGGGGATGCGACCCTTGCTGCAGAGGAAGTCGACCTTTATGCAGGTGGCCGGAGGTCCCCTCATCTTAGATCTAGCAGCCGCGTCCGCACTTGGTGAGCTCACGACCACGGAGGGCTCCGGGGCCACTAAGAAATACACGACGCACCTTTATTTCCCTGGAGCGCCGCCCTTGAGGGCCACGTCTAACTTTCCTGTATTCGCTCCTAAACAGAATCACTCCCTCATTTAAACTGAAGTCACCATTCGCTCGTGCCACTCCGAATGGTGTCTAGGTACAGCACTCGGTATGCAGATCATAACTCAGAACAGGCCGCAGCGAAAGCCCGCAGCGCGCGACGAAACCACACGTTGAGATACCAGCCCGTAGAGAAAGAGGGAAAATTACTTTTGCTCCAAAGATGGAACGTTCAGCTCCCTGTTTGTACTGACTCCCCCTCGTAGCGACCCCCCCCCCGTCCCCTCCCTCCGTACGGGGCTGTACTAGGATTGGGCTTGGAAGGGTCTGGTTCTAATATTGTTTCTTCTCCCTCCCTTTTTTCTTTTTGCAGAAGAACCATTTTCGTTTTACAGTGATCAAACATCTTACCTGAGTATTTGCCTTGAAGAGCCCAATCGGTTTCAAGCGGAGCATTTTTCTCAAGAAGAACTTAAGAAAAAGGTACTGACCCGTGAACTCTGAGCCCTTGGTTGGTTATTTGCTGCCTCCCGGGTTCCTGATCTGAGGTGTAAGGTTCTGAAAGCCTCTCTCCTCGCCTTTCTTCCCTCTGTCGCTGCCTGTCTTTGCTCGGCCTTTGTTCCTCCTGGGACCAGCCCAGGCTCGATGTGCCCTAGCGGATGCCGTGCAGTCCCCCCTCGGGTCGCTGTCTCCTCTCGCGCCGGCGGCACTGGCCGCGTGCTCACGCTGATCTGGACTTACCTGCTTATTCGTCTGAATCCCCACCAGGCTGCGAGCGTCTTAAAGTCAGTGATTGTATCTCACCTACTTTTGATGTTCCAGGACCTTCCACGCATAGTGGGAGTTAACATGTGCTTTCTGAAAGAATGAAGACCCGGGTTTGATCAGTAAATCTTTTTTAAAGCTGGGAACCAGGTTCCTCAATCTGTTGATTGTTGGTGTGATGAGAGTGGTTTCGAACTTCCAGGACTCCAGCAGCCACCGATGAGAGTAGGAACTGTGAGCTCAGAGGAGACGGTTTGTTATGAAATTATCATCCACGTATGACAGATTCAGTTTCTGCCTTGGAGTAATTCCCATTGCGGTAGAGCGGTCAGACACGTCAGCAGGTGGTTGCAGTGCGGGGTGCGGGGGTTGCCCCGGTAGGTGGGTGGGCGAGGCAGAGGTAGCAGACGTGGCACAGGAGGAGAGGGGAGTCCTCGGGGGCTGCAGGTGCTCACTGGCTCACAGGAGGCTTTTCAGCAGACGTGAGGCCTGAAGTGGGTTTTGAAGGATGAATAGGAGTTTGTCTCGGTGGAGGTCTTCTCTGCAGAGGGAGAGAGAGGGAGAGAATGGCAGGTGTAAGCAACTAAAAGTTAGGAATAGAAAGGAGAATTGAGAATTCGAGTGTTTGGGGGAGGAGTGGAACGAGGAGCCTTGAGGCGTTTCAGTTGTTGAAGGTTCTCTAGGGACGCGGGGACGGTGAGGGCAGCTGGGAGCACCTCCTGTGGCGACGTGTAGGGGCGGGAAGGACGTGGCGTGCTTGGCACTTAGTAACTGTCTGCAGGGCCGGGCGTTTTGCTCTTCTCACCCCAGCCTTGGGTGGGGCCCAGGTGTCGTCGCGGTTCCCAGTGCTGGACGCCTCCTGGGTCGTCGCGGGGCTGACGCTTCCTCCAGTGAGACGTCTGCAGAATTACTAGCCGTTGGGGTAGAAGCTTGAGGGGAGGAAGGTAGTGCTTGATTGTGGTGGCCCTGGGCTGGCAGGACCCGGGCGCACGGAGGGAGGAGCCCTGGGCTGGGAGCCCGGGGTCTCAGCTGCAGCCCGCTTGGCCCGTGGGGAGGCAGCTGCCCTTTCCCCCGTGGACAGGCCCTCCGGCCGTCCTTATACGTCACGCGGTGCCCCGCACGTCCTGCCGTGGGGCCTCGGGCCCTACGCCTCTCTGTGTGTCCGCTCCTCGTGGAGGTGGGAGGAGTCTGGTAGCCTGGCCCCCCTCAGGACTTCTGTAGGGAATGAAGGGCGGAAGCTTGCGGCGTCTTTGAGTAGCTGTGAGTTGCTTTGTAACTGAAGGTGATGAGCACCGCTGACGTCGCTGGGTCGGTAGGTCAAGATCGGTGCTGAGGGAGGCCCCTGACACGTCGCGGGGCCGTCCGCCCGGGCTTGTCCTCAAGTAGGAGCTGTGGCCCGATCCCGACCGGTTCCCGCAGCAGCCCGGGAGGGGTGGCCGGGGTTCGAACACAGGCGTGCGGCTGCGGGTTTCAGCCCGTCTCCCTCTGCTCCGTCCGCAGGTCAGTGACCTGATACAGCTGGTGAGGGAGCTGCACGCGGACAACCAGCACCTGAAGAAGACCATGCTTGATCTCTCGTGCATGGGCGCCCAGGGCGGGGACGGACTTGGGTCGGCGGCACAGTCGCAGGTAAGAGCAGCCGGGACCGGGCCGCGCGCCTCCAGCCGCCCCGGGTACGTCTGCGCGGACACGGCGGGCAGGTCCGCAGCGCTGGGCCCCGAGCCGGCCCCGGGGCGTGGCTGCGGGGGCGCCTGCGGCGGAGCCTGTGGCCTCGGAGGGCCCAGGTCGCTCGGGGCGTGTCCGGCCGTCCTAAGGAATCCCTTACCATCGGAAAACAAATGCATAAACGCGCTTTCATTTACTTTTTGGGTTAATCTGAGTTCTGTGCACCCCCTCACGGTTGGGGCCTCCGGGCTGGGACGGGACTGCATGCGTGTCGCCCCCCACATGGACCCAGCTCCCGCACTCTGCCGCCGTGGCGGGGGGAGCCTCCAGCCTGTCCCGCGCCCTCCAGCCCGGCCGCCCGCCGCAGGGGTTTCTGCTGCTGGCCTCGGAAAGTCCGGGGGGCCAAGGGTTAAATCGGGTGTCTGGGCAGGACCGGGAGGCGGCCTGCGGTTTGGGGGCCGTGTCCTCGGCCTCTCCGGGAGCGCTCCGCCTCAGGAGGGATGAGGGACGCCCCAGCCCGCCTGGCCCCCTGGGGGCCTCCGCTGTCGCTGTGAGGCCCTCCTGTCCCTGTGCCTCTTGTCCCCCCCCCCCCCCCCCCGTGGCCGGCTGGCAGACCACAGGGGAGCCTGGAGTCGTGCGCCGGGAAGAGCCGGCCGTCGCTGCCCTTAGCCCTGATGCCCGCCCCCCCCTCCGCGGCCGAGCCGGGCGGAGCTGATCTTGGCACCAGGCCGGGGCCCTTCTGTCCGTGGGCCCGGGCGCCCCAGTCGGCCTGCAGGTGCTGCGGGCGCAGCGTCGGGCCAGGCCGGGCGGGCCTCGGGGCCTCGGGGCCACGGCGGGCAGGAGGCCGTGCTCCTCGGGCAGGTGCTGCACGGCCTGGCCGTGCTCTTTGACGGAGCGGGTGTTATTTATGGATCTTAGCCTCCAAGGCTCCACCTAATTTTGGAAACGAAGAATATCTGCAGTCCGTTTAGGGAGAAATAAGTCTCTTGGTTTGTTTTCTCCCAGGCAGCATCTTTAATAAGCAGCTCATTCCTCACCTACTTCATCGGAGTCGTAAATGGCAAGTTTGTTTGTTCACTTGCCCTTTGAACAAAAATCTGTTAAATGTCCCATTATGTTCTTTGGAGAACAGAGGCTTTTTCCTCTTCCCAGTCTGAGATCTTAATACCAGCAGGTTCAGATATGAGCCATTTGTCAGATTGCACTTCACCTTGACGTTCTCTGTGGATGCTGCGTCCTGGCTCGCGGTTACCCGTCTTCCCCGAATAGGATGGGAAGATCCGAAGAGCCGCCCGGGAGGGAGCTGTTCCCACAGGGGCCCTGAGCTGAGGGAGGAGAGGTGGGATGGCGCAGACGGGACGCTGCCGGGCCTTGGGCGTGCGTGTGGTTCCCCTTTGATGGGGCCTGGAAACGCCCGGGCCGCCCGCAGCCTCTCTGAGCGGCAGGGCCTGCGGGGGGGGGGGGGGGGGGGGGGGCTGGGCACCGGTCCTGCCGCCCGGAGCCTGCAAAGCAGGAAGAGGGAGGGGGAGGGGAGAAAGCAAATCTGTTCCGTGTTTTCAAAATTCAGTATTTTCTCTCTAATATTTAATTAGTCAACGGCATCGGGTTAAAATGGAGAAAAGAAATTACCCCAGGGATCCCTGGTGGCGCAGCGGTTTGGCGCCCGCCTTTGGCCCAGGGCGCGATCCTGGAGACCCGGGATCGAATCCCACGTCGGGCTCCCGGTGCATGGAGCCTGCTTCTCCCTCTGCCTGTGTCTCTGCCTCTCTCTCTCTCTGTGTGACTATCATCAATTAAAAAAAAAAAATTACCCTAATCCTGTCACTTTAAAACACGTACAATTATTTGACATTTGGAATCCTTCCTTCTCTGTTTGTGTATATGGACACGTGCAGGCCCACGATGCATATATGGTTTTGTTCCTGTTTTTTTTTTTTTTTTTAATTGCTGTTAGGTTACAGCATCTTATTTTATCTTATGAATGAGCTGAAATTTAATTAATTGCTGCATTATTGTTGGACACGTAGATTATTTCCAGTGATTTGGTGTCTTAAATTACTTGATGAGTGTCTTCGGACACAAATCTTTTTCTGGGTTTGGGTTTAGATTTTTTTCCCCCTAGACTGTATTCCCAGATACGTAATTTCTAGGTCTATAGGTAGATACAGGTGTAAAGCAGGCATGTAACTCTATTTCATATAGGCTCCCCCTTGCAACTTTGAGTTTGACTAAGGGTATAAGTAGTAGGAGGCCCTTGGTGCAGTTTGTCCGGTTTGTCCTCAGAATGGTTGCCTGGGAATGGATTCCCTCCAGCTGATTGGGACAGTGCTCACTGCTGCACATGAGCAATTCACTTAGAAAACACAGAAAAGACTGAGAACAGGTGTCCTTTGGTTTTAAAGGGCATTAAAATAATCTCTGATCAGGTTGCTTCTATTTCTTTGTGCTTATTTTTACTTTTTAAAAATATTTTATTTATTTATTTGAGAGAGTGAGAGAGAATGAACAGGGCCGGGGAGGGGCGGGGCAGAGGGAGAAGCAGACTCCCCACTGAGCAGGGAGCCCGACACCGGGACTCGACCCCAGGACCCTGAGACGGTGACCTGAGCTGGAGGCAGATGCTTCCCCGGCTGAGCCACCCAGGTGCCTTCTTTATGTTTATTTACCGGTTATTAACTTACGCATTATAGAACATGTGGTTGAGAATTGATGTGCAGGTGTGATTGGGGCCGTGAGCCTTGCAAACCACAAACTGTGTGATGTGCAGAACTGTCCCCTCGGGCGGGTTGTAGGCTACGTGTGTGTGCACGGAAAGAGCTAGTCTGCTATTATTTACTTACATCATCAGTTTTAGAAAGAGCTAGAAACTAGGATTTTTTTTTTTTTTTTTTTTTTGGCATGGAGGGAAAACATGGATTGAGGGACATCATGTAATTGAATGCAGGTATTGGAAGGGCTGGCTGCTATGTTGAATGAGAAATAAAGGTGGTGTGACTCGCGAGGACAGACGTAATGCTCAGAAGTAGGAGGTGCTTGTTAACTTCTGCTATCAGTAGCAGGATAAAATGGAGTTTGTCGGAAGCAGACTGGATTTCGTTAAGAGGACGAGGTTTCTAAGAGCTTGACCTCATAAGTTATTCTGAATTTTACGGGATTTATAAAGAGCCCTCGACACAGTGCCTGGGATATAGTAGGTGCTCAGCAGAGCGGTTAGTTCACTGTTCGGAGTCAGTCGGGGGGAGTCAGGACGAGAGCCTTATTCGGACGGTGTCCGGGGTCGTGTGTGTGGCACCGTAGGGCAGAGCTCCTAAAGCGCAACGTGCGTGGGCCTCTCCGGGCGTCTCGTTAAAACGAAGGCTCCGGTTCCGTGAGCCTGGCCTGGGGCCCGAGAGTGTGCGTCTCCCGTAAGCGCCTGGAGCGGGGGACCGGGGGTGATCCTGGTCCTTTGGTCTCAGCTCTCACTTTAAAAGACCGTGTCCTTTGGCGCGGGCTCTCGGCGGCGCTGCCTGGGCGCCAGGCGGTGACGTGGGAGCGGAGTGGCGCCCCCACCCGCGTGGGACGCAGGGACGCAGAGGGGCAGTGTCTGCGAGGGTCGGGTGCTCTCAGAGGTTGCCAGTGGGGCGTCCACATGTGGAGGAGGGACATTTCTCTGTGTCCACACATTTAATTTCTTGGCCGCTGGTGGAAATTGAGTTTACTTTTAATTTCGACCAAGTGAGCGGAGGCAAAGAGGAAGGGAAGTTCATCCTGCCTCACTGTTCAGGCCATCGTGGTGTGGCTGCGGTTCTGGGACTCGAGAGACTCCCGGTACTTGGACTTGGAGTGCCCTGGGGTAAACCGCGTCTCTCAGCTCCGCGCGCGGGGCCCTTCCTGTACCCACGGGCCCGCGGCTGGCTCCCCGCCACCCCTCCCCGCGCCGGCGTGGGCTCCGTCTCCTGGGGGACGGCCCCGGGGGCCTCCCACCTGCAGTTCCCGGAGCCGGTTGGCCACAGAAGCCTCCGTGCGGGAGCTGGGACCGCAGTTCTCTCGGGAAGCTCGGAGGGGGGCCGAGAGCTCAGCCACCGGAGCTGCTGGGGAGCCAGAGAGACGCTGCTGCTGTTCTGTGTTTTAAAAGATGAGAGACACGTCCCCCCAGCATTTTAGCCTGAAGAAATTTGAACACAGCAAAGTGAGAAGAACCTGACAGTGAACACCCGCGTACCGCCCCCCCCCCCGATTGTCCAGTTAACACCGCCCGGTTTCCATCGTCACCCCCTTACCTTTTTGATGAATTTTAATGTAAAAGACCAAGTTCCACCACGATTACAAGTACGCTTCCTCCCTCTGAAATACTTCAACACACACATTAACTTCATGGTGTGTTCATGGTTATTTTTTCCTTTAAGGTCAAATTCACATATGTTGAAATACAGAAATGGCAACTGCGTATTCGCTGTCTTACGAATGTGCGTCCCCCTGTACCCCACGCCTCCTCCGGACGCCTCGTGTCCCTCCTGGGTTCCCACGGCTCCCGCAGGCCCCCACTTGTGTCCCCCATGGGCTAGTCTTGCCTGCACTAGGCTTCCACATAAATGGAGTCCTCGCGTAGACCCCCTCCTGTGTGAAGCTGCTTTCTGTCGGCATTCTGTTTCTGGGATTCATCCGTGTTGTAGTGTGAACCAGCCACACGTTCCTTTTATTGCTAAGTAGCATTCCCATCGTGTGTAAATATATTAGAATTTGTTTATTCATTCGGCTATCGATGTGCACTTGGGTTGTTTCGGTTCTTGGATATTACAAAAAGTTGGTAGGAACATTCCTGCATAGAGCTTTATGAGGATATTGGTTTTCGTTTTTCTTGATGGATACCTGGGAGTGGGATTCCCAAGCCACAGGGTTATTCGTTTTAGGAGATACGGCCGGTACTTTTTCCACAGTCGTCTAACATTTTGTACGCCGCCCACCAACAAGTCTGATAGTCCTGGTTGGTCTTTATCACTTGAGAATGTTTTAATAATGAGGAAAGATGCCGCTAGAGAGAGAGACAAGCACCTCATCCACACGTGGAAACTTTTATGCCTTGGTAAGTATATTCACATGTAGCTAGCCTGTTTGATGCTCAATCGTTTAGAAAACACTAGTTTTTTTTTTTTTTTTTTTTAAGGATTTTATTTATTCATGAGAGACACAGAAAGGGAGGCAGAGACACAGGCAGAGAGAGAGAAGCAGGCTCCCCGCAGGAGCCCGATGAAGGACTCGATCCCAGGACTCCGGGGTCATGCCCTGAGCCAAAAGCAGACACTCAACCACTGAGCCCCCGTTGGGCCCCTACAGCTCTGATTTGTAAGGTCATCAGTCCTGTTTGAGCCTGATGACAGACTTGGATGTGGTCAGGTTGAGTGTGTTCTGGTCCTGGAAAGTTTTCTATAAAAATGACTTAAATGAAGTCAGTTCGCTTTGTTTGGTTTGCTTTCTTCCAAAATAAGGGTCTCCTATAAAAGGAAGGTCAGAAGAATTTAAGTTGGTCTGGGGAAAGTATGGACTAAATGTAGGAATTTGTAAATAAAACCGTAGAGACAGAACCTTAGAAATCTCGTATGTACAACAGCACCCGGGCCAGTGACTCGGTGCCCGGTTTGTGGTTTTGACACTTTGGCGCGGAGCTTGCAGTTTCATTGGTGAGGTGAGGTTTGGTATAATTTCTGAAGCAGTTTTGACTGATGACCTCCCTGGGTGGCCACCTGTCCTCTCTGTTCTTATTTGCTTTAATCCAGGTGTCCCAGGACTAGAAGTTCTGCTCTTCCAGCGAGCTGAGATCTGGCCCCCTTGAGAACATCGTACTGTCCATTCTGCGGAGTGCAGAGTGCAGAAGCTTTGGGATTTACACTTCTTTAAAGCATTAGGGATTTATGCAGTCTTTATAAGAAAAAAAAAAAACCGTTCTTCATTTCCAAAGCATGAAGTTATCGTCAGGCCAGCTCGATACTCATTAGCGATGAGGACTTTCTGTCAGCAAAGTGACGGCGTTGTGGGGACTGTCCATCTCGGGTGTGTGACAGTCCAAGAAGAGGTTTATGCCCTGTGCTGAACTGGAGACGTGATGCATAAATCGGGCACAGCATAAATTTCATTTACTGCCTTCTTGCTATTTGATGTTTTCAATTCCATCAATAGCTTTTCTCCAAAATCTTGTTACTTTTATATAATCTGAAAGTGAGTTTAGCCATGGCAGGAATGGCAGCGGCACAACAGACAGCATATTCAATTTACAGCAGCTCGGGGAAGGCCCTGCAAGGGCAGGGGGAAGTGGCTTTTGTCATTTCTTGGGGAATTTGTCCTTCAATCATGCTTGGTTCTAGGCAGCTGTGTGTGATTTGCTAGAACTAGCATCTCTAACTTTGGTTAATTTTTATTTCATTGGCTTTGGCATTCGTTTCTGCCTCCTTTTTGGTTTGTTTTTTTGTTTTGCATTAAAAAAAAAGACATCACTGACTTACTCATGCATATTCATGCTGCACACTTTTTTGGGTTGCATTTTCACACCATTCCATGCTCCATGTAGCTTTTGGCTAGCAAGGAGGATGAGGACACGACCAGAATTGGAGAGGATGACGAGAATAATTTCCCGAGTGACCAGCATTTGGAGCAGAGTGACAAGGTAGGGACGTGGCAGTCACCTCCCAGTTCCATGCTCCCCTCTCTGTGCCCAAGCCAGCCTTCCTGTTTGGAGTGAATCCGTTGGCCTCTCCGTTCCTTCTGCCCGTGTCGAGTGCCTGCTGTGTGCCAGCGCGGAGCCGAGGCGCTAGGTCTCTTCCTTCTCGTAAGTTCCAAACAGGGTGGTAGAGCCAGTTGAGAAACAGCGAGCCCAGGAGTTGCCAGTAAAAACAGGGTTGTTGTCAGAGAGTAACAGGCATCGGCTGTTGGAGTTGGTCAGACCTGTGGCGCTCTAATCCGACCCATTTGTTGTCTGCGATGGAGACTGAGCCCTGTGAGGGGAGAGGATCTCTCCAGGGCGCAGGGCAGGTGAGTGACCGAGTTGGGAGGGGAGCCCTCCCCTGCAGGAGCTGCGCTCAGTGGAGTCCCGGATCACTTCACTGCAGCGTAGGACGCCCTTCTCGGGGCCCTCTCCAGTCTCCCGATCTGGAGCCCCGCCTGGTGGCCACGTGGGCATCGTTGAGAACGTTCCTCCAGTCACATTGATACTGGGCATTTGGGACAAACGTTCTCCCGAGGTGGAAAGACCCCGAAAGCCTGGGATGCGATGGACAGAGGAGGCTGCAGTCTGGCATTTGTAACCTTCCGGGCGTTGACGTTCTTGAAGTCACGAGTGTGAGATCATCAAAATGTCGGTGGTTTTGGAAAGCAAAGCAGTTCAAAGTGGGGATCTTGGAATTAGATCTTGAGTCTTGGTCTTCATCTTTGTGACCTCAGTTAACCCTTGCGTAGGCCCTCAGCCCGAGTTTTTTGGTCCTTGAAGATAATCCATCCTTGCCGGAGTGTCTGTGATATTTCAATTAGTGCATAGAAAGGAATGTACGAAGTGCTCAGGAAATGCGATCACTGTTTTTATTACGATAGTCCACATTTCCTTTCTTTGGAACTTACTTATTTCGATGGACGTAATAATTAGATTGGTGGCAAACGAGACCCTATAAGTAACTGCTCATTTGTGTGGGTCTTGTCTTCCATTTAAAAATCTTAATCATTTTACAAGTGAGAGAGAGGGCTGTGATGGCTGGAGTATGTGCCACCTGCAGTAATGAAGTCGAGGGCAGTTATGTGTAGACTGGGAGAAGAAGTTTAGAAAGAATGCTAATTGGAGCACCTCGGGATGCCCAACACAAGCTTTAACTCGGCACATTGTTGGTACCACTCCTCTGGGGCCCTCAGTGACCCCAGAAGGTGGATCCGTAAATAACATCTCCCTGGGAATTAGGATCTCTCTACTTCCCTAATGAGACCAATCAAAGTCATGTTAATTAGCGTGTCTCTGTAAAGAGTAAGGCGCTTTCCCGATTTGTAGCGGGGAGGATGCATCACAAGAGGTAGATGACAGACGTCTGAAGCGTCAGGCGTGGCCTGGGCTCCCGAGGAGCGGCCGGGGGGCCAGGGGACACGGCCGTGGCAGGCGGGACGCTGTGCCAGGACCTTAGGTGAGGCAGTCATCTCATTTTATTCTCTCGGTCACCTTGGGAGGTGGCGTTACTCTCCACGTTGTGCGGATCAGGGAACTGAGGGTGAGGAGAGGTGGCGTGACCTGTCCGTGCTCTTGCACAGGCACCTCCCCGCCCCGCCCCAGGGCACGTGTGGGCCTGCGAGCCGGAGCCGCGCTCTGCCCTGCCTGCTGCGCTTCCGTTGCCCTCAGGCTTGCTGGCGCTGCCCGTTGGGTCGCTGCCTCCGCCCTTTCTCCCCCACGCACGGCCCTCCTCTCTTCCAGGGGCCGTATTTTGACCGCATCCTCTGCTTTGCAGGTCGTGGAGGACTTTTCCAAAGGGGGCTGCAAAAACGGGTACTCGAGGCACACGGATTCTAGCGTCCTAGACTACGATGGAGCCCACACACCTGGCTGCCCCGGAGACCAGAGTCTAGAGGAAGGCGAGCTCCTGAACCTGCTGGCCCCGTTTTTCAACGAGAAGGCCACGTTGTTCCTGGAATCCAGGTAGACGTGCCCCCCCCCCCCCCCCCCCCCCGCACTGCTTTTTCTCTCTAGTTTGAGGGGAGAACAAACTCATTTTGCCAAACGGATTTAGATGGTGGTGCCGTGGAATTTAGCTGAGCGAGCCCCTGGAACGTCTTGGAAGGAATCTTGCCAGTCATGCAATTAAGTAATTAGGCTGCGCGCTGGTGGCTGGGAGGGACTCCGCAGAGCCGCATGCGAGCCCGTTACGAGGAGGAAGAAGGCTTTGCTCTGGAGTCGGCCCGCGAGCCCTGCGGAGGGCTGTCCGGCTGTCAGCGAGAGGAACAGCCCCACTGGAGTGCCCTCAGGTTCTGCACCAGCCCAGGAGCTGCCGCTGTGGTTGTGACTCGCTGGTTACGTTGAGCTTCAGCTTGTTTGTCTTCTCATCGTGCTGGGCGTCGTCGGCGTCGTCGTCGTCTGTGTGTGAGGGAGTAGTCGGGGCGTTTGCCTTAAGCCAGAGAAGGAGAAACATTCAGTACATTTTGTATTTTTGAAATTAACCCTTCGGGAGGAGACTGTCGCCCTTGCACATCCTTCCAGACCATGGCGACAGCTGCTGGGCGGTACTTCGTACTGGGCATGGCGACCGGTGCCGCGCCTCCCTCTCTCAGGGCCCCGGCCTCTCCGACCTCTTCTCGTGCGTGAGGAGGCAGGCGGCGGCGCACCGTTTGAGGAGCCTGGCGGGCAGGTGCTGTGCGTCCAGTAAAACTGTCCAGTTCTCTCCAGTGGAGGCAGAGAAGCAGAGCCCCGAACTCCTGCCGTGACTCTTGGCAGGAGCCGGGCACCCTGCTGGTTCTTGCACGGCCGGTGCACCAAGCCTCACAGACGTTCCTTAGCTAAGAAACAAGGATCGGGCCGTTCTGCTTTTGAGCTCAGGCAGGCTGACCCGCCCCCAGTGCCTGGCATCTCACACTTCTCTAGCACGCGTCCTGTTGGGGCACACGTCTAGCGGCCGTTCTGGTTTATTATCACAGGGACTTGGTGACCACAGTCAAGGCTCGAGAGACGGAGGATTTTCTCCATGTCGGGGCCCCAAGTGTCCCCTCCGAGAGTAGGGACGCCACCCTCTGAGGACCTCCTGGAAGGTGCCTGGGTGATTGAGCTGGGGGAAGTACGGCAGGCCGCGGGGGCATGTGGCGAACCCGGGCACGTGTGCCCCCTCTACGGGCCGGAGCCTCTCAGCCCTACGCGACAGAGTGGTACGGGCACCTGGGCTCCCAGCCTTCCAGGCTTTCGGTGGAAGCCCCAAATTGTATCCTACATCTCTTGATTTTTAAAGATGTGGACCCCTAAGTACATTTTTTAAAGAAAGCGTCTCCCGCCTGCCAGGCCAGCCTGTGACATCTATGGTTCAGTTACCTGTTCCCTGTAGGTGTCTGCTCCACGGCTTCCAGACCGCGTTGGCAGTTGCGGTGTGAGGACAGGGTTTCTTACGCCGGCCTACGTCTGTGGCCCTGTCTTGTTCTCTGCACAGCTGCCGTTCGCACTGTACCACTGAAGCCCGGGACGGTGCAGTCGTGGCCCCCAGGCCCTCGCGAGGGCCCCTCCGGGGTCTGCACCCTCTGGCCCACACCCTGGGCACCACAGGCCCAGCCTCAGTTCACCCTCACACCAGCTTTGTGCGCTGCTCATGGTGTTTTCCTTCTTATAAACGTGGGGGCTGACATTTGGGGACTTGACATTCCTGTAGCTAGGAAGCGCTAGAGCCATTGGAGAACCTTCTGGAGGAGCCTTTTACAAACACTCATTGGGCAACCAGGATTTTAATTGGTCAGAGAAACACTATTCTTGTGCTTGCGAGTCCCCTCCTGTCCCAGCCGCCGCCGTCTCTTGCCTGGACTCCAGCAGCGCAGGCTCCTCTACTGTCCACTCTCCCCAGAGCAGCCCGTGATCGTTTTGTAACTTAGGTCAGACCATATCTGTTCCATGCGTGCGACCTTCCAGTGGACTTCCGTTGCCCTTACAGGAAGGTCAGAGCTGCTCGCCCTGGAGCCCGCCTCTTTCTGTCCTTACCATCCACCCCCCAGCCACACGGAGCTCCTCTGTGCCTCAGACACCTCAGGGCCTTTGCACCAGCCGTCCCTCTGCCTGCAGTGTGTATGTGACTGGTGGTGTCTCAGCTCCACCTCCGCCCTGTGGACAGGTCCTTGCTGAGCACTAACAGGAGTCCTGCTTGCACGTGGTCTCAGGACTCCCTCCCTCCGTCCCGCGGCTGATGGTACTGCTCATCACTGCGGTACGTTGTCTGATTTAGTTACCGACATAGGCGTGGACGTCTGTCGTCTTAATGAAATGCGAGCCCCTGATTCCTTTTCACCACGCGTGCCCACTGCCGTGGTGGCAGGTGACAGGTGCTCAGTAAACACCTAAGCATCGGTGCAGACAGTTAGAAGCTCAGCATCACAGCAGAAGGTAAATGGGGAGAAGTGGAGAGGGTGTAGTGACCCCTGGGCTCAGGAGGATCGGGCTGCCCCGATCTTTGTTCTGCCGCTTTGCTAGGGGATCTTGAGTCTTCCGAGCCCATTTCTTCATCTGTAAAGTGGGGTGAGCTTTGGCCCCACCCCCCCAGGCGCACGGGGAGGCCCGAGTGTGCTTGGCGTGCTTAACGACCCGGCGCCGCTCGGGCTTCGCAGCTGCCGGCCCCCCCCACGGCCTCGCGCCGCGGCCGAGGTCCTCGGGAAGGCCGCGTAAACGGTGCCCGCGCCTCCGACCAGACCCTCGACCGAACCGTTAAACAGGTCCTGATCCGGCGACGGCTTGGTGAATCCGCTGCGCAGATCGCTGGCAAAGTCACACGTGAGGGTCTATCTAACAGCTCCCCCACTTTAGTATATTCCAGTGGCCTCTTTCACCACCTTTTACTGCCCGTCTGTAAAGCCTGTTTCCTGGGTTTTATTGTATGTTGTTCGGTGGTGGATGACGGTCCTCCTTTGGCCAGCTGAATAGCAATTGTCATTACTTTAAATCTATATTAAGGGAAGGAGAGGAAAGGAAAATTTAGTTTAACGTGCTTAAAGTGCCAGCAGTCTTTTTAAAGTCTGGGTTTACTAAATTTTAAGATGGTTTGTGTAGGCCAGATGATTCCATATTCGAAGTGAAAAAATGTACCGTACATTTAAATTCTGTTTTTCAAGCCTTTACTTTTTCCCCGTGCCTCCGTGTGCCGAAGCTGTGGTCTGAACGGAGTCGCCCCTGCCCCAGGGCTGGGCGGTGGGATCCGCACGGGAGTGGGGCCTCCCCGCCGCCCTCGAGGGTTCACGGCCCCGGTCACGTGTCGCAGGCGCAGATACAGGGCAGGGGCCATCAGGCGTCGCGCCGAGCCGTCGGCCCCGGGCCGGAGGCAGGCGAGAGGATCGGCAGAGGGAAGAGAGCGCAGCGCGGCCGAGGGCCCCTTCTCTCCCCCGTGCCCGGCCGGACGCTGGCAGCCCTCCTCCTGCCCGCCTCTCCCTCCGTCCTCGCCTGCTCCAGTCCCTGCGCCCACCATTTCCTGGCGCTTTCCTGGTTTCCTTCTTCTCTTAAATGAGTCCTTTTTCTCCTTTTTTATTTTTAAGTCTTTATTTTTTTTTATAGGAAAACTGAAGAATTCTTTTATTTAGTGAGAAACAGGTGGGAAATGGTAGCAGCTCAAACATCTGCTTTATTTTTTAGGTGATTCACACATTCTTATGTGAAGGTCTTCGGGTGGCCTTATTAATTTGATTTTCTCGAGTGTGGACGTTGGGCTGTGGCCCGTCCGCCGTCGTAGTGGGTTGTGTGTGCAGGTTTGGTTTGCCTGTGTGGACACCCCCGGCCCCCCCCTTCTCCCGTGGGGGGAGCCCCTGACTTTTCCCTGGACTCCGGGAGATCTCCACCGTAGGGGAGTTAAATTTCTGGCCCCAGTGCTTTCTGCAAATGCCCCCTTTTTTCCTGGCTGCCTCTCCTCCTCAGTTTCTCATGTTTGGGCAAATTTTGCCTTGACTTTGAGGCCTGTAGCGCCCCTTACACGGTTTTCTGTTATGGCTCTTCTGCTGTCACGGGTGTTTAGAGCGGCCTGGGAGGGGCGGAGTGTGTGCTCCCGCCGCCCCCGGACAGGAGCCTGTGCAGTCCTGCCGCATGGCACGCGGGTGGCGCCCCTGCCACAGAGCCTCGCCCGGAGGCTCCCCTGTGCCCCCACGCGGGCTTCTCCCTGCCTCGCTTCCAGCCGCGCCTCCTCCCTGGTCACCTTGGCTTTCATGCCGAGAACGTCCCGTTTCCTTTGCCCTGGCTGGCCTCCCCTCGCCTCTAGCATCCCTTCTCTGGCATCTCCTGCCTCTCCCAGGCTAGGCACCCCGGGATCGGGGCTTTGTAACCCCCTAAACTTGCACAGGGCCCCTGTTCCCCCTTTGACCCCGTGAAGCAGTGATTTCTCAATGTCCGTGTCCGACACCAGGCTAAGTCCCCGCAGGTGGTCTTGCCCCCTCGGTGTCCCTTGGGCACCCGGCACAAGAAACACAGGGATTCCTCTGAACTGCGCCCTAGTCTATTACCAGCTCCCTCAGTTTGGGTTCCCAGGAAAGTGGAGCCCAAAGTAAGGGCTTGGGTACACGTGGCTTCTTTGGGCCGTGACCCCGGGGAGCAGAGGCAAAGCCAGTCAGGGTCCATGACCTGCGTGCTGTGGACAGCGCCGGGGACGGCCTAGAGGTGCCGTGCCATTGGCCCTGCGAAGGGCGGGACGGGGGGACGTGTGTCCCAGCAGCTCTCCAGTCCCCGCACTGAGGGCTTCCCCTGCCCACTGCCCTGCCGGGGGCCTCAGGAGCGCTGAGGAAGCCCCAGGCCAGTGGAGAGAGGCAGGGAGCACCCCAGACGGGCCTCTTCGTGTCCCGGGTGCCGTCCTCAGTGTCCACGCTGCCGCGGCTGGGCGGGCTCCGCGGGAGCACGGGGCAGGTGGCCAGGGACGCGAAGGTACCGCTCCCTCTGTGCTCTCTTGTTTAATCCTCGTTGCCGTCCTTGGAGGGGGATTACGTTACTTCCAGAGAATCTCTGACTTAGAATTTGAAGCCATTTTCGTGTGATTTCAAAGCCACTGCTGTTTGTATTACGAGTCGTTCGCAGCATCCCTTCGTTGAGGGCCTGTGTCCCGGGCCCTGGCTGCACAGGGTCCACCTGGGTGACCAGGCCACCCGGGCCGTACTCCCCTGGATGTAGGACTGGGCCAGGGGCAGGTGGACCTCGCGGTTGGCAGTACTTGGTGACCCGTCTGCTCCCGTCGAGGCCCAGCCGGCCCCCGCACGGCCACGCGGGCCCCCGCTTGCTGGGTACTTGTGTCAGGTGATTACCTTCTCCGTGAGATAGACCTGCCAGGACCCCAGGTGGGGGGGGGGGGGTCACGAGGCGGTTGGGGTAAAATCCTGGGCTGTGGGTCCTGGCACATGGTGGGTGGGTGGCGTGCGTGGTTTAGACAGACGTCGGGCCAGTCAGTGGAGAAAACTTGGGAGGCTGGGCGGGGCACAAGGCTACGGCACGAAACCTGGTTCTCCCACTTCCTTCCCTTTTGGAAAAACAGGCCAGACCTCCTGAAAGTGCTGCGTGAACTGCTGTTGGAACGAATGCGCTCGCTAGAGCAGGGAGTTTCCGCAGAACACCTTGATGGGAAGGCCGAGAAGTCACTGACGCCGGTGGCCGTTCAGCTAGGAGGTGAGCTAGGACACCTGGCCCACGTCGACTCGTCGTCCAAGTCCCGTGATGACCCGAGGTCGCCTTGGACAGCCCGGCTGCTCAGGGCGGGTGAAGCGGCCACGCGGGAGCTGAAAGATGCCTCCGTGCAGACCGTGGCCGCGGAGGGCGACACGCTCGGGTTCACAAACCAGGGCAAGAGAGGAGTTTGGGAAGAGGAGCCACCAGACGCCACGTGCCACGCTGAGGGTCAGCCGCGGAGCTTGTGCCTGGTGCCAGGGAGGCCGGCCGCTGCCCTCTCCTTCCCCGGTGGGGCCGACAAAGTAAGCTTTTCTATAGATTATTTATTTATTTTCTTTTTTTATACAAGTGAAAGGCTTAAAAACTCAACTCTGATCTCACTGCTTTTTCTGATGTCTGCAAAATCCGGTGTCTCCCCCTGCCTGCCCCTCGTCTGGCCTCTCCCTAGAGGCGTGTGTTCGTCTTAACCTCCCCCCGGCCCGGTCTTCTCCGTCTGTACATCATGATGACGTTTATGCACTTCTCCTTACAGAGCTGTATTTTTACATCCGCGTGTGGCTTTTTCTTTCCTGCTGTGTATCAGGACCATGTTTCCTTGCGGCGGCTCTGAAATATTCCATTGTGGGAAATGTGCCAAACAGTGTAGGATTTTCACCCACTGGTGGACATTTCCTTTTGCAGGTTGCAGTGAAATTGTGATAACCTGACTTTAGGAGTAGGGCCGAGCACCTCGGTTTTATCTTGTGCGGGCTGTGTGGCGGAGAGGTACTGTTCTGGGGCTTGGTCCACATTTCCCCGGAGATGAGGAAGCCCGACCCGCAGTGCCCACAGCGAGCCCGCAGCTGAGGGGCTGAGTGGAACCCCCCGCGGCTGAGTGCTCTGCTCTACCCGTTCCGAGGCTCGCCCCCCGCTCCTTCTGGCCCAGCGTGGCAGGGTCCGGTTTGGTGGGGGGAATGCATTTGGCTTCGGTCAAGACGCCGTCTCGATGCTTCTCCTCAAATACCATCAAGTGTGCCACACGATTAAGAGCCAGACTCTCTTGGCAGCGTTTGATTGGACCTTTTGCTAAAATCCTCCCGGGCGGAGGGGTTGGGCTGACGCTCCCCAAAGCGGAGAGATGTCAGTGTTCTGGCGGAGAAGTAGGTCATGTCTCTAATAGAGCGCCAGTGATGGCTGTTGGTGTTCTTGTTTCTGATGGGTGTTTTGTATCTGAGAAATCAGCTGTACACACTGCTTCATGGCATCAGAATGGAGAATTAAGTTTATTTTCTGACCACTAAATTACTGCTTTTGTGCATACCAAAGGGAGTTAGATATATCATTAGCAAAATTGCTTTTGATTGTTTTAAATTATGCACCAAAACTGTAATTTCTAGAAAAGGGTTTTCTAAAGATATCAGTAAAGACAAAAAAATAAAAAATAAAAAGACATTGCCATTATATTAACAGTACTTCAGATGCAAATGTGTACGGTTTGGCTGGAATAGAAAGCTCTCATCTGCCCCCAGCTCTGTTAGTTTGTACCTGTGTTTTAGGAAAACTAGATGTTTTTTTTCCCCCAGTTTGTGTGGGAGGTAGCCTCCTTTGTGCAGAAAAATTACATAATCGAATGAACTCATTAATTTCCCCAGATATATAAGTCGTTTTTTTTTTTAGCGTAGAATTATCCTTCTTGCTTGTGGCTTCAAAAGGAAGGCCACAGTGTTTGTTTTTTAGCATCTGCTGTTTGTGCCAGGATCACGCTAGATTTCCTGTACCTATACCATCACGTTTAATCTCCTCAAGAAGCCTGTGAGTTAGATAGGTATTCCCTACATTTTACATGTGAAGAAATACAGACTCTCAAAGTCTCAGAAAACGGTCCAGAGCGAGTCAGCTGTTGGGAGGAGTAGTAAGGATATAGACCGAAGTCCAATTTTAGAGGCGGATAGGGATTTTTTTTTTTTTTTTTTAAAGTAGGCTCCACTCCCAATGTGGGTCTCGACCCATGACCCTGAGATCAAGACTTGAGCTGAGATCAAGAGTTGGATGCTTAACTGACTGAACCACCCAGGTGCCCACGACAGGGGTAGTCTAAACATACTTTTCTCAGGAGGGGAGGGGTCCGCTTGCCACCATCACACGTGGACCAGTGATGGCTCCAAGCCTGGCCACTTACCTTTCCTGGTGGCCCCAGAGGCATCAGGGTGACCTAGGAGCTGAGGCTAGTGCAGTGGCGACAGGAAGAGAAGTGCGGCAAGGGCCTGGCCTGCTGGTGCTCTGTGCATGCCTGTGCATGTGTACGTCGGGCTCGGCGTGCGTGCGTTCCTGTCCCCCTTCCGCTCCCAAGTGAGGACTTCCATGTTGACATCTTTCATAAGGCGGTAGGTGGGGCTGTGCACAGTGTCCATAAGGTAGCATTTTGTGTGGTGTTATTTTAGAACCCGCATTAGGGTGACTGACGGCAGTCTTCCAGCCTGAAATTGGCTTTGGCATTTGTGCACTTGCAGATATCTTTTCTCCTGCCATATGACACACAGATTTGGATCCAAGAATAAAGATTGGTGGAGACCGAGGATCAAGCCAGTGACTGTTATTCTGCGGTCCTCTTTGATGGGCACCCCCCCCCCCCACCGCCAACAGACCCCCTTCCCACCTCAAACTGTCCTTGGCCTTGAACCTGCTCTCTGCCCTGGAATGTTGGGTGTCAGAGAGTGTCTTACTTTGCTTAACCGAGCAGTAGAGGCTGGAGAGCCGTTGTGACGTCCCCCCTCTGACCTCCTCGTTGTACGACATTGGACTGGTTGGTTGACCTCCCAGTTTTTTGTCTGGAAAATAGGCCCGGTAACGTCTATTATCCTGTGAGTGCTGAGATTGCAGAGCTGGCCGGAGGACCCTGGACAGTGTGCTTGAAAGCATGTTGCATCCCAGAACATGCACGCGGGGCTCTTTCCGCCCTTTTCCTGCTTTCAGAGTCCTTGCTGATTTCGTCATTCCCAGGGTCCCCAGTATTTCCTGTTTTCCTCTCAGGTTCCTTCCTTCTCTTCCACTTAAAAAATAAAAAGAGTAATAGCCCCATTGAGGGATAAGCCACATGTCCTAACAGTTTATCCATTGACAGGGCGTACTGCAGTGAGTTGTTTGGTCTTTTTCTTTTTTTGGTAAATCCGTAGTTACGGATCTACTACCGTAACCGATTATAGAACGGGCTTAATCATCCAAAAAGAAACCCTGCCGGACCCATCCATTGGCGGTCACTTCCCGTTTCCCCCTAGTGCTCTAGCTGTGGGCAACCACTGACCTACTTTCTGTCTTTAGATGTCTGGCTTCTCTGGATGTTTCGTAGAAAGGGAATCACGTAACACGTGATCTTTGGTGACTGCTTCCACTTAGCGTAGCATTTTCGAGGTGCGTTCGTGCTGGAGTCTTTATCGGTAGTTCATTTCTTTATATCGCCAAGCGATATCCATTGTATGGATGTCACACATTTTATTTATGCATTCATCAGTCGATGGACGTTTGGGTTATTTCTGCCTTTTAGCGATCATGAATAACGTCGCTGTGAACGTTCACATACAAGTTCTTGTGCGGACGTGTGTTTTCACGTCACCCGGGTAAACACCGAGGAGTGGAATCCGGGGTCGTGTGGGAACTCGGGAGAACCCCCGGGCTGTTTTCCATAGTAGCCGCTCCTAGTTTACATTTTCATCGGAAACGTGGGGGTTCCAATTTCTCCACAGCTTTGCCGGCACTTGTTATTATTTTGATTAGAAGCTGTCCTAATGAGTTGGGAGTGGCAATATTCTATTGTGATCTGATCTAGATTTCCCTGACGACTAACGACACTGAACGTGTTTTCATGTGTTTATTGGCCATACAAAGGTCCCCTTTTGAGAAATGTCTATCAGATCCTTCGCCCACCTTTTCTTTGAGTTATATGTGCTTTTTCTTATTGAATTGTGATAGCCCTTTACATATTTCTAGGTTTTGTCCCTCTCCCCAACTTTTCAATGTACTTAAAATTCCCCCCACTTGAAAGACGTCCCCATTTGGCCTCTTAAGTCATTCTTTGCATGTTCATTCCACAAATAGTTGCTATAGAGTACCCACTGTGTTCTTGTGCCGGAGGCTGTGATAGAGTACGACCAAGCAACGCAGAGTCCCGAACCCTGGAGCTTACAGGCCAGTGCAGAAGGTAGACAGAGAACAAGTAATGGCACAGGCATTTAGTTATGAGGGTACTAGTGTTCTCCCTAGAGAATTGTAGGGGGCGGTGAGGGTCCGTACCAGGGAGACCTGACCTGGTCTTGGAAGTCAAGGCCCATTCTCCCGAGGAAGGCACATATGAGTGAGGTCCTAGTGAATGTACGGGGATTACTGGAGTGGTGGGGGTGGGCAAGAGAGTGTGCTGTAGACAGGGGCGACGGTGCGTGCCGAGCCCCTGGGGTGGAAGGAACATAGACATTTGAGGCGCTGACAGAGGGGAGTGTGTGGGCCTAGGGGAAGTGGGAGAAGGGCAGTGACCGGGGCTGCAGGTCACGTACAGCATGGCGGCCGCGGAAGGGATTTTGACCTTGGTCCTGAGAGACCGGGAAGTACGCCGGTGGTTGTAAGCAGAGGCGAGGGATGTCAGCTCTGCCTTTCCTGTCACAGTCTGGAGAGTGGGCTAGAAAGGGCAGGAAGGGCGAGGGGGAGGGGGCCCGGAGGCGGCTGTGTGGCAGGTGAGCGCCAGCAGTGTTTAGGGGTGGGATGGGGGCCGTGGGAGGCAGCGAGGAGAGTCCAGAGACCTCAGAGATGCGTTGACAGCTGCAATTAATGGAGCCTGGTGAGTGGCGAGGGTGGGCGATGGGTGTGAAGAAGAGCGGTTCGATAGACTTCCAGCTTTGGGCTGCACAGTGAGGGGACGGTGGTGTGATCCACCAACATGGAGCGTGTGGAAGCGGCGTAGCTTCGGGGTGGGGACTGGGATGATGGGCGGGAGGAGCCAGGTGCTGGGCTGGCTTCGAAGTGCCTGAGAGCCAGTGGAAAGGAAGATGTCGAGGTTAGGCAGGCGGGAGCTCGAGCCTGGGCGAGAGCCGCTGGATTAGTGACTCGGTAGCCCCCGAGAACCTCAGTAGGGGTGGCTGCGGTGCACTAGCCGACTGGCCGAGCCTGCGCAGCGGGCGGGGGCGGGCCAGGAAAGTGTTACTCAGAAGATGGTGTTGGCCAGGGGACCGCCATCGCGTGAGCCTCTGGGTGTCCACAGAGACAGTGCGCCAGGGCCAAGAGGGCGTCCAGGAGGAAAAGCTGGGCACTTGCCGGTCAGAGGAGGGACGTGGCAAGACACGGGAGATAAACGTGGATGCCACCCCTGGAAGCAGAAGTCTGGGCAGCCGGTCTGAATCCTGTTTACAAGGTTGGCACGGGCTCGACCAGAGGAGGTGTATTCATTGTCCTGTGTGTGTGTCTCTCCAGGATGCTACGAAGTCCCGCCTGCCCATCCTGATAAAACCGTCCCGGTCATTAGGAAATGTGTATCGGCTCCCTGCCCCCCAGGAGGTGGTGGCCCAACTGCAGGGTCAGATCTTGGAGCTGCAGGGGGAGCTGAAGGAGTTTAAAATCTGCAATAAGCGACTGCATCAAAAGTTGTTTCTGGCTGAAGCAATGATGGAGGAGAGGCCAGCAGCAGACAAAACGCTACAGGAAGGTAAGTGTGCAGTGTGCTCTCCGTGAGCTGGACGAACGTCCGATAGAGCTGCTCGAAGTGTCAGCCTTGTTGTTTAGAACTGCAGTAAGTTTGAGCATGAATTTTATGAATTACAGTGGTTGATCTTGACTCTTGACAAAGACACAATGAAAGGAACACAATAAGGAAAACGAATCAATTGTTTTCATTTTATTCTGGAGTCTGGGTAAAGGGGCTTGTAAGTGCGCGCGGGTCTTGTGAGGTCACTGCCTTCCCCAGGATGGTCTGCAGGGGCCCCGGCCGTGGGCTGACTCGAGTCCAGGTGGCTTTTTTGGCGTTACCTGTGGAAGCCTGAGGCGTGTGGCACCGTGTGTGTAAGTGAGAGCCCTCCTGGGGGGGTTTTCTAGAACGTCCGGGCTACGTTACCGTGGCCTCCTCAGGGCTCATTCCAAACCCTATCGAGGGATCCCTGGGTGGCGCAGCGGTTTGGCGCCTGCCTTTGGCCCAGGGCGCGATCCTGGAGACCCGGGATCGAGTCCCACGTCGGGCCCCGGTGCGTGGAGCCTGCTTCTCCCTCTGCCTGTGTCTCTGCCTCTCTCTCTCTCTCTCTCTCTCTGTGACTATCATAAATAAAAAAAATTAAAAAACAAAAAAACAAAAAAACAAACCCTATCGAGCTTATGCCTTCCTCTGGAAGTGACCTGCCTCCGTAGCCACTTTGCCGTGTCTGCACTCATGGGAGCTCCCAAAGTAGAGAGCCCCTGGGTTAAAATGTATCCGGGTCAGACTGCATAGACGTGGAGGGCGTGTCACAGCGGTGACCGTGGTGTTGAGGTTTTGGACCACTGCCCCTTGGAGCGTCTCAGGAAAGCCGAGGGCCGCGGAGCATAGGCGAGCACACGGCAAGCGTTGAACCTCGTTTTCAGAGGGATCACGAGTCCACAGAAGTACCTCGTCGACTCCTGGTTTTGAGCTTGTGCTGTCAGCGCGTGACAGCAGCACCTGATACCAAGAACGACAGCAGCAACCTTCTCTTTCTCCAAAAAGTATTGCTGCAGCCCTGCTGTGTGCTGGGCGCTACCGTAGGCCCTGGGGACGGGCTGAACAAAACGGGTGCAGGTAGAGATGGCGGGTGCGGGGAGGACGGAGGGCGGCTGAGGCACGGGCAGTGTGGAGGGGGGTAGAGTTTGCTGCCGTCCATCCGCGGAATCCTAGAGCCTCCCTGACGAGGTGACATTTGAACCCGGCCGGGAGCAGATGAGTGGAACCCTCAGCGTGGAAAGTGTCTTTGGCGGCAGGCACAAGGGCAAAGTTCCTGATGTTGCTTTGAATCTGGGGAGTTGGAGGCCAGTTACGTGGCCGGAGCAGATGGGAAAGTGGGGCAGGAAGGTCAGGGAGGTGGCCCGTCGGGCGGCCCACGGAGGCCGCTCTCGGGCCTGGTCTCTTGCGCAGGCAGGCCTGGAAGCGGTGGCAGGGTTTCGGGGAGCAGAGCCACGTGGCGTGACTTCGGCTTCCCGGCAGGGACGGGCACACCGTGGCCGGGGGCCACCCTCGCTGCGTGTCCTGAAGTCTCCTTGGAGCTCAGGGACACACGCTGGTTTGCACGTAGCCTGTGACTGCGTTGGTGCTGCGCTTGCGGAGCAGCTGTGGTGGAGGCCCCGCGGCCGGCGCCCGTCCCACTCCGTCTTTGGCTCTGGACAGGAGGAGGCCGCCCGCCGCGTGGAAGGACCCCTGGTACCCTGAACCATCGGGGCGGCGGTGCTGTGCCGTGCGGAGGTGGCGGGGCCGCGGGCGGCCGGTGTCGGCTCTGGGGCCCCTCGAGGAGCCAGTTGGCCAGCCCCGCGCGGTGCCAGGCCGGCAGTCGGGGGTACAGGGCTGTGCGTTCGGCAGGTGGCAGCGTGTCGCCGGCGTCTGCAGTAGGAGACTTGGAGACCCGGGGAGCGGCCCCGGGCTGAGCCTCTCTGTGAGCGGGGGTTGGGCGGGGAAGGAGCAGCCCAGGAAACGGGGGCCCGAGAGGACGGCATCCAGGAGCCGGGTGGACGGCAGGTGCGCCCCGTCCAGCGTTGCCAGTCAGTAAGACCAGGCCAAGGGAGTGGCCTCCTGGGAGTCCGGAACCAGCCCTCACGGTGACCTCGGAGGGCACCGTTGTCCTGGCGTGGCCGAGGCCGGCCTGCCACAGCTCCCGGAGAGCCGGCGTGGGGAGGAGAGGACACGGCAGGAAGGGACCGCCCGGGGCGGTTGCCCATACAACGGTGCAGACAAACACGGGGAGCCACGTAGTCAGCGAGGCTCTGGGGGCCCCGGGGGTCAGGTGCCGGGTGACTGCGGGGCGCGTGGTCCCTGGGTGGCCTGGCGGCTTGAGGCGCGGAGCTGGGGTTTCCGGGAGGAGAGCGTGCCCTGGAGGCGTCAGTGGGGAGTGAGGGCACCTCCTGTTCTGGGCCGCGGCCCTGGGAGCGGTGGTCGGGGGCGGCATCCGCTGCTGGGCGGCCGCGGGGGAGCCGTGCCGGGGACGGTCCTGGTCCTAGCACGGGCGGCACGGCGCGTTCAGAGCGACACCGGGCTTGTTTGCAGTCGTGCCACCGAGGCGCTCGCCTCCCTCACGGGCGGGAGATGGCAGCGGCTGTGGGGACTGCGGGCAGGAGGCGCCTGGAGCCTCGCACGGCCCGCGTCCGGGACACGATCTGTGCCGGGGGTGTCGCGCCTCCCTGCCCGCCTGAAGGCCGCCGTGCGGGGGCATCTTCCTCACTGCCCTTGAGGCAGAGCGGTCCCCGCCCCGTTGTATCACCAGGCGGCACTTGGAGCGATGGAGGGACCTGGCTGCGGTCGCGGTCAGTGACGTCGGACCTGGATTCACACCCGTCTGCCTGGTTTCCAGGCCGTGCCCTGCGCTGCCTCTGAAAGCCCGCTGTCCCCACCTCGCATGTGGGTTTTCTGGTGACCCGTAGCCCCTGGTGTTCCCCACGGATCGTTGGGTTCTTGGGTTCAGCACAGTGGAGGTTTCGGGACGGGCGGGCCGTCGGTGGCATGGCCGTCCCCGCCCCCGTCCCTTCCGGTCCTCGCCTCCTCCCGCGCAGCCGTCTAGCCCCGCGTTCGTGGACTCCCCCGGGAACACAGCAGGTGCTCTGTGTGTGGGAGACAGAGACACGCGGGAGGGGTGAGCGGGTCTCTGCCTTCGGAGGACTCCCAGACCATTGGGGGGGGGGCAGATAGTTCACGGAGCAGCGCGGGCGGGAGCGGGGCGCTCGGGCCGCGGACCTGATGGCACTGGGCGCGGGGCCTGCGGTGCACACTCTCCCCGTGCGTGTTTCTGGCTGAGACAGCAGGGTGCCTCGACCAGGTGCCACCCCGGGTGCCCAGAGGACCCCGAGGCCTCTGCTCGGACGAGTGGGCCCGAGTCTGTGGAATTCATTTTCTCACTCATAGTTTTTTGAGAGCCTGGACTTAAACCATTTCAGACAAGCTGCAGCGTATTTATGCTTTTTACGTCCTGTTATGGCAGCTCGATAGATTAATTTTATCTTATAAATTGCATTTTGCCTCCCCAGTGTTTTTATTTTCCCTGTTGTATCTTTGTGTTCTTCTCAGTTGCTTGGCTGAGTTTCAAGCCTATGGTTTTATTTATTTTTCCTTCCTTCCCGAACGCCTGCAGCCCAGCCCCTTGTGGGAGCAGCCTACCAGGACGGCCCGGGAGAGCAGAACGGAGCCAAAGCCATGCCCTGTGTCTGGAGAGCCACGGAGGGGGACAGTGATCACGCCACCCACGAGACCGGTCAGAACGCAGGCCCGTGTGTACTGCGCAGCCCGGGTGCGGGCGCTCCTTGGGGTGTGCTGTGGGGGGCGGTCGCGAAGCCCGGCAGCCGGCATCTCGGGACCTCGTCGTCAGTCCCACTTAACACGGGAGGAAGCTGAGGTTATTAAACAGAGTTGATGCAGGGTCGTCCAGCTGGTCAGCGGTAGGCGGCTGCGGGTGCAGGGGACCGGGCGTCAGAGCTCACCGAGCACTCGTCACGCCCTTGCCCCGGCCGCAGCCGGGTGGGCGCCGCGGGGTGCTGCTGCGCTGGGCGGGTGCTGGGGGGTGCTGCTGCTGCTGCGCTGGGTGGGTGCCGGGGGGTGCTGCTGCTGCTGCGCTGGGCGGGCGCCGCGGGGTGCTGCTGCGCTGGGCGGGCCGGAGGTGAGCCCGAGCCGCTCCGGAGCAGGAGCTTCGTCACTGCTCGGTGTGGAGGCGCAGGGACAAGGCCCCAGGCGCGGCCCATCTATTTCAGCACAAACGGTCCTAAAAGGATGTTCTTGTCCCCTGCCCCTGGAAGGAACACGTGCTGTTTTCTCTTCACCTTCGATCCACTCCCTCCTCTTTTTTTGTTTAAAAAAAAAAGTCCACTTGAATCAGGACTAGTTCACCGTGTAGGAAACCTCTTCAGGCGTCCTAAACTTGCCGCGAGGCGGCCCTGAGATTGCGGGGATGCCCCTGGCTCCCCCGAGGCCGCCGGCCAGTGCGGGGGACCCGTGGTCACGTGCTCCTGAGTGTCGTGGGCTTGGAGGGGAAGGCTGCTCTGCCGGGCGTGCAGGTGCCCCCACGGAGTCCAGGAAGGTTCCAGAACTGCAGCGTTTCCTCCAATGTGGACGACTGGTTCTGGGGACGCCGGTGGCTTTCCTGTCGGCGGTGCGTCGGCGGCCAGGGCTTCCTGGCGGGCTGGCAGTCTCCCTCCCAAGTGCCCAGCGTCACGGAGCGCCTCTCCTCCTTCCGCAGGTGCTTCTGGTTTGCCTGGGGGCTGCCTCTGGCTGCACGGCCCCCTCTGTCGCCCGCAGCTGCTCTGTCCCTAGGGCTCTGCCTCCTGCCGCTTTCCAGGTCGGGCGTCCGGGCTCCTCGGTGTCGGACGCTGCCGGCAGCCCCTCGCGCTGGCCTCCAGCTGACCGGTTCGGGCGTCCGTGGTGCCTCCGCTGCCCTTGGCAGGTGCCGGGAGGCGAGCGCAGGGGGCGCCGCGGTGTTACTGGCTGCGACCCGGAGCGCGAGGGGCCGTCCCGGCTCAGCACCCGACCTCGGGGACGGGGACGCCAGCTGCTGCAGGAGGCGGTGGCCGGGCTCGGACGGAGGGCTCTGCTGCTGCTGCGCCCCGAGCCTCGGGCCACGTCTGCCTCTGAACCTCCATTTCCTCTTCGGCCAGATGGGGCTGCCAGTGACGCCTCACAGGTTGTCCTGAAGGCTGCGCGCCTGGTCCTTAGGTGCGCAGGTGACGCTGACCTGGCGTTGGGCCAGGTCCCGGCTAAGCCTACAGCCCCCGCGTGCCACGGCTCTGAGTCCTCCCTCCCCGCGCCCTCCACGCAGGGATTCGAGGTGAGAAGTCCGCCTCCGGCCCTTCATCCGGGGCTACTGAGCCGCGAAGTTGAGTCGCCGCGCGGGTGCCGGGCTGCGAGACGTGCTGGACGCTGGTCTCGGAGCCTGGAGACCAAACCTGTGCCGCCGCTCAGTCACGGTGCTGTAGGTCGAGGGCAAGAGTGCAAATGTCAGTCGTGCTGTGGAGCCGACTGTTGCTGTGCGGGTGCGGACCGTCCCCGTCGGCAGGTGCGCGTGTAGCTGACGTCCGTGCATCGTGGGAGGGCGTCCGTGAGGGGCTCATCGCGTTGGTCTCTGCTCTGTATTCCCCGAGTGAACGAACACTGCTGCTTGCCATGAAATTCCGTTACCGTGAGGCCGTTCCGGCAACGGTAGTTCCTTGGTTTGGAAGGTGACTCGCTGGAAAGAAAGCCCGTGGGGGCCTCGCGTCTGTCCCTGTGTGGCGCTCCTTCAGCCAGCAGGCCCTTCCGGGGTACCTTCTCTGCCCCGGCCCCGCGCCAGGCCCGCGGACGGACACGCCTGCCCCGCACCCCAAGAGGCCGCGGACACCGGTGACGACCGCAGATGGCGTGCAGCAGCGGTGCGGTACTGGGAATGCTTCCTTAGGTCATGCGGCAGCCGCTTTCTAAAATAAAAGGAGTTATTTTATGGTACGTGCGTCGTGAGCAGAGAGGAACGGGCGTGTGGCCACGAGGAACAGTTGCAGAACCCAGAAGTTGGAACGTGCGGCGTGACGAGCACTTCTGTGCGCTCCCCTTCGGAGCCCGTCCAGGGCCTGTCACCCAGCCCACAGGCTTGTCGGTGCCGCGGTTCCCCTGGCCCACAGCCCCTGCTCGCGGGCCCCCCGCCTCCCGTGCTGGGCACCCCCTTCCAGCTCCCAGCATCCCGGGGCGGGGGCGCTGTCGGCATCAGGCTCCTCCACCACCGTGTGCCGCACGCACGCCTTCTGCAGGAGCTGTCCCGGTGGAGCCTCCGACCACAGCCGGCGGAGCCCTTCGTGGTACCTGGTGTTCTTCCCGTTCTGTGGACGAAGCCTCTGAGGGAGGCTCAGGGGTCGGGAACCTGGCGGCCCAGGTCACGCAGCCAGGAGGTGGCAGGGCCGGAGCTCGGGCCAGGTCTGCTGGCCTGTGAGGCCGGGTGTTTCCACGCCTTCTGCAGCCTTCCGAGGACTCAGACGGCCGTGCACGGAGCTGAGCGTCCCCTGCACGCAGGCGGTGTGCTGCGTGGTCCAGGACGGATGCTCCGGACTCAGGCCGGAGCTGGGAGTTCCCGGCAAGCAGCTTAGACATCCTTGTGGGGACACTGAGGCTCGAGACGTGAAATTACCCCCCTCAGGCCGGTGTGTGGGCAGCGCGTGGCCAAGCCGGGTGTGAGCCCCGCTCCCTTTGGCCTCGCGGTCCCGCCCACCCTCAGGCGAGCCTGGCCGCCCTCGGGGGTTCGGGGGTTCAAACGACCGTCGGGAAGTACTTCCTGGCAGGGTCGTGCGTCAGTGGGACACTCACGCAGGGGCCATCGCGGCGCCCCCGGGAAACTGGAAACGACTCATCAGTCCTGAGCTTTGGAACGACTGCTCTTCAGCGTTACTTCACACGGGCCCCGGTGCCCGTCAGAGCCTCGGCCGTCTGGCCTGGCTTAGGCGCCGTCCCTGAGGGTGTGAGGGTGAGGCTGCGGGAGCCGGGAATCCAGGAGCCCACGTAGTTCCTACGGCAGCACCCAGCACGGCCGAGCGCCCCGGCGGAGTGCGGAAGGCGCTGTGGGGGCGCGGGCGGAGCGACAGGTCGGCGTGGAGGTGGGCCCGTGGGAGGAGGGTCAGAGCTGCGCGCTCAGGGGTAGGCAGAGTTCGTTGAGCGGGCGCAGGGGAGCGAGTGAGCCCCAGGCCGAGGGAAGAGCACGTGCAAAAGCATAGAGGCCCCCCACGGCCCGGTGGGTGCAAGGGATTGGGGCGAGCTGTGGGGCATCTCCAGAGGTGGTGGAGGGGTGTCCAGGGCGGGCTGCCCGGCTACTCGGCGGAGGGGCCCCGGCGCTGCCAGAGGATTTGGGGTTTAATCCTTGGTGATGAATTGGAGGTGGGCGTTGGTGGGCGTCGTGGTCAGTTCACGTTTTAGAATAGTTGCTCTGAGGAAGAGGCCGGTTGGGAGGTAGGAGAGGGGCTAGGCCAGAGAGGCCTGGGGGCGGCCGCGGCCCTGCGGGGACGGCGGTGGGGACGGCGGTGGGGACGGCGGTGGATTTCGGCCCAGGCCGTGCTGACGCAAGTGTGTCTCATTCGCAGACGCTGAGATCCACCCGCCCGACGGCCTTGCCGTCTTGCCCACATGCCAAGGGAATTCTGAAGATTTTCCAGGCCCAGCCGTGGTAGCTGCCTGCTGGAGTTCTAAGAGTCCGCTTTCCGCCGCAGTCAGCGCGTTTGGGGCCCCTCCGTCTGAGAACATCGACGCCTCCAGTGATACAGAAAGCTTAAAACAGAAAATCCGTGACTTGGAAACTGAGCTCCAGGGCTACCGGAATTTCTTATTTCAGCTGCAGAAGCACTCGCAGTGCAGTGAGGCCATTATCACGGTTTTGTGTGGGACAGAAGGGGGCCGGGATGTGCTGAGCAAGCCCAAGGGTAGCGCCGACGAGGAAGAAATGACGTTTTCAAGTTTGCACCGAGTGCGTTACGTGAAGCACATGAAGATCCTCCGGCAGCTGGGCCCAGAGGTGACCGACGGCGGGCTGCTGGAGGGCCTCAGGCAGCAGCCCCTGCAACAGGAGCGCGAGCTGCAGAAGGAGCAGAATTTGAACTTGGGGCTTTTCAGTGAAATCCACGACCTGCAGAATAAGTTCCGAGATCTGTCACCCTCCAGGTACGTCCCCCGCTGCTTGTCCCACTGTTGCCGCCGCGGTTCCCCCGCTGCCCCTAGGTCGGAGCCCCCGAGCTACGGGGCAACGCTGCTCGGCTGGCGGTGGGGGGTGGGCACTGGGGGAGGCTCCACGGTGCGAGGCCGCTGGGCCCGAGGAGAGGTGGGCACGAGGCCACAGACCGCAGGGGCCGTACACATTCTGGTCTCGCGGCTCCTGAAGCTGGCGGAGCGGACGTTGCCCTCGTCAGCCTGGGTGCTGAGGCCAAGGCGAGGGTTTGGCCCTCGGTGAGTTGCGGCACGTTTGCCGCCCGGCCGCGTCCGCTCGCGGAGCCGCTACTGCCTTTCTCCCTGGGACGGAGACCGACGTCCTAGGCCGGGTGGGAAGAACATAAACCTGTTCCAGATCTTTCCCCTTTAAGGTCATCCTCGAGCATCGGCCCGCGTAGAAAGAGAAGAGTTCTTAGGCCGTGCTTGACGGGCACAGACACGTGCAGCTTTGCCTTATGAGCTGTGACGACAAAGCCGTCACTTGTGAAGTTGACCTTCATTCGTCACTTACTTGCTTCACTTGACAAACGTGTAGTTCGGAAGCGTCAGGAGCCAGAGTGGGTTTTTTCCAGCCTTCCCGAGCGGCAGGACGGGAGGAAGCCCGTGTTTATCGAGGGGCAGTGGTAGCGTCAGACCCCCGCTGGCCACTGATGAGCGCTCGGTCAGCCGGAGAGGAGGGCCTCTCACACGTGTTTCTGCGGGTGAGGACGCGAGCCTCGAGCGGGCTGCCCGAGGGGACGGGGCGTGCCCAGAGCCGTGGCGGGCCGCGGGCCCCCGTGCCCCGGTGCTTCCTCAGCCCCCCTGCCGTGCGGGGCCACGTGATCGGGGCATCAGCAGCCCCACGCCGGCCTCGCTTCAGGGAAGGGGCGACCGAAGGGTCAGCGTCCGTGCCGAGCCCTGGGGGCCAGGTTACTGTGGCCGCAGCCGGCGGGGGCCGCACTTCCCTTAACCCGTATTCTTCCCCGTGCCGGGAGGACGGGCGGGCTCGTCCGGGCAATGGCGGGTCGGAGCCAGGAGGCGGTGCTGATAGAGCACGGGCCTCGGGGGCACGCTGCCGTCCCCGCTTGCCCGTGCCAGCGGAGTCCGGTGCCCCCCGGTAAGTGAGGAGGTTCACGGGTTTGACAGAAGGTCGCAAGGACAGTTCGCTTATTAAAAACCCCTGATGCGGTGACTGGCAGGTCGCGGACCCTCCGTAAGTGGTAGTCAGCGTGGCGATTCCTCCCTGACCTTTCAGTCGAGGGGAGAGAGTCCCATTTTTGTTTTCCCGAGTTACGGTTTCTTTTTTGTTCGTGAGAATTTGTGGTAGGTCCCCTGACCCTCGGAACACGTGTTTCAATGGTTCAGAATATTATTTTTGAAGAGTAGATGGGAACTAATTGTCCTCCTGAGTTCTTGCCCGTCTGTGCTGTGATTGGGGGCTCTATAAGGTCAAAAATGTTGCAGAAGAACCTTTGTTCCAGCATTTGTTGGCCGTTTTGAAATCGAAGGAGCGACCTTGCGCACTTCCAATTTTTCTGGAAGTGTGTATGCTCGTAGAGCCGCAGGCTTTTAGAAATTGTGCTCTGTCATTTTTCCAATTAGTGTTAAGGTCACAAAAATTCAATTCAAAAATGGTACAAGCATTTTCTTTCCCCCCTTTTATCAGATACGATTCATTAGTTCAGTCCCAAGCCAGGGAGCTCTCCCTTCAAAGACAGCAGATTAAGGAGAGCCACGGCATCTGTGTCATCTACCGGCAACATATGAACGCCACGAGGAAGGCGTTCGAGCGGTTGCTGCGGGCCGGCGACGTGGATCACGACGTGGCCGAGGGTTTCCAGGAGCAGCTGAATCAATGTGCCGGGCTGCTCGAGAAATTGGAAAAGCTGTTTCTCAGCGGTAAGTGGGGCGAGGGATTGCGAGTCCTCAGACACATCATCATTTATTGATCCAGGACGTCTTTGGGAGGGGCCGGAGCAACCGCTCTGCTCTGACGAGGTGACAGCGGAGCCACACGGGCTGCCTCCCCTCCAGGGACTGCTCCCGTGGGCCTGGCGGTCTGCTCTGCCGCCAGCCCGGGTCAGGGCGCTGAGGCCCCACCCCGCACGCACCTGCCCCGTGCTTGCTCTGAAGCCTCAAGGGAGGCTGGAAATCGGGTCTTGCTGGGCGGTGGGAGTGGGAGTGGATAAGAACTCAGGAGTCGTAAATGTTGGCGACGCTAAACAAGACGAGCAAAGAAGAAAACCTCAGACGTTTATTGGTTGAAAAAATATATTCAAGGGTCAGAGGTGGTTAGAGGAAGCATGAAAGAGAACCTTTGCTGAACAGTGGCTGTGCGCCAGGTACTTCAGTAGATGTCACTGCATTTGACTAGAAATAATCATCATTCACGATGTTTTTGAGACGAGAACGGCAAATTCTATTACGCTGTTTACCCAGCTTCATCACTTTCGTCTTATGTGCTTTGCCATTTTCTCCTTCTCTCTGTAAATATTCAGACCTAACTCGACTTATGATGAGGTCACAGTAGACCCACCATAAAGTTCAGAATACTTTATCGTCAAGTCAAAAATGCACTTAACACACGTGACCTACCCAACGTCATGGCTCAGCCCGGGCACCATACACGGGCTCAGAACACGTGGTCGACAGTTGGCGATATCCTGTGAAAGAAAGCCCACCTTATGACAGAGTAGTGAGTGCCTCATGTCCTGTGTCGAGGGCTGTGCTGAAGGCGAGAAGCAGGATGGCCAGGTGGGTCCCGGACGGTTGTACCAGTCATTTACCCTCGTGACGGCGGGGCTGACGGGGCGTGTGGCTCGCTGCCGCTCCCAGAATCACGAGGGAGAGCCCTACTGCATGCCTCTAGCCTGGGGAAAGGTCAAAATTCAGAATTTGAGGTATTCTCCACCGAACGCCTGTTGCTTTTGCACCGTCCTAAAGTCGAAGATGTAACTTGCAGCCTCCTCAGTCAGGGGCCCTCTGCATGTGTACACACATACGTGCGTGTACGCACACGTTGGTATTTTTCTTTAAAGATTCTATTTTTAAGTGATCTCTACACCCGATCGTTGGGCTCGAACTCCTGACCCGGAGATCAAGAGTCACACGCTCCACCGACTGAGCCCGTCAGGTGCCCTCCAGGCGCCCGACATTCTTCTTCTTACCCAGGAGCCCAGCATCAGCATCATCATCATCGTCGTCGTCGTCATCATCGTCGTCATCATCTCTTCCTAACCTTCCCAGGGTGGATTGGCCGTATCCTGTCCCTTCCCTCTAGATGCGGCAAAGCGTGTGGCCCCTCACGCCAAGGGCGTTGTTCTCTACGGCCTCAGAGCCACTGTTGAATTCATGACGTAGTGTCGTCATCCCGTGTACAGGCTGTGTTGAACTTTCACTAATTTTTTTTTTAAGTTTTTTTTTTTTTTATAATTTTTATTTACTTAGGATAGTCACAGAGAGAGAGAGAGAGAGAGACAGAGAGAGGCAGAGACACAGGCAGAGGGAGAAGCAGGCTCCACGCACCGGGAGCCCGACGTGGGATTCGATCCCGGGTCTCCAGGACCGCGCCCTGGGCCAAAGGCAGGCGCCAAACCGCTGCGCCACCCAGGGATCCCGAACTTTCACTGATTGATTCACTAATGCCTTTTACGAGTCTTATTCCTGATTCCGATCCAGGACCCGGTCCCCACGTTACATTTAGTTGTCACGGGTCTTTGGCTTTCTTTAGCCTTTTCCTTCACCCTTTGCCTTTCACGACGTGGACCTGTTTGAAGACTTCAGGCCAGTGCCCCAGTTTGGGATTATCTGTTGCTTCTTTACGATGAGATCAGATGGCGGAGATGAGATTGGTTAGGTGGTTTTGGCAAGAATGCTGCAGCGCTGTCGTGTTCTCGTGGTACCGGGTTTACGAGGCGCATGCCATCGGCTTGTCCCGTTGGCGAAAGTAACTTCGGTCGCTTGGTTGAGGTGATGTGAGTCAGGTTCCTCCGATATGAAGGACCGTGTTTCCCTGTGTGATATGTAAGCAGTCGGCGGGGGGACTTGGCGACCCCGTAAATACCTGGTTCTTCATCAGGTGCTCACCTGAGTCGTGCTCCGTGTCCTGTCTCGGCTGCTGCCGTGATGCTGGCCGCGTGGCGGCTTTTCCCCTAATGCCGTCATTCCTCCCTCCTTCCTTATGAGACGGCGTCTGCTACAAGGACCGACTCTCCCTTTATCTCCCCTTCGTGGACTTGCGGCTTCTTACTCTATCCAGCAGGATAGTGTTTGTCCTGTCATTCGTACTAACGCGCACGTTGTTCTGGATGTGGCAAGTGGCAATTCCTTTTGACAGGTCTCCCTCTTTTGGGGAGCACTTCTGTGCTTTCTGGCACGAAAAAAGATGTTCCAGCCTCGTTGGTACTGTCCCTGCCCCTGAGTCAGCCATTTCTCCAAGTAGCCCTGGTTCATCTTAGAGGGGGATGCCCTTTAAAAGCCATGGTACGGGGTGTTTTGACTGCTACTAGAGTGTCGTCGTTTCCAGGCCATTTAGCAGGCAGAGCGAGGGTAGATCTCAGGTGCATGTGCACACATCCGATTGTGTGTGTAACAGCATCTGATTTATTTTAAAAATGGTTATTTCACAGCGGTGCCTCCAGTCCCAGTCCAGCCCCGTGTGTCCTTCCTTGCTGTTCCCGCTTCCGCGTTGGGTCCCGTCCCCAGCAGCGAGGGGCCCGGCCCTCACAGTGTCACTGTCTCCGCCGCTGTGCCCGCTTCTCTAACACACACAGATGGGTCCAGGGCTGCCCCCTCCGAGCCACTGTGAGACACAAACCCACGAAAAGATCACGGTTTATTTCTAGACCTCTTAGTTTTTAGGCTCAGGAGACATAGTCAGGGATTAGACTTAAAAGTTGCTTGGCTTCATTCTTTCTACAGTGTTTGAAGTATGATCAGATCTATTTTTTTCCCGCTTGCATTTATTTCCCAGTTTTAGGGTTTGTCTCCTGTTTTTCCTGGTTTGATTTTATTCTTTGAATATGAAAACTGTGAAGGTGGTTCCCCAGTTAAAACTTTATCCATTTAAATGGCCTCTGTGACGTCACTATTTTGCTCCCCTCCTGTGTATCCACCCGGCTAACTTCCCAGGGCCCTTCTCTCCCACGCCTCCTGGAACGGCTTTCAGGCCGCAGCTCTCCACGGAAGTGGCCTGTGCCCGAGGCACCGACAGCTTCCCCTCTGCTGAAGCCGGCGATCGGTTTTGGACCGCACGTGGCTCAGACTCCCCGTGGTTGTGGATGTGGCCAGTCCCTCCCCCCGGGGACACCCCGTTCCTCCCTGGGCTGCTAGGAAGACCGCCCCCGGAGCCAGCGCTCCTCCCGCCCCGCTCGCCGCCCCCCCCTTGAAGCTCTGCCTTCGAGTGTCTTGCAGACCTGACCACTTGGCACCACCTCGTTGTCGCCGGGGCTCCTCTCGCTGATGCCCCGCAGTCCTCGCCTCCCTGGACCCGGGCTGCCCCTCCCTCGCCCCGTGTCCCACGATGCTCCGTTTCCGCACAGTAGAGCGATTGATCTTTTCACAGCGTAAGTCGCGTCATGTTCCTTCTGCTCAAAATCCAGAGCTTTCCTCCGTGAGCTGTAGGAGTTGGTAACGAGCACGAAGCCTTGCCTCGGTGCCGGCTGCCCGGCTCACAGGCGCTCGGGGCTGCGGGGCCTGTACCTGGAGCGTGCGGGTCGGGGGCTCATGCTCACCGCAGCCTGTCTTACTGGAGGAGCTCCGCCGCGCTGAGGAGAGTCCGCTGCCCAAAGTTAGAACTGACTTGGCGAAACCAAGGTTTGACCCCAGCTCTTCTGTCTTCCTACGTTACAAAACAGATGGCTCACGAGAGCCCACATATGTTCAACTTAGCTCCAGGACAGAACGTGGGATAGTTTGGGCTTCTGGGCCCAGGGAGTGGCGCCCGGCTCCTTGCACAACCCGCCGTCCTGGTAGCAGCCCCTCGGGCCTCGGGGGCCACGGACACGGGGGCAGGTGACCTCCCCAGCCTCCTGAAATCCAGTCTCCTGAGGAAGGGTTTCCAAGTCAGCTAGTTCTCATTTTGATACCGGGGGAGTAACTGATCCTCAAGATGGAGCTGTAGGGTCCAGGCCCGAGGCATTTCGGTCCGGGCCTCCGCTTCCTACCAGGCGGCCCCAGCCGGGGCCGGGCAGCGGGAGGCTGGGAGAGCGCCTCGGGCGCCAGCCGCCCGCCTCCCTCATCCTATCCACCGCCCCGCCCCCCCCCCCTTGATTTATTTTTCAGTTATTTACCTTGACAAGGCCGAGGAGATCTTACTTGTGGTTCCCTGCAGTTCTGGGAGCAGAAGCATTTCAGGCTTTGCAGACAACACAAAGCATAGAACTTTATTTTCTTGCACAAAAGGCATAAAAGTCTCAGGTACCTGACGACAACTCCCATTCTTAGAGAATAAAATGGCACAGGGGCGGGTCTTTCTTGGATGCGGTCGAAGAGATCTGGCTCCTGAGTCACGAAAGGAGCTTACTGTAAAGTAGTTTTATACTTGAGGTGGTTGCCTAGCATGAGTCCTTAAAAACTTTAAATAAAGTCTTCTTCCCCCTTAATACGCAGCACTACGTGTTTATTGTGGAATAACAGACAAGCAAATGCTCCTGTAACTGCATCATGTATGCACCGAAAGTGAACACCCTGGACTCTATGTTCCCAGATGTTTTTTATACTGATGTGTGTTTTTTGTGGAACTGGAACTATTTGCAGCCTTTCCCTTTGTTCAGGTGTAGACAATATCAACATACGCCGCGAGTTTCAGTGACCGCGGAGCATTCTTTTGTACAAAGATACCATGATTCACTTCATCCTTCCGCGCAGGCGGGCATTCAGGTCGCTTCCCGTGTCGGGCTACTAGGAGGGCGCCGTGCCGGGACCTTCGCGGGCACCTCCGCTCTCCTTTCATACCACGTAGGCGGCGGAACCCAAGAAGTACGACGGTAGCGTGGTTTCTCTACTCGCAGGACCGGAGCCGGCTCTTTCCTAGCGTCACGGGCTAGGGGTTTCTCTGGGGCCGGAACCCTGCAAGGCCTCCTGAGCATGTGCGTTCTTCCGGGGCGAGGGTCTGTGACCTTCAGGACTCGGTTGGGACCCACGGTGGACCGAGGGCCAGTGTTGCCGCCCCATGTGCCTGCCCCGAAGCACGAGTCAGGAAGACGGTGTCGCCCTCAGGTATCCCTGAGTCCACACCGCGGGAGGGACCAGGAAGGTCGGGAGCTGGTCCCTTTCCTCCGCAAGCTCCCCACGGGTGTCGGGGTCTAGCCACGTGGGTAGGGGTAGAAGGCAGCCGCGGGGGTCCTTCCCCTGGACTCTCCTCTGGCTGCAGGGATGAGGCCGCACCGTTCGTTTCTTCCAAGGCCTTCCACGGGCTGCCGTGTCCAGGCTGGGCCCTGTGAGCTGCACGTCTGCGCCAGGCTGTTTACCACCTTCCGTGACTAAGAGAGGAGCAGAGAAGTGGATTTACTTGCTCAAGGTCACGCGGGCGGGTCAGAGTCGGGACCTGAGCCCGGGCCGCTCGCGTCACAGCCTGACCCCCGAGCACGGGGCGTCGTGCCCTTCACGCTCCCGTGCAGTTGGGCGTCCCCGCTAGTACGTCTGGGTTGCAGGCCTTGCTCGCGTTTCCCCGCTCCCGGGACTGTGTTCGAACCAGTCCCTATTCTAGAAGGCGTCTATTCTCTCTTCCCTTCTAGAAATTCTGCTCGCCTTCTAGGAAGCTTTCTTTGTTCATCCCAAGGGGAAGCAAAACTATTGTTTTTAATGCGCGTGCTTGCGTATGACAGTCCCGTCTGGCCCTGTGATGGACACTCTGCCGGGTGGAAAGAATAGAACCTTTGGAGCCAGACAGACCTGAGTTCGAATCCCAGCGTATGCTTCTCGTACCCCCAAGTGGTCGACTTCTCCTGTGAGGACATAGTTCCTGTCTCGCAGACTTACTCGTGAGGATCAAGTGAGATGATTCAGAGCGTCTGGTGTCCTGTCCGACCAATCCGGGGGGCTCGGGAGGTGAGAGCAGTGATTTCCTGTGGGCGTATTTTTATTTCTTCAGAGCACAGACGCCTGGAAGACGGGGGCCGCGTTCTCCTGGCCCCCCCAGACTGGGGCCGTAGGTGTCGTGTCCAGCCAGGATTTGAGGACAATATGGATAGTTTTGTGTGGTTTGGATCTTACTCCAGGGCACCCTCTGATTCGGGGTCGTCCGGCTTGGTCTGACCCGCACGGTGGGGCCTGGCAGGGAGGCACCCCGGAGCCCTGAAGGGAAGGAAGGCTTCCCGGAGGAAGGGGGCATGGTTGTCGGGGAAGCGTACGTTAGGAGTGGCGTTGGGCACGGGGCCGTAATCAGGACGGCAACCGACCCAGGCGATCAGAGAAAACGGAAGAGTTTTCCTCCCGAGTATCCCTGGAATCTGCCCTCCACGTGGCCCCATAGCGTCTTGTCTTTATACGGCGCCTTCCTGCCTCAAAGATGTGACCCCGTCACCTCCCCTGAGTTGTCCCCGACGGTCCCGGCCGGCTCACGTGGTTTCCCCCGCGTGCCCTGCCGTGCTGTCCCGTGCCCCCTTGTCCCGGCCGGTGGTGCAGTTGTCTGTTGGGTCCCTCGTCCCCACGCAGCTCTGAGCCGTGGGTAGGGCGGCTCCTCGTTCATCCCCGCCCTGAGCGTCAGGCAGGGGCACGCTGGAGGCGCACGGAAATGTGTGCTGCAGGTTATCAGTGCGGAGGAGGAAACGCTCAGGTCACGTGGGAGGGGCCAGGCTGTGATATTTGAGCTGGATCCTGTGCGGTCGGCGGCGGGTGCTGTTTCCAGAGAGGCTTCCCAGAGGAGGCGGCGCCCGGGATGGCGCAGTGCGGGGAGCAGGGCGGCCGACCGCTAACAGGACTGGCCCGCCTGGCACTCGCGCGCCTGTTCCAGGAGGGTCGCATAACTATAGACGCCTCTTTATTAGAAAAGATGCCGCCGCCACCCCCTACGCAGCTTTTAGGTGTAGCCGTTAGGATCTGGCTGAAAGCTGGGAGCTTTCAGGACGTGCTTCCTGAGCTTCAGGGGGAGCCTGACACACGTGCCCCGTCGCCTGTGCGAAGGCAGGCCCACCACGAGATCCAGGGCGTCGCTGGTGTGTTGGCCCCGATCCCAGTCCGCGCCAGCAGTTGGCTGTTTGGTTTTAGGGAGTGGGCGGCGTACGATGGTCGTTGAGCCATCACGGGCTCCTGGAAGGAGGTCCCATGAGAAGACGGGGAGACCCGAGCTTCGGGTGGCCGCGGACACGTCCTTCTCTGCCCGTGGGTTCTGTCAGGGCATGAAGAGCAGTTTTTGCGATACTCATGGGACGGATTTATGGTCAGGAGTCTCAGAGTGCTGACCGCGTGCCCCAGACCGATGGTGCCCTACCCCGTGGGCACACCCCGTGAAGCTTCTGGGTGTCACCTGTGCTCCTGAAGACGGTGGTACCGCGAAGCAGGGGATGATGTTACTGTGTGCCCGGCCGGTCGTGTAGACCCCGAAGCCCTTTGGACGGCCGGTGGGCGGCCGGCCCATCGTCAGGGTCCGCGTTTCAGCCGAGTGTCGTGAGCAGCCTGTGCAGGTGCGAGATGGGAGGTGCCGGGCCGTCGTCCTAGCGCTGTGTCTGCCCACTCACGGGGTCCTGCAGCCGGTCGGCGTCTTGGATATGGGCCCGGTCAGGTGGAGATCCCCCGTCTTGGCAGGGGGTGTAGAGGACAGAGGTGGAGGCCATGCACTGCTGTCCCCCTCCCTTTTCGGGAGCCAGAACGTCACGGCCTTTCTGGTGGGGATGCAACCAAGAGGATCGAGACCTGGGTTTGTGGTTGAGCGGGCGCTCGGGTGTGCAGATCCCTTGCTTAACTGGGGCACGTCCGGGTAAGAGAGGGCACACGTCACACGGAGTTCCAGTCCTTCGCTGTGAGGTGGAGAGCTGACTCGGTGCCAGTGTGACCCGTGTGAGGCCGAGGACACGGTCGGCGGGGGAGGCGTCCCCAGGGCGGGGCCCCCGGTCGCTCAGGCCCCAGGACTGCCGTCCTGCCGCGTGCTGAGGGGCCACGGGCGCGAGCCCCACGCCTGAGTCTCCGGTGCTCTTTCCCTTTGCGCTGGGTGTTCAAGAACTTTCCCTTTTAGGAGTAGCTCTGAAAATGGAGTGTGTGGGTGCAGTTTAATTATAGTCTCACTTTTCAAGTACGGCTCTAGAAGGTTTGTGTTTTTTCTTCAGCCACACGTTAGCTTCTCCAAAGAGCTCATCCCGGTCTGCAATTTCCAGGGCTCTGAAGTATTTTTAACGTGAAGTTGTTGGTCTCTTTGAAACCTGGGCTCCCGTGTCGCCTTTCAAACCGCAAAGGCTGCCACGCAGGGGGGCAGCGCGTCTCTTCGCCAGGGCGCCCGGAGCTTCGTTTCGTTGCCTTTGGCCCATCCCCATCGTCCCGCCCCTGCTGCAGGCCCAGGCTCCTCCAGCCGCGCTCCCCTCCTCCCTGCTGGTCCCACTTCTGAGTCTTCCCCAAGGAAAGCATTTAAATGCAGGTAAAGCTGTATGTGCAGAGGCGTTTATTTCCTTTATTTATAAAAGTGAAAAATCGGACATGACCCTCGTGTCGCAGAGGGGACTGGCGGTGACCGTGGCATATAACGCAGTCACTAGAATCACGTTTCTCAGGCGAATTCCGTAAGAAAAACACTGATGATAAAGTAGGAAGGGAAAAGGTGAGGTCGCAGCGCGGAAGGAAGAGGGGGAGAGCCGCAGCCCGTCCGCGGGGCCACCTGCAGTGGTGGCGCCGGGGCCGGGGCCGGGGCCGTGGTGCCGGGGGCCCTTGCCGTCTTGCCCTCCGTCTCTGGGTGGTGAGCAAGCGCATCAGGGCCTCTGCGGGCGTGTGAGCCAGAATGACTAGGGAAGGCTCGTTTGTATTCACTCATTCGTTCGTTCCTTGTAACGTTTTCCTTCTCCTTCTTGATGTTCTTTCTGCTTCCAGGAAAATCAGTTCAAGTGGACGTGAGCCCCCAGACCGAGGTGATGGAGAGGTGAGTGTGGGCGTGCGGGACGCAGGCCGTGCAGGCGCGTCTGCTGGGGATGCTGGCTCCCTCGCGCTCGGCTGGTGCCGCCTCTTGTGGGGACGCACAGACCCAGGGGTTGGACGGTGGCCGGGACGGACGGTGGCCACGCAGACCAGGAGGTCGTGCGGACCAGGAGGTCGCGCCGCGCACCTGTCGTTCGGCGGCTCTCAGCCATTGCGGCGCTCGTCTGTCGGGAGCTTTGAGGGGGACGCCGTGTTCCTTCTGTTGGCCCCTGGGGACCCGCAGGATGGACCTCAGCTGCCTGACCTCCGAGGCCCCCCCCCAGCGTAACCCACGCTCCCGTCTCAGCTCACCGTGCATTTGTTCCGCAGCTCGTGCCGGGACGCCAGCTGCGCGCAGCCGCGCGCTGCCGTCGTCGGTCTGTGGGGCACTGAGCCTGGCTCTCCCCAACGTGCCCGTCTCTCTCCTCTGTGCCAGGGCCAGGGCCAGGGCCAGGGCCAGTTCTCTTCCGTAGCGCTGACACCACCCTGGTCCAGCCCTGAGCACGTGGCGCCTTGATGTGCCCTGCATGTCTCCTTCCCCTGGTGACTGCTCGTGGGGCCGGGGCCGTGTGTCAGCTGCTGGCCTAGGCGTTCCCGCGCCCTCCCTCTGACCCTACTGGGCAAGCACTAACTAGTTCCCGTCCTGGGACGAGGACCCGAGGGTGAGGGCTGCGTGCCGGCCGTTGAGAGGCTGAGCTGGGATTTGACCTCGAGTCTTTGGACTCCCGGGCTCTCGTCGTCGGTGCACGTTGCCTGTTGAGGGACAGACTGTGCCTTGGACGTCTCTGCAGCTGCTCCGGCCCCGCCCGCCTGGCGTGTGTTTGGACGTCACGAACCGCTGGCCGACTGGACGTGTTGTATGCTGTCCTAGTTCGCCCCGGTGGCCCGCGGGAACTGTCGGGGTCTTGTCCCCGCTCCCTCGCCTCGCGCAGGGCCCTCGCTGCGGTTGGTGTTTCTGTCCTCTCTGGAGCCCTTTGGGCTTCTGGGGGTAAAACGAAACGGGGAGCAGAGTTTTAGGCTTTGTTGGCATCACGAAGGCCACGGCATCGTAGGAGTGAGCCGGCGGGCACGCGGCACGGCTCAGCGGTGGGCGTTTCAGTGCCCCTTTCCCACCGCAGTGTCTCGGCAGGTCCCTCCGGGGTCAGCCCTCCCCTTCCCTTCTCCCGAGAACGGATCCCGTCCCCGCGGAGGCTGTGGAGAGGCCGGCGAGCCTCCCAGCGGAGCAGGCTTAGCTGAGGCCCGACGGACGGGAGGCCGGGGGCAGGGGCAGTGGGGGGCGGCGGGGTCGCGCTGGGCTGGGCCCCAGATTCTGGGCTGGGTGAGGGGGGAGGGCCGTGGGGCGGCTGCACTGGGGCGGGCGCGACGGGGTTGCTGTGGGCAGAGACGTGCTGGCGCGCAGAGGCGGCTGGGACGAGCAGGGAGCCTTTCCCGCCTCAGCCGTGCGTCACGCTCCCACCTGACGGGCTGGTTCCTTTTCCTTCTGTTCCGCCCTTTGCCGTGGCGGGCTTAGCGCTCCGCGGGTCACTGCCGAGCTAACGGAACGGGTGCCCTTGGCCCCGTCGGCTCCTGCGCGAGGCAGCGGCGAGCCCGCGCACCCGTCCTGCCTGCCGTCGGGGGACGTCGCGCCCGGTGTCTGCCTGTTAGTGAACGTGTTGCAGCTCTGAGTCCTTTGCTCTCGTCTGAGCTCATGAATGACGAGACAAGGAGTGACAGGGAAAGGGGCAGAAAAGAGCCTGGCTTACGGAGCTTGTCTAAAGTGCAGGATCATGGGTGTTTTCACGGAGTTCGGGGCGGGGGGGGGGGGGGTTTCGTCACGGCTCAGGTGGCTCTTGGGAAATACGGGGCGGCAGCTGGATGATGGCCGGGCTGGCGGTACTGGGACCTGCCTGGGGGCCGTGAGGGTTTTGAGCTTCTTAAACCCATAAGGCCCTTGGTGGGTCTGGGTTGTCCTGCGGTGGGAGGCTGGCTCTGCCGCTTGCAGGCTGAGACTGTGGGCCAGCTCGTGGCGTGCCTCGGGTCCCCGGCGCTGGTTGAGGGTCGTGGGTCTGTGTGAGCACCCAGTAGGCCAGGACCCCCGAGATGCCGGCTGCAGAGGGGGCGCTGGTCAGCAGCTGCCAGTGACTCGCGCCCTCTCGGAGGCCCTCCCCAGAACCCCGGCAGTGGCTCCAGGCTCAAGCGCACCGAGCTGGGTGTTTTGACAGTGTCCTCGCTCATCAAATGCTCCAGGGAAGCAAACGGGCTCCAAAGCAAAGTTGCAAATGTGGGGAAATTCGAAAAGGCCAGGTAATCTGAAGTGTTCCCCAGTCCCGGTCCTGGCCGGGGGTCTTAGTGTGGGAAATGATTTCTCTTTCAATCCCAACGGTGAAGGACGGAGGAGGACCGTTCAACCTACCAGCACATCCTCCCCGAGTCTCCCGAGCCCTCGGCCTCTCACGCGTTGTCCGACTGTGAAGTGTCCGAGAAGTCCTCCGTCCTCTCCCGAGACCAGAAGCAAGACAGCGAGACCGAGAAGGCCTCGGTCCTGGAGAACCATTTCTCCCAAGGTAAGCTAAGCTCTGCTAAGCGTTTCAGACACAGCCAGGGTGTCCTGGTTTAAATCTTTTTTTTTTTTTAATTTTTATTTATTTTATGATAGTCACACAGAGAGAGAGAAAGAGGCAGAGACACAGGCAGAGGGAGAAGCAGGCTCCATGCACCGGGAGCCCGACATGGGATTCGATCCTGGGTCTCCAGGATCGCGCCCTGGGCCAAAGGCAGGCGCCAAACCGCTGCACCACCCAGGGATCCCGGTGTCCTGGTTTAGACAGCGATTTGCCGTCTTGCCTGAGTAAGCCGCGTAGTGACGTTTGACTGTTTGTCTCATGGAGGGAGATGCTGGCCGGGCCGGAGCTGGTCGTTGGGACTATCATTCATCACCGGGGAAAGCTGTGCTTGTTGAAGGTGTTGGTGATTGGGGAAGAGTCATTTTTACTTTGTAATGAGGACTGATACTGTGACTTGCCATTTCCTGGCTCTTCCAACGGGGCAGAAAGCAGACTGGAAAGCGCGGGGTTACGTGTCCGTCCCAAGGCTCGTTACTTTCCTGTTGTTCTTCCAGACTCTTCCTGAGGGGCCCCGTCACGTTGAACACCCTTGCTTTGAACTGGACGGATGCCGCAGAGCCCACTGCCCCCCCCCCCCCAGCCCCCGTTTGGATAGTCCGCGCCTCTGTAAACCTGCTGTGTTTCCCGTTGGGTGTGACCCTTCGTCTGCTGGCTCAGCCCCTTGTCCTGCCTCTGACCGTGGGCCGTGGGCTCAGTTGGCAGGTCAGCCTCCCACCCTCCGCCTGCCCTGAGCTCTCCTCTACTTCCTGGCTCTGCAGTCTTGATGACCTCCTGTTGGGCTATGAGACGGGGTTAGTGCTGCTAAGTCCATGTATTTCAGCAGTTCAAGGGATAGGACAGGATGGGGAAATTTTTCCTGGGGAAGGACAGAGAGTACATATTTAGGGCTTTGTGGAGCACGTGGTCTCTGTTGTGATTACTGCATCCAGTTGTGGTAGCAGAGAGCAGCCAGGGACTACGCGTGAATGAATGAGTGTGGCTCTGTTCCAGTAAAACTTTATTTGCCAAAAAGAGGGTGGGCGGGTCTGACCCCAGAGTGTAGTGTTCTGAGCCCAGGTATAGGCTCTGGACCTTAGCTGACGTGCTCTGGTGTCTGCTTCCTTCTTCCACTGGATGTTTGCCAGGCGCCCAGAGTGGACCCAGAGCACAGATCAGACACCGGCACCTCCTTTCCAAAAGCCTTTTGTTGACATCTGATCACATAGAACCGTGGTTTTCAGAAATGCAAGGTCTTTATAGCAGCAGAACCTCATCCCTCCTTCCCCCCCACTTTTTTTTTGGATGAAACTTTACCCGGAGGCCCCGTCTGTGAAGGACATACGGTAGAGACGTCGTCCTCCATGGTGGCTTCCGAGGCTCCCCGAGGACACTCAGGGCCCGAGGAGCACAGTTTGAAAACACACCAACGGCAGGAAACGCTCGCGCTGGATCTAAGTGAGGTGTCAGCGGGCTCCTCCAGCACCTGCCCCTGCACTTGCCTTCTTTGGGCTTCTGGCTGCATCCCCGTGTGGTTTCTGTGAGTGTCCGTGGACCAGGTTTCTCTGGGCTATTTCTGCCTCTTTGATCTTCTCCTCCTGCCTTCTCTCCCTCCTCCTCTGGGTCAGACCCGTGAGTTGTGTCCCTGTCCCTGGCCGTGCCTCCTTCGGCACCGCCTCCACCTGGCAAGGACCCTGGAGACTATTCCCACGAGACCTTCGTGGGAGGGACACACTGATGGAGGGCTTGGGGGTTACCCTGCAGCAAGCCGATCACTTAACGGGAATGCTTGGGATCCCTGCTCTTTAAAACCCTGCCTCTGGGCACCTCCCTCTGCCGTCCTCTTGCCTGCCCCTCTGTTGCCTACCTTCCCACGCCTGCCACCCCAGCCTCGGTTCATTTCCAATGTAGAACCTTGTAGGCGCCTCCTTTATGTCCTCTCTTCCGGGGACCCATGACCTTGGGCTTACCGTGCCCTCCTGGTGCACCACCAGGCACTTTCCGGACGGAGACCGTGCTCTCTGGAGCCATCCTAATAAACCCACTGGTAGCTTTTTTGGTTTCTTTCTCTTCAGACTTGGTCTCTGCATGTGTTTTTTTTTTTTTTTCCTTTTGTCATGTTTATATTCTAAGTAGAGAGATAATTTAGTATTTTTCCTTTTTGCGCTTGACATTCTATCGTAAGCTTTCTGACATGTTGTTACATAGCATCATTTTTAGTGGCTTTAGATAGTCCGTTGAATGGCTGAACTGCACTTTTCCGTATGTTCCCCTCTTGCTGAACATTTAAGCCATTTCTAAGATTTCACAATCGTGAACGCTGCTGCAGGGAATATGTTTGAACATGAAGCTTTCCCCCTATTTTGGCGCATTTTCTTAACCTAGATTCTGTAAAGTGGAACTACGAGGCCAAAGACGCACACATGGTTTTTGCTGGTCGCTTCTTGCAGGATTCATGGTTTTGAAGACTTAGCATTTGTCTGGAGGGTATTTATTGTGCGAGGGACAGATATTTTTCTCCCGTTGTGTAAAGGCGAGTCTAGTGTTTCCTTCTCCTCGGCTAGGGCTGCACAATTAATAAGTAGTGTCCGGTTGCGCTGGGAGTGTTTCCTTAACCCCAGTGAGGAGCCTGGCTCCTGGGCAGACTCAGCAGGAGGGGATGGTGAACCGACGGCCTGTGACGCGGGGGCGGAGTCGAGGGGCGCCTGCCCGCTCGCTCGGCCTGGCTAGCCGCTGGGGGTGGTGGGGCCGCTGGGGGGGGGGGGGGCCGGGGCCTGCAGCGCACGGAGCGTCCCACCAGGAGCCCCGCACACTCCCGCGTAAGGAGAGAGCTGAGGGCCCGGGAATGAAGTCCTCTCATAAACATTCGGATTCACGATAGAATCACTGTTTAATCAGGGGAAGGTCTGTAACATCGTGCTACTTTTAAATGAAAGTCATTTTGGAGGGATTAAAACTGGGTCATAACATTAGGATAATGTCTTCAAACAGACATTACTAAGACGTCCTGGGTGTACCCCAATTGATGAATTAAAGACATTAGTTTTGCCTTTGGATACTTGATGTGGCGACGCTGGCTCTGGAAACCTGCGTCTGGGCTGCGGCCGCGCCTCCTCCTCTGTTAATGTGAGACGTGCCGGAGGCTGAAAAATAGGACGAGCTCCTCTTAGAGGACTTGGGCGATTTCGATTCTTATGTATCATTAAGTGTCACACCGAGACAGAAAATAGGAGTCTCGACAACCCGACATCACCACCCAAGGCAGTGGTGTTCGTTCCTGTCTGGGGCAGATGTCCTTGTTTTGTGTTTTTGTGTCTTTTTTGCCTGCAGAGTTTTAAATAGAGGTACGATCCCGCTGTTAATCCGTTCTGTATCTGTATTTTTCTGTGATGTCGTACGGTCTTTGTGATGTGACTGTATATTCACGTGGTGGCTGTGTGGTCCCGCGTCACAGTGGACGTGATACAGTTTATTTAATGACTTGGGTGCTGTTCAGTTTCTGCCGTTCTGTAACAGTGCAGAAGACGAACCTCTTCGCGCACTCGGCAAATGGTCGGGAGCCTCTCCGCTAATCCCTTTGAGTAGGTTCCTAGAGGTAGAATTATGTGAGGGAAGACATTGGGAAGGAACCTTTCTAAGGCTGGTGATAAAAATAGATCCCAAAAGTCACGCGCATTTATATTCGCTCGAGCAGGACGTGCTCCGGAGAGTACCCTCCTTAACCGTGCTCAGTAGCGCTGGGATTACTGCTTTGCTGTGTTTTTAAGTCTTAAATGAGTAGGTGATAAATGGATAAACATATTCCTTTCAAAGAAATATCGGGATTCATCATGAAAGTGGTTTAATCCACTCTCAGGCAATCCAAGCGGACTTGAAAGTGATCTGTTAGTTTCACCATAAGGAAGACTTTAAATTAATATTTGATATTTAGAAGAATAAAGGGCCGCATTAGAGTTAGCATTAAAATCGTATGGGATATAATTTTTCCGTGTGGTGGAGAAGGCCCTGCTTGTGGAGGGCTGCAGAGAGCGCCCGGAACTGTGTCCGCGGGCCGGGGCCGGCCTCAGGCTCGCCAGGCCCGGGAGGCCGTTGCCAGCGACCGACGGTCTGAAGACCTCCAGCACGACTCGGAATTTTAAGATCCTTGCACAATCTGTAAATTATTCAATTTGTTGGGGGCTTTAGGCTTTAAATTAAAAATAACTCTCCCTCCCGCAGACTTAGTCATGGAACATATACAAGAAATTCGAAGTTTGAGGAGACGTTTAGAAGAATCTATTAGAACCAACGAGGAGCTCCGGGGCCAGCTGGAACGGCAGGGCCGCGAACCCGACCCAGGTAGGGAGAGCCGCCCGAGGGTGCTTCCGCGGGGCCGCCTGTGCCCGGCGCAGCAGCCCCCCGCCTCGCTGCCTGCCCGCCCGCCCGCCCGCCCTCCCGCCCGCCCGGCCGGCCGGACGCCGCGGGCCACGGGGCAGGGCCTTCCCGGGGGAGCCCGGCTCTGAAGGGGGCGGCCGGTCTGCTGGCCGCCGCGCCCTGGCTGCTCGCCGGAGAGGGGGACACAGCTATTTTAAAACAGAGCCATAGTCCGTCTTTTTGTCGGTCGTGGATCTTAAAATTAAGCACATGCGTGTCAGCAGTTTGGAGAGTCTCACAGGCCGGTGGTGACAAGGTCGCAGCATTCCTGCGTAAAACCCAGTTAGGTCTGGATGGAATATTCTGTGCAGAACCTAAAAATACGTGTTTTTCCCGTGGGGAAGACATTCACATGGTGCAAAGCTTACCGTCTCCTCCGTGCCCTCCCTCCCGCCCCCCCCCCCCCCCGTCCTGCCCTTCCACCCCACACCCCTACCGCGCTCTATGCAAATACAAGTATGGGCTCTTATTCTCTGTCTCCCCCAAAAGGTTGGATACTTTATATCTGCGATTTTGTCCCTTTTTGCATGGAACAATGTATTTTGGGCATCTCTCCTTATTGCTCCAGAGAGATTGTTTTCACTCCACCAAGAACGTGTCTTGAGAGCAGCTTTGTGCCCCCAGGAAAAGCCCGAGTTTGCACGGACCTGGGTGTGGACCAGCTCTCTGGCTGTTAGCTTTGGGACTTCTGGGCCAGGCACCCCGCTTCGCCCAGGCTTAATTATTTTATGAAACAGACTCATCAAAAAAAAACAAAAACAAAAACCAAAAAAAAAAAACAGACTCACCGTGAGATCAGGGAGGCAGTGCTCTAAATAGGGCCTTGCTCTGTGCCTCACTCAGTAAGTAGTTTTTTTGTCATCATTATGTCATTTTACTGTTTCTTAAAATTTTATCTATTCATGAGACACAGACAGAGAGGCAGAGACACAGGCAGAGGGAGAAGCAGGCTCCACGCAGGGCGCCCGACGTGGGACTCGATCCCGGGACCCTGGGGTCACATCCTGGGCCAAAAGCAGGTGCTCACCCACTGAGCCCCCGGGCGCCCCGCTGTTTTATCTTGTATGACATTATTCATTAGTCTAACATTGCAGAGCTCTGCAACTCGCCAGGTTGCAAACATTTTTAGAGATGAAATAACTGAGTCCTAGAAAGATGTACTCAGTGGTGGCAGCTCCGGAGTCCTCGGGCCCCTGGTCCAGTCCTCCTTCCTGCGCAGCCCGTCACAGCCCTCGGCCTAGAAGGAGCTTCCCAAAGGGCTGTATGTGCTGGTGCGCTGCAGTCTGGAGGCGAACCCTGGACCCACGCCCGCCTCCCCTCCCCCCCCCTCCCCCTCCCCTCCCCTCCCCCACCCTGCCTCCTCCTCTCTCACCTCCAGGGAAATTGATTAACCTGAGTTACTGGTCCTATCAAACACGGGGAAGAAATACATGCCTGGGCCCTTCACATCCACTTGTGGTAATGCCTGAATTAGCTTCATTCTGTTTTACATTTTTCCTGGCAAATCCAATTATAGAATTATTTGGGGGCTCAAATGGCCACCAGCTACAACGGAGCTGGCAATTGCTCCGAGAGTAATTCACTGTGATGAGAAGGTCTACAAAAAGGCGTTTGTAAAGTATTTACACGGGTGGGAAGACGTGCTGGTCTCACTTGTCACAGACGCTGGGAAGACCAAGGGGTTGTCCCGGGGGCAGGCTCCTCGGAGGCTGAGGCACAACGTTGTTGAGCTGCCACCTCCCGTCAGCCTGTCGTCAGGTAGAGGAGCTGGCGCGGGTGGCCTTCGAGGGGGCCTGGCCCCTGACCTCTAGGAGGGACCGCCACGCCGCGGCCACAGCACACTCGCCCATAGGACTGTCCCTGTCCATCCAGGTGGCTCTTCGGTCCTGTGGTTGGCTCTGGCCTACGGACGATAACAGCAGGGGTCATTGTTACTGGGCCCTGGAGACAGGGCAGTGGGGTGACGAGCCCGAGGTCCTACAGCTACTAAGAAGCCAGGGCCGTGATTCAGACCCAGGTCCCCGAGGAGACCCCCGAGTCACGGGGAGAGTAGAGGACGTTGTGGGGAGACGCCGCGATGCGTGCACCATCAGCACGAGGAAGGGCGGCGCTGTGGGGACGGTGCCGCGGCGGCTTCTGGGAGGCCCGATGCCCCGGTGTCCTTACGGGGTCGGTGAGTGTCACCCGTCATCAGCCGTGGACCAGGACGCTCTCAGCTGCACAGAACAGAACATGTGACGACGGGGATTAGTGCTCTCTCACGTAACACGAACCAGACCCAGGCAGTGGCGGGGCGGGTTTCATGGCTCAGTGCTCTGGTGGCAGGGCTTGGGGTCAGTGTCCGTGGTGACCGCAGTGACCCTGAGCATCACGTCCCCTCAGGATAGGCCCACAGGGTGGGAACGAAGACCGTGGGGCTGCGCCCTCTCCTTGTCCCTCCGTCCGGGTGCGAGCTCTTTCCCAGAAGCCTCCAGCGGGCCCCCGTCAGGGCTCACTGACCAGAGGCGGCGCCGGGCCACGTGCTAGCCGTGCTGGGGTCGGGAGGCAGCGCGTGGCTGCGGGGTGAGGAGGGCGGGGAGGGAGGCGTCCGCCTGCCTCACCCGGAAGGCCGGGCGCCCCCCAGGCTGCGTGTTCTCGTGCTTCGGGCACCCTCCGCGGTGCAGGCCTAGGGAGCTGAGGGGAGGGCAGGGCGGCCGGCAGGGGGCGGGGACAGCCCACGGCGGGCAGGGGCCTGTGGTGGGGAAGCGGGTCGGTCTGTCCATGACCTCAAGCCCCGTCTGTGGGGCTTCAGACCCTGATCTCTTTAGTGGACGCTCAGACGCGGCAGTGAACGCGAGCGGTTCTGACAGGTGGAGGAGGCGTGGGGCGTTCCGGGCGCAGGGCGGTCAGGGGGCGTGTGGGCCCCGACGTGGCCCGGTCGGGCCGCACTGGGGGACGCGTGAGCGGAGGTGCCGGGGGAGGCGGGTGCGCGTGCGATCGGAGCCAGGTCCTAGAGGTCCGACGTCCGGGCCTTGTGTTTGGTCGGTCGGCCACCGCGTGGCGTTTCTGAGCAGAGAGTGACGCGAGCGGACTGCGTGCAGCCCCGCGGGCAGAGTGGCAGGGGGTGGCAAGGCCTGAGCGACAGGGACGGAGGACCCTGGGGCAGCGTCCGTGGCATCGGGGAGGAGGCCCCGCGGTCACGACTGCCTGCCGGGGCGGTGCTGGGGTGGCTCCAGGTTTCAGCTCGGACCAGGGGTGGCGGATGCACCGCCTGCAGGGAGGGCAGGGACGGGCCTGTCCCCCCGGAGGCCCCAGGCAGCTAAGCAGGGGAGGGAGGCTCCTGCCACCTCTTGCACGCGCACCCTCCTTTCCCCTTGGGCTCTCATGACACCTCCTCTGGTTCACAGCAGTGATTTCCTTGCGTGTTGTGTTTCCTCCTCGTTTAAAACTGTTTTCTAGAAAGTTCCTTCCATAGTGATTTGTCCACACGTCGCTATTTGTGTGTTCTTATAGGTGCTACAAACGCTTTGGCTTACGGGTCAGAGCTGCACGATTCCCTGACATCGGAGATCTGTTTCCTGAGGAAGCAGAACCAGGCTCTCAACACGATGCTGGCCAAGGGATCCAGAGGTAGGAACCAGAGCAGCCCCCTCGGCCCAGACCCCGCGGCCCTCCGTCTGCGGCAGGAAGGGGCGCGCGGGGGTCTGACCAGCCCAGGCCCGGGTCCTGCGGCTCTGGCTGGAGGAGGGCCCCCTGGGGCCGCGGTGAAGGTGGCCCTGACGCCTCAGTGTGGCCTGCCTGGTAGGTGCGGGGTGGGGTGGGGGGGGAGCAGCGGAGGTCCCCTGCTGCCAGAACCTCCTCCAGGGCTTCCCTCCCATCAGGAAGGTTTCCTGGTATTTCTGTAGGAAGGTCCCTTCTCTTAATTCTCTCTTTTTGGAGCTTAGCCCCCAAGCGCTGTCACCCGCATTATCTCTCAGTCCTTACAGTGATTCTGAGTCCTGTTTCACGGACAAGAACCCGAGGCCTAGGGAACGGAGCAGCCCGTGGCCCCTGAGCTAGAAGTAGAGCTGGGACTCAGTGTCTCCCACTCTCCCTGGACGGTACGGACGCCACTTTTGGCCTAGAGGACAGAATCGAGGCTTCTGCAGACCATCACTCGCACGGCAGATGTGTCAGGGCCCACGTAGACCGACACAGGAATGAGAGGGTCTGGGTGCCGTCCCCCAGGGGAGACCCAGCCAGGAACCGGGGCGGGCCAGCCCGAGGACCCACCCTGACCAGGGCAGGCGCCCGGAGCGCAGGACCCGGGGGTGGCGTCTTGACTGGGGGGATGCTCAGCTCCAAGAGCTCAGCCCGGCAGGCCAGCGGCGATGCCCGATGCCCGTGCAGGCCTTAGTGTCAGGGCTGCGGTCAGGGCTGCGGACCCAGGCAGAGTGCCCGAGAGCCTCGCGCTGAGCCCTGTACGCGGCGCGGCTCCTCACCACGACTTGTGGGGAGACAGAGGCACAGAGGGCTCAGCCAAGGTCTTGGCCCCAGTGGGCAGCACGGTGCCCCCGAACATGCCACTCTGCCCCCGGGTCGCGCTCCTGACTGCCTGTCTCCGGGCCCCGGGCCTGTCTCATCCCTCAGGCTGAGGGGAGGGGCCCAGCCCACGGGGACCCCCTCGCACCCACTGCCGGAGCCGGGGGCTGTCCCGTGCCTCCGTCTGTAATTCACACCCACTGCTTGCTCTGCGACGGCAAAGTAGCCGGGTTGGCACGGCCCATTATGGTGCAGAAGATCCAACAGGCCCGTTTCATCCCGGTGACGTTTAATCTGCAGCCTTGATGTTGACAGATTTATCTGCCCAAAATGCGCAAGACAATTGGAGTGCCAGAACCATAAATGCCAGATTAAATCTCGCTCTGTTCCGTGTTCTGGAGCGCTTGAGCTCAAGTGCCGTACTTGCGTAATAGGTCGGAAAAAACAAACGGGGTCTCTTCTCAGCGGCGCTGTTTGTGTTTGCAGATAAACAGAAGGAGAACGAAAAGTTACGAGAGTCCCTCTCCAGGAAGGCTGCGAGCCTCGAGCTCCTTCAGCGAGAGTACGCGTGCGTGAGGGGGCACAACGAGAGGCTGCAGAGCGAGGTCCGCGAGCGGGAGAGGCACACGCAGCAGCTGCTCCGGGAGGTCTGCAGCAGCCGCAGCGAGCTGAGCAGGTGGGCTCAGGCCCCTGGTGTCGGCTCAGTGAGGGGGCGATTGCTGGTGCCTGCGGGGGGGTCGGGGCGGCCCCGTGAAAGCTGTGGCGTCAGGAGTCGCGGCCTGAAGGCAGTGAAGGGAGCCGGGAGCTCCTTGGGGGCGGGGCAGGGAGGCCTCGGCCGGAGGGAAGGGGCCAGGGAGGAGGCTGGGCGCCCCATCCCGCCGGCCCCGAGTCCTCTCGCGGTCGAGGAGTGCTGGGGGGTCACAGGGAGGCCCTGCGCGAGGGCCGTGAGCGCCCCGGGTCCCCTGGCCTGAGCTCCTGGCCCGCCCCACGTGTCTCCGTGGTTCCTCGGTGCCAGCGTCCCCGTCGTCCTCCCAGCCCAGGCCGGTGCGCGGTTCTGCCGTTGTGCGTCGCAGGCCCCCCCCGGGCGCCGCACCCCTGGCTAAGATGCGACCTTGTGAGCTTCGTGTCCTCGTGTCTGCGCCCCCGGGGGTGGAGAGCGGGCACCCGAGGGGCCGCGAGGGCGACGTGTGGTAGAGACACACCTGCTGGGCCCGGGGCAGCGTGGCTGTGCCTGCACGTCCTGCCGCCCTCGTCGGTCTTGTCCACGCTCTGAGGGTGGAGTGGCGGCAGAGTCCGTGCCCACGCGTCGCAGTTGACGTCCCCTCCCTGTGGCGCGGGCCTTCCCAGGGCGCGGGAGGAGGCCCAGCTGAGGCAGCAGCTGCTGTCCCAGAACGAGGAGCTCCTGCAGTCCCTCCGCGTGGAGCTGAAGGTGTACGAGAGGCTGGACGAGGAGCACCGCGGGCCCAGAGGTACGGGGAGCGCCGGGCCGGGGGTGCGGGGGGGGGGGGCTTCCCACGCGGGCCTGCTGCTGCGGAGGGGAGGGCGGCGCGGGACTCCTCCTCCTGGCCTGGCCGCCGCTGGGCCCCGGGGCGCACCTCACACAGGCCCTCGGCCTGCGCTTCCTCTGGGGGGCCGTGGGCCCGGGGCTCTCACCGCCCCACCCCTGGCTGGGCCCATCGCCGGGTCCGCTCACCCCTCGGGCCTGGTTCTTGGATGTAGAGGCGCGTCTCTGGATACCTGGTCTGTGGAGTCGTGGACGTGCAGGGAGGTCAGTCACGGGGGGCATCCCCCGGTCCGTGGGACGCAGCCGACCCTCGGGGACCAGCTGGGTCGCTGCCTGCCCGCGTGTGCTGCTTGTTGGCCGCGGCTGGGCTGGGCGGGGCGCCTGGGGCTGCCTGGGGCGGCCGCGGGCCCTGATCCTCGGGCCATAGCAGATCAGAGCGCCTGGGCTGCAGTGCAGGCCCTAGTGGTGCAGAGTCGCTCTGAGGTGTGGTAGGTCTTTTGTTTTCCGACTAATTTTCCAGATGGTTTCTCCCTATTGAAAGCTTATCTAGGAAAGGGTCACCTCACACCTTCCATTTTCTCCTCAAGTTGCTTTTCTTACTCTTGCTGTTGTGCGTTTTTAATACGCTGTGGCTCTTAAAATCGGCCCCTTTCATTCTGTAATTCCAGCCCAAATAGATTTTATTACTACTAGACATAATTTCGGGGTTTGGTGTGCAATTTGCTAGGCTTTTATGGCCAGAAGCGAAAATTAATTTCCAGCTCTTATTTAGCCTGTGGAATAGCAGCAATTAAGTCTGCCAATATCTTTGTTTTTAAAGTCAAGTTGTTGTTTTAAATCGTACCTAGTTCTTAGGAAGGGGAGGTGGGGTGGTGGCAGGTTTAAAACCCTGCTGAGCTCCTTCGATGGCTGACCCTTTGGTGGCAGAAGATGTCGAAGTTTCCTCCTTGCACTTGTTCCAGAGGTCGGAGCAGAGGCGTGTGGAGAAGGCTGCAGGGGGCAGGACCCTTCCAGCGACCTGCGTGGCCTCCTAACAGAGATCCAGGCTCTGCGGGGGCAGCTGGAAAAGAGCAACGAGACCAGTAGTGCGCTGCGGAGCAGGCTGGAGGAGCAGCTGGCGCTGGAGGGGAAGAGGGCTCAGGAAGCAGCCCTCACCGCGGCTCTGCAAACCCTGACCGTCCCCGAGTGGCCCCTGCACCCGGACAAGCACGGTACCGCGCCTGCCCTCCGCCCCGAGACCGCAGCCCCGTGTGTGCGTCGGCGGGACGTGCGAGCCCCTGGGTGCCCTTGGCCGACGGACGTGTCCCCCCGTTGCCAGCAGGCCCCCGACGCCCGGGGAGCCAGGGCCTGGCCACTGCTCAGCTGTCAGCTGCGGCGGGGCCTTGTGATCTCCGTCCGGGGCCTCTGGGTTGAGGGAAGTGGAGCTTGGGCGTCCAGGGCCCTCCTCGCCTCCGGTCTTGCCCCCGTCCATTCAGCCTTCGCGCGTCACCCCACCGCTGAACATCCTCCCTCCCGCTTACTGCCTTTCAAGGGCAACCTCAGCGTCTTGCTCAGACTCTCGGGACCTTGTAAGGATCCAGAGAGCAACCCGGGAGGTCTGAAAACTGCGTCGGTTTTGCATTAGCTCGCGGGTTCGTGTGTGGCCCTGCAGAGGCTGTGTAGGGTGGCGGAGAAGGGACAAGGGGCTCCTCACTCCTTGGACACTTGCCCGGCACAGGGTCAGGAGTCAGGCGGCCTGCGGTCAGGCCCAGGGCCCTCGGCCGGGCCATCCTCTCTGCTCTGGGGCTGGAGGAACGACGACCCAGCGGGGCCACTGCACTTGCCCGAAGCGACACGGCAGGCGGGCGCCACAGCTGGAGCTACAAGCAGTCCTTTAGCCCGGGAGACCGGTGGTGTTCCTGGAGCAGCCCCTGACCTTGGGAGCCTCAGGCGCCGAGGCCATGGTCCTCATACCCACAGGGCAGGGGGCCATCCAGTGGGACCTGGGCGGTCCACAGACTTCGTAAATAAGTGTAGTGTAAAAGTTTGGGCTTCATCTTCACAGGATTGGGAATTGTGTCTATTGCCTTTAATTCAAAAAATTTAAGACCTCTTAAAGAGCACCCATTCAGTGTGCTTTAGAGCTTGTAGCGATTGGCTTATTGATCTCTCCTCGATAAGGAGTGTGTTTTTTTTAAGTTTTATTTATTTATTTATTATTTATTTATTTATTTATTTATTTATTATTTATTTATTTATTTATTATTCATGAGAGACACAGAGAGAGGCAGAGACACAGGCAGAGGGAGAAGCAGGCTCCATGCGGGGAGCCCGACGCGGGACTCGATCCCGGGACCCCGGGGTCACGCCCTGGGCTGTAGGCGGCGCTGAACCGCTGAGCCACCCGGGCTGCCCACTGATACGGAGTTTTGACGGGATGACCACTGGGTGTTATACTATATGTTGGCAAATCTAACTCTGATAAAAAAAAAAAAATACCAAAAAAAAACCAAAACAAAACAAAAGGAGTTTTAAGATTTTTCACTAGAAGATGATGTTGATGATATGAGGAAAAAAAAAAAAGTGAAAGAAAATCCTTCACGATTCTACAAAATGACGGCATTTTGCTTTGCGTATCTCTCTTCATTTGGCGGTCATTTGGGTTTTGGGCTGTTCTGCATCCTTTCTTTGTTTTTGCCCGATATTACATCATAAACGTTTCCCACCCTTTCACCCGGGCTTCCTGATTACTGTTTCCAGATGATCCTCAGTCACGGAACCATGGTGACTAGTAAAGTGGTCTCCGATTCGGGGCTTTAATAGGCGCCGACGTTAATATGGTTTTTGCCGTTACACGGCATTCGTTGCATGAACTCCCACTAGTGGGATCTCACAGGGTTGGCAAGGAGCCCTGTTGCCGCCTCGTGCGTGGGGTGTACGTCAAAGCGGCACCTCTGTCTGCCCCCGGCCCCCCTCAGGGCTCAGCGGCGATGGGACTGAGAGATTGTGGGGTGTGCTGGGGAGTTGGGGGCGGGGGGACCACCGGGGGCCGGTGCCTCCCGGCCGGTGGGGGGTGCTGGGGCAGCTGGAGCGCGGTGGCCACGGGACGGCCCTCACCAGCTTGAGATTTGTGCAGGGTCAGCCCCCCGGGTTGCCCACGGGGCGTCCAAGAGGGCGTCCAAGAGGGCGTCCAGGGGGAGGTGTTGGGAACCCACGCCGCCTCGGGGAGGAGGGAAGGTGTGCGCTCTCCCCGGCGTGGCCTCTCGTCCTGGGCAGGAGGCTTTTCAGGGTTGTGTTTGGTGCGCTCCTTGGAAAGTTCTGCTCGGAGGATGGCGGGCCTGGTCCGTCCGCGCTCTGCTGCCGACACTGGGGCGGGGCCGGGTGGTCCCCTCTTGTCCCCGCCCCTCGGTCGCCTGCTCCCCCACGAGGTGTGCGCTCCCGAGGGTCACATGTACGCGCACGGTCGCGGGTCACGGTGTGCGGATCGTCTCGCACACCTGCTCACTGGCCGTGGGACCTGAGGTCGCGTCCGTCGCGTCACTGCCTAAACTCTGCCTCGGGTCCCTCGTCTCTCTTGCTCGGTGGCTGGGGCGTCCTGGGGGCTCTCCTGTGTGCCTTTCATCTGCCCCTTGCCGCGCCCGCATCGCTTGCCCTCCTCCCGCCCACGGCCCCCTGCAAGCGAAGCTGCCGTTGGCCTGCTGGACGCCAGGGTCCTCGCAGACAGGACACCGGCTGCTCCCCGTCTCCCCCCAGGGTCCTGCCCACAGGGTCCCGGGCCCAGTGAGGATTCGCGGGAGGGCCTGGGGGGCTGCTTCGTGCAGTCGCTTTCACTTCTCTCCAGTGCTGGCAGGAATGTTTATTTTCTGTCTCTTACTTTGCATTTTGTAGGTGGTGACGGATGCCCCGTGGCGATAGATAATTCCTGCCATCTGCTTGACTCCACCCTGGCCGTGCCACCACCGTCGGGTACGGAGCTGAAGTCTGGGTAACCGGGGCAGGGTTGGGTTTGGCAGCAGGGCCTTGAAAATTGAATGAAAGGGGGTCCCTGGTCCCAAATCAGGAGCGTGCTTGGGGTTTCACATTCTTAGCATGTGTAGCTGGTGACGGCCTCCTCCGAGCCAGCTAATCCGTCCTCGCGGTGGTGACCTCAGCGACGTCGTTGGGTCCTTGTTGCCTTAGGTGAAGTGTGACCCCCTCGGTGTGGCTTTTAAGGCCCTGCAGCCTCCAGCCCCACGCCTGTGCAGCCCTGTCCCTCTGCATTCGTGTTACACCCTGGGGTCACCCCCCCCGCAGGCCTGCCGTCCCCGCTCACCGGGACTGTGCGGGGCGGCACTGTCCGTCTGCAGACCGCGTCTGCCCCGTCCTCCGCGTGCAGATCCTCCTGCTGCGCCGAGAGTCCTCCCGAATGCACACTTCTTTGTGAAATGCCTTTCCTGAGGTCCCGGTCAGAATCGTTCCTCTGTGCCTTTGTGGATCCGAAGGTAGAAGGCAACAGGCTCCGTCTGTGTTCCGTGTCCTTCTTGCTTCCCGTGCAGCCCGGCTCGATGGTTGCTCCTCCCGGGAGGCCTGTCCTCAGCTCTCCTCCCGCACAGAGAATTGATTCCTCCTCCTCTGAGCCCTGGCTCCTCTTTGTCGCTGCTGTACCTCCCCCACGGTGTCTGAGTCGCCCCTGGGTCCTGGAGGCAGGTGCCCCATAGGCGGTGGCTGAATTCAGTCGCTTCTGCTGTTAGATGAATAGGCCCAGGGCAGGGCCACACACAGACCCAGGTCCCCGAGTCAGGCCGCTTTCCCCTGTGACCTGCCGGCTGGCGTTAGGGCCTGAGGGCCTGTGTGTCCTCCCACCCGGCTTCGACGTTGAGGGATGCAGCTCGTCGAACACAGGACCTGACGTCTTCCCTCTCGTGTTGCAGCTTCTGAGACTCCTCCGCTGTCTGGAAATGACTCGGACTCCCTCTCCTGCCACAGTGGCGTTTCGGCCACCAGCACCTCGTGCACGTCCCACCCGGTCCCTGGCCACCGCCTGTGGGCCAGCAAGAGCGGGTGCCACGTCCTGGGCCTGACCGCGGACTACGAGGCCCTGTGCCAGCAGATTGGCCGCGGCCAGAAGCTCTTGGCCGAGATGGCCCTTCAGATCCAAGAGGCTCCCCGCGCTGCAAGTCCAGAGCTGGGGACAGAGGTAACCTGAGCAGCAGCTGCGGGGCCTGGGATGCCCACTGGGCCCCGTGGGTGGGAGGGCCGCCGAGGGCTCGCAGAGGCGAAGGAGCGTGGGTCCCCAGTGAGGCCCTGAGAAGAGGGGCCGGGACTGCAGCCCACGGAGCTCGGCGGTCAGGTCCAGTCCGGGGCGCTGCTGTGGCGGGGTCACTTGCCGGGTCTGCGCCCCGTGTGGGTGCGACCTCTCCACCGGGGTCGCTCCTTCCTGCCTCACCCTACTGGGCTCCTCCTCGCTCTAAAGCTGCCTCGTGTCGAGGACCCGTGTGCCCCGTGCTCGACATAAACTCGTCCACTTCCTCCGAGGGTCCCCAGACTGGACCCAACCACCGAGCTTCCCTCGGTCACGATTTCTGGTCCCTTTCCCAGGTCCTTACTGAGGCCGCCTGCTTCCCGGCACCTGATTTCACTTTTTGTTTGATTGGTTTTACTCTGTTGTAAAGGCCAGTTCTGCATTTTATATTTCACTAGGTAATAAGCTTCAGGAGAGCAGGGGCGGCGTCTCTTCTGCTCAATATAGTGTATTTGCCTCCTAGCACCGGGCCTGGCGTGCGGTGGGTGCGCACTAAGTGTTCGTTGAATGGATTAGTAAATAAGATTGCTGATCTTTTCTGATCATTATCTTTATCGCACAAAAAACCTAGGAACTGTAGCAAAGCGTCAAAACATCACGTGGTGCTCAATGTGTAAAATTTTGAAACACACACGGTCTTTAGCTCATCCATAAAGCTTAATAAAAGTGACCCCGACTTTTATTAGCATTTCGTGTTTCGACTTTCAGTTAAGATATCAGCAGTTTTCCTGTCCCATTCAGTATTTTTCTGAAACTTTCACTGGTTGCAGTATACGCCCTCTTGGTGATGTGCCACCATTTATTGACTCTTTGGCCTCTTTTTTCCGACATTTAAGGTGTGGTGGGCATCCTTGGTTAGCTCACTAGGGGCGAGTCCTGCAAGTGGAAGCACGCTCGCGGGTCGTGGACGCGTTAGGGCCCTCGGCGACAACTGCTGAGCCATTACTTTCCAAAAGTTTGTATCCCCGTTTGCAAGCGAGACCATCTCACTACACCTTATCCTTCACTGGGTACTTTTATTTATAAATGGGTTTTTGCCAATTTGGTAGCTAAAAAGGGTGAGTCATTTTGTTTTATAATGATTTTATTACTCATGAAGACCGTGCTCTTTTAATTTCTTTTCTTCTTAAAATTTACCTGCTTTCCCTTCTCTGACTCATGTTCTTGGCTTGCTCATGCCCTTGCCGTCCCCCGGTGAGGGTCTGCCTCTGCCCGCGGAGGCTGAGGGAGACCTTATGAGCCTGCGGCCTGGTGCCGGCAGTACGCAGGGCCGGTCGGCAGGGGCTGCTGAAGACAGAGTCGCCCGTGTTGCGTCACTAGCCGTTGGCGCCGTCTGCCTTCCGGAGAGGCTCCGTGGTGCGGAGGCGTGGGAATGGCCCTACCACGGACCCTCTTCTTGGCATAGTAAATCCACTTAATGCAGGTGGTGATGAATCATGGTTATTGATTGGGCTGAAATCACCACCGAAATTCTCTCATAATCTGTAATTCACCTTTAAGTCTTTAAGAACAATAAATTGGTGTCGTCTGGCACCAGGCTCTCACGCAGCATGTGGACACGAGCCCTGCGGCCTGGAGATTTATATGCGGCCCATTAAAGCCGGCTTGTCCATAATCTTTTTCAAGACTGCACGTAACAGCCTTCCTCTCCTGCCCCCCTGCCCCCACAGGGTCCACAGGGTCCACACTCGGTGCCCCTGCACACGTTTGTCACCAGCGTGGGCACAGCCAAGCTGATCCTCGAAGAGGCCGCGAGGTTACTGACGCTTTTCTGGAGGGTCTCGCTCCCCATGAACAGCCAGTGCACGCTTCATTGTGGACAGGTAGGTGGTGACACGTGGACTCCCAGGCTTAAGGATGCCACTGGGGCTCGTGGCTCGGTCTCCAGTCCAGGACCTGCTCATGGCGGATGCGCCCTCAGTTTGGGGAACGTGCCACGTTTGTTACGGGTGACGTGCTGCTGCAGGTGTGCGCTTGCCTGCCCCCGACACCCTGTGCCCATGGTCCCGACTGACTGTGCCCCCACTCCTAGCACGGCCTTGTTGAGGGAGATCCTATGCACGTCTTCCACACGAGGAAGCTGAGGGTCTGGTAGTGAGGCCCGACCAAGCACCAGTATCTGAATCCAGGGTATGCTTTCATTTTACGGAGTTTAAGTCTAGTTTGTCCTCGTAGGCGAGCTCATCCCCTTCCACTCTAAATCTCTTTCGTTGTAGGTCCTTCTCTTGATAGCTTTCAGAGTCCTGTTTTAATGGTTCTAATTTCAGTCTGTTTTAACTACTTAGAAAGTTTTGTAAATTATAAAACCATGGGGATTTCCCTCCAGACTTTGGCTTGGCAGCAACTTGAACACGACTGAATTAACGGTGTTGAACCCACAACCATCCTCATCGCCACCTTTCCATGACACAAACCAGGGGTCGGGCAGGCCAGAGGCTCTCCCTGCGTCTTCGTCTGTGGGAAGCAGGTGGTATAGTGACAGGCGAGCCGCCGCTCGGTCACCGGAGACGCCTGCCCGGAAGGCAGAGTGTGCGTGTGAAGGAAGAGTTAGGATGTTGCCTGGTGGTCTGATAAATATTTCCCCCTTCCTTTATCTAACCTATGAATTTTTGCCAAAGGCCAGCAGGAGGGCCGAGGACACTTGCATTCCCTGTCATTCTGCATCTAGTCCAACCTTCTGACAGCTCTCAGGTCTGCCGGCCGTGGCGGAGGCAGCAGTGGAGCGGCTCCCTGCTCGGGAGGTTCTAACGAGCCTGTCCTGTGATTTCCCCTTGGGGTCCTGGGGAGGAAGTTCGGGGTCACCAGGCTTGGAAGAAGGTAACCAGTCATTCCACGCTTTGGCCACTTGGAGCCGGTGGGGCCGCGGAGAGGAAGAGCACCGCTGGGTTCCAGGCCCTCACTGGCCTTTCCTTTTGTGCTGACCCACCGAGGTCTTTGCTTCTCAGGCTTGATGCCTGCCTCTCCGGCTGCCTGCCGCCCCGCTCCCTCTCGGCTGGCGGCTTCTCCTGCCCTTTCCGGTCTCCGCTTACCTGTAACTTCAGGGCCGGAGAGGGTCCCCGATCGCTCAGTCTTAGTGCCTCTTCTGCTTCATCATGGCCCTCGTTGCAAGTTACATATTTGTTTAATGTCTGTTTCCGTCTGTTTTCCAGGACGGGCCCTATTTTGTTCATATTTTTTGGTGAATTCCTTTCTTATTCCCGAACAAATACTCGCCCATACGATTTTTAAAGCACAGCATGTCTGAATGAAACTCAGTGTGATGATTTCGTCCTCAGTACACAGTGTCGTCTGTTAAACAGAATGCAGTTCTTATTGTGTGTGTGTGTGTGTGATGAATTGCAGTCCCCTCGCTCTCCCCCACCAGCACACCAGTCCAGGGACTGGCCAGCGCTCGTGATGACTCACCCTTCTTTCCGAGCGTTTCTCATATAATTGATTATACTCACTTTAGCATCACAGAATTTTAGAGCCAGAAGAAGGACCTCAGAGTCACTCTAATACGGTTGTTGGTGTACACAGACCCCCCGTGTGTGGTGTTAAATTGCCGCAAGCCACTTTTCTGTCCATGCTTGTTTCATACACTGCTTTTTTCTTAGTGTGAAATGTGTGTAAAGCAGATTTCCAAGTTTTCATTAGCAACCCCAATGGTTTTTTTTTTTTTTTTTTTTTTTTTTTTATGTTGTAAGGTTTTTCTCTGAGTATCATCAATGTGCCTTTTGCATTTAATATACTGTCCCCTGCAGCCCCTTGGACTACTCTGCAAAGTGTGCATCATATACATTGGTTTATCTCAGAAATTTGTGGGGGAGAGATACAGATGCATACACACATTTGTTTATGAAAATCTTGTTTCACTGGAAGGATAAGCAATAACAAGAAAACAGGCTACCCGTAGGGGTGGGAAGGAAGACGGTGGATGGGCAGGCGTAGAAGGTAGATTTCTCTGAATAGATCTTGTTCCGTAAATTGAAACTGTATAAACGCTTTAAATAATTGAAAAACAAAATGGGAAAAAAAAAGGCAATTTCTTAAAATTGGTAGCAAGGCGAAACCTTACTATATTACATTGAAGGCATACCCACACAAGGAGGAAACATTTCAAGACTGAAACACAGTAATTTGGCTATATCCCTAGTAGAAATACTCTTAAGAGCTAAAAGGACTGCAAAGTAACGTATTAATTGTTTTCAGTGATGATAAGTGTTACTAATAATATCGTAATAAAACAAATAGCTAATTATGTTAAGGTTTTTACTCAGGGAAGATATATATAAGTTGAAAAACAAAGAAATAAAAATCCTGCCATCCTTGATTTGGAAATACCAGTATCACCTGAATTTGGGATGTATTTCCTATTGGAAATATTTATTTTTAGGCTTTAAAAAATGTCCACTCCAGTACCGGTGAGCACCTCTAGTGCCAAATTGTGGTTTCTAAATACCTTTTTCCTACTAATAGGAACTCAGACTCCTTGGAGACATGGTTTGATTCTAGGTCTGGGGCAGGAAATGTACAATATGAGCTTAGGACATCTTTTCATCCTAGGGAAAAAGAGGGAAAAGGGAGTAAAACTTACAGATTTACAGCAGTTCTCACATTATAGTTCCTGGGCCGGCAGCATCCATGTGAACTGGGAACTTGTTGGGAAGGTGAATTTTGGGGCCTCACCCCAGACCTACGGAATCAGAAACTCTGGGAGTGGACCTCAGCGGTCTGTTTCTAGACGTCCTCTTGGTAGCCCTGAGAACCTGGATTAAAAGAAACTTAAGAGACGTATTAAATGCAAAACGTGGAGTTGATTTGGATCAGACCAGTTGTTCAAAAAAATGAAATTACAGTGTGGTCAGGGAGTCCTGTCTGCTGACATATATGGTGATACCGAGCAATGACCTTGGTTGTTCTAGATGTGGTGATGATGTGTTTTTCTTTTTAAAGAATCTTTTCTCTAGAGCTATATACTAAAATATTCTGTGGACATGAAATGTGATTGGCTTCTGGGGTTGAGTTTAAAAATATTTTCAGGGTGCAGATGGGCCAGTTTAGGGACATAGATGAAGCAGGTTTGTCTGTGATTTGCTAATGACTGAGGCTGGGTGGGCCTCTGGCAGTTCATTATCCCATTCTTTTGACTTTTGTGAATGTTTGAGATTTTTTTTTTCCTGATAAAAAAGAAAAAAAATGGGCGCCTGGGTGGTTCAGTCGGTTAAGCGCCTGCCTTGGGCTCAGGTCATGGTCCCGGGGTCCTGGGATCAAGCCCCACCTTGGGCTCCCTGCTCGGTGGAGAGCCTGCTTCTCCTCCTTCCTGTGGACCCCCCCCCCCACCAACCCCCTGGGGTTTCTCTCAAAGTCTTTTAAAAAATAATGAAAGAAAAAGAAAAGCCCAACAACTAGAAAAGCCAGCTGTGGGAGTCAGGCCCAACAGCCCTGGGCTAGGCGGTGGCCTCCTGGGAGGGGGGCGGGTCCCAGCTCTGGGCAGGAGGCGCTGCTGTGTGGGGAGCTCCCTGGGCGCCAGGCACAGAGCTGCACACGCGGCATCTCCTCTGGTCCCTCACGGGCGCCTTCAGAGAGGAGGGCATTACCCTTTTCCAGACGTAAGAATTGAAGCTTCTGTGCTTTGTCATCATCACAGCGGGAAGTGGCCGAGCCGGGTCTTCACGCCCTGTTGTTTTTACCGTGGTGCATTTGTCCTGCAAAAATGAAGATTTAGGTTCAGAGGAACAGCAGACATACAGAATTACAATTCCTTGTTTCAAGTGCCGGATAGAAGATGGGCAGAGGTTTGGGGGAGCGCAGATGAGAATTAACCTACCGGTTGGCAGAGGGTCTCCCGGCACCTACTGTGTGCCCGGTGCTGCTGGTCAGAGGGGACCACTGAGTCTCGGGAGCAGAAGGAAACAAGAAAATGGTTAGTTACTGTTCAACGAGCCATTGTGAGATGGGCAGTGATGAGCGAAGGACTGGGCGTGGTGAATGCCCGAAGACCCCCGGTGGGGAGGAATCTCAAGGACGCTTCCTGGAGGAGGGGTTGCCTGCGCTGAGTTTTGAAACAGGGCTGGGGGGTAGCCAGGCAGCAGTGAGGAAACCAGGGTCCGTCGTCAGGCATCACCTCCTTTGCGTCTCCCTCTGGATGGACGGGGTCAGGGATGGTCCCGGTTCACCGCGTGGAGGATGACTGCCCAGAACGTGAGGCCCAGGAAGCCCTTAGCGTGAGGAGGAGAATCCGACAAGACCTGAGGTGTAACCAGGATCTGTTTTGGAAGAACAGTCGACCTCCTTGGAGCTGCCGCCGTTCGTCAATCCTGAGAGTAGGTCAAGGCAGGGAATCGGGACGACACGCACCTTACACATCGTGGTTCAACTGAAAACAATTAGACGTACGTTCATTTGACGTGGGGCCAGGGCCTTTCCTTTGCCTGTGGGCCTGCTGACGAGGCTCTCGCGTCCCCTGGCCTCCATGAACTACGTCCATAATGTACGTCTGTCACTCCCGCGTTCTGTTTCTCTAAGATGAAGAAAAAACGTAGACACTTGTAAAGCAAGTCGAACACGGAATTCTTCGAGACTCCGTTCCTCCCACATCTTACAGTTGATTCACCCACACCTAATTTGCCAGAAATGTGGTTTTCAGTGACTTTATCAAGTCTTCCTTGAGGCATATGCTAGTTTTCATACAACCAGTTCTCTTCACGTACACATTTCAGGGTTTACTTCATCCTTCATTAAACCCTATAACCGACTGCAAGTGCCACTGCCGTAGACAGGTTTGGAAACTGTACCGCGGGGTCCTTGGAGTCGGCCGCCCAGCATCTCCCTCCTGAGGAGCAGAGGTGTTTCCCTGTCGCCCAGCGGAGCCTGTGCCGGCGGCTCTTACGCCCGGGGTGGGGGTGTCAGGAGAAAGGACGGTCCTTGACTCTGAACGGGTCCGCGGGGGCTGCTTGGGGAGCCCTGGGGCGTGCGCAGTTCACGTTAGAGGCCTGGGAACTCTGGCTTGCCGCCCCTCCAGCTCCCCACACGCTCCCCACACGCTCCCCACACGCTCCCCACACCTCGGGAGAACCCGAGCTCTCCCGAGGATCATACTCTCCTAATCATGCTTCTATGTTCTCTTTTTTTTTTTTTAAATTCATCATTAAAAAGTTTTGTTTCAATGAGCATTATAGTTTTGTTTAAAAAGCACACAATCTTGATAAATTTCTAAGGTTGGAAAATAAAACCTCCACATTGCATCTCAGACATAAATCACTAATGAACATTTTGATGCCTCTTTGTCATCACATTTTTTGGGCATCACACACGCATCTGTGGATGTTAGATCTACGTAGCAGTTTTAAGAAACAGGAATGCCTGGATACAGTAGCAGTTCTGGGCTCTTTTTGTCACTAATTATGACCATCTTTCAACGTCAAATAGAGTTCTACAACATCATTTTTTCTTTTTTTTTACAAGACTTCATTCGAGAGAGCGCGTGTGCGCAGGTGTGCACAGGCAGGGGAGGGGCAGAGGGAGGAGAAGCGGGGTCCCCGCTGAGCGGACAGCCTGCCGACCCGGGGCTCGACCCCAGGGCCCCGGGATCCTGACCCGAGCCGAAGGCAGACGCCTAACCGACTGGGCCCCCCAGGCGCTCCCTCCGCACCCTCCGCATCATTTATAGCATCTGGGAAGTTACGCCTTTGGGTGTAAGGACCGAGACGCACTGACGCAGACCCCTGCTGGCACGAAGCAGGGGGTTGGTTGGCCCCGACGGTGAACGGTGCCGGGCACATCCCGGGACGTGGGCGTCTTCTGGCGCCCGTGCTGCTGTAGGCGGGTGCCCCCAGGGCAGGGCTGCGGATGGGGGGCTAGCGTGGCAGGTGCTGCAGGGCAGGGCGCCGGGGCCTGTGCCGTCCTGGTTCCCCAGCGCTCCCGACGGCGCGGGTCCTGCAGGTCGGGGCGCGGGAGCCGGGCCCTGCTTGTCGTTCACGGGCCGCTCTTCGCGAGGGGGAGCGTCTTTTTGTATGTGTCTTAATTCTTTCCCACGTGATAGGGTGTTTTGTATTCTCTGCTCATTTTTCCAATTCCTTTTCTCTTGAGACTGGAGAAATGAAGGCAGAGATCACCAAACTACACAAAAAGCTGTTTGAACAAGAAAAGAAGTTGCAAAACTCTGTGAAGCTTTTGCAGCTGAGCAAGCACCAGGAAAAAGTCATCTTTGATCAGCGTAAGTGACGGCTGGGGGTGGGCCGCTGTGTCTGCCCACTTGCCGCCCTGAGGCCCGACAGCCCCGGGCTGGACACCCGCTGGGAGGCCCACAGCAGCTGTCATCGTGCCTCCTGTTCGTGGGTTTCCTGTCCTAGCTCGTCCTTTCTGACCCGCACGGGCAAATAGATGCACTTAACGGACCCCCGCGCAGGGCACGTGGTGCCAGGGACGGCCTCTCGCTGGGGCGGCGGGTGCCTGGCATCTGCCTTGACCGGGACCTGTGGGCCGGGGTCGTAGGGAACAGGGGCAGGGAAGTGGGGGGGGGGGCGTGGGCTTCTTGGACAGAGGGACAGCTGGGCGGAGCCCGCGGAAGGGGCGGTGTTGGTCAGACGGAGGGGGCGGCGTGGACACGGGCCGACGGGCAGCACGGCAGGTTTTGTCTGGGAGAAGCCTCGAGCGGTCCGCGCGGCGGGGGGTCGCTGGCCAGGACCGCGTCGTGAGAGGCGTCGGGGAGCAGCCCCGCGGCGCTGGCATGTGGGAAGGGCCTGCTCGGCTGCCCCCGGTCCCCCGGCCAGGCCAGGAGGAGGGCCCCGGCCGGGGGACCAGGGGGACCGGCTGGTCTTGAGAAATACTTCAAAGGCGGACCCGGGACTCGGGCTCCGAGAGGCTACAGGGCACTGGTAAGGCGAGCGCCGTCCCTGCCGGGAGCCCGGGTGGTGGGCCGCCGCTCCCCGTGCCCGGAGAAGCCATGGGCCACCTCGGCCCGGGCCCGCTCGCTGTGTGGCGGCCCCTCGCGGCTCTGGGGGCACCGTGGATGGCGGGAGGCCCCCCCACCCAGGAGCTGCCAGGCTGTCCGTGCCGCTCCTATCGGGGGCCGGTGTTTCGGGGCATTTCTGAGAAGCCCAGGGCATAGACTGCTGGCAGGCACGGTTCCCCTCAGCTGTCCCCCAGAACCTTCGGGAAGCCGACTCCGTGACCCTGGCAGGGTTGAACTGTGGGAGCAAGACACAGGGTCATGACTCACCTTGTGCTCCGTGTCCCATGCTGGGCCTGGCGCAGAGGCGACGGGGCTGCCCTCCAGCACGGAGCCTTGGCTTCGGGGCCGACACGAGAGCCGGCTGTAGGGCCACGTCCTGGGGGTCCGACTGCGCAGGTCCGGAGGGGCGGGTCGGCGTGGGCGAGCGGGCGGGCACAGATGGCGGCAGGTGGCCTCGGGGGTGAGCGCCGTGCGGTCAGGAACATACTCAGGATGCGCCAAGGGGCCTGCTGAGAGACAAAGCCAAGTCGCCTGGTGGGACCAGCGGTGGGGGGGGGGCACGGGCTGGCGCAGTCCCTCTGTCTCGCCGGGTCCCCGCGGCTGGGGTGGACGGCCAGGAGGCACAGGAGGCACAGGAGGCACAGGAGGCACAGGAGGCGGGGCGTCCACATGGCAGCAGGAGGTCAGAGGCCGCCCTGTGGGTGCTGGCTGGCCTGGGTGCTGGCTGGGCCCCACAGCACGCGTGTCCTGAGGAGCCTGGTGGGCGTCCGGGGCGGCACCCATCGTGGAGCACCCGTGGTGGAGCCCTCGGCCAGACCCTGGAGGCGGGGGTGGCAGTGGCGCCGGGGCCTAGGACTGCGGCGGCCTGTGTCCGGGCGCACGGGGCTAACGCACCTGCTGGCGGGAAGCAGGGAGGGCCGGGGTCGGGGGCGGGCTCCCGGGATCCAGAGCACAGAGCCCGGCCTGGGCCCTTGGCCGCGACCCCGGTGCCGTTAACGAGCGCAGTGCAGGTCTCTCCCCGTGTGACCTGCAGTAAGTGACGTTCCCTCCTGAGCTGCGGAGTCCTGTCCCCGACGCGCGGGGGTCGCTGGGAGGCCTCGGCTGCCCCGGCCTGGGTCCCGACCACGACTCTGTAAGAACTGCCCGCTTCTCGTCCGGACGGATGGTGACACCCAGACCCCGCGGTGCACGTGCCCGACAGACACGGCCGGTGTCTCGGCCCCCTTCCCGAGCTTGCACGGGGTCCGTGTGTGGCTGGCGGCTGATAGGAGCCGAGGCCCCGCTAACTCGGTGTCATCCTGTCTACCTCCAGGCCTCGGCCACAGCCTGCCGGGGAGGGGCCGTGACCCCAGGGCCGGGCTCTGGCCACCACCCCCCCACGTCCCCGGTGCGGCAGGTCCTGGGAGGAGCAGCCCCTGCCCGTGGCGAGGGGTCGAGGGGTCGAGGGGTCGCAGGGGCCCAGGCGGTGGCCCCTCTGGAGGCGGGGCTGGCCGGCTGAACAAGCGCCCACCGCCCCAGTGTCGCGGATTCGCCAACACCGTCACTCGGGAGATGTGTTTCCTCGGGCCGGAATCCAGCATTTCCCCAGGCTGCGCGTGGTCCCGCCCTGAGGGTGTCTCGGGGACCCGGACGGCAGGATTCCGGGTTCCTGCCATGGGCGGCTTCCCAGTGGCCGGGGGCAGCTGTGTTGGGCGAGAAGAGGGTCCGGGGCAGAGGAGGCCCCCTGAGCTGGGCCTGGCGCCCACGGCCTGCAGCCCCTCCGCAGTGCATCCCGGGAGCGTGTCGGGTTCTAGCAGCTGCGGGGCCCGAGGAGAAAGGGCCCAAAGGTCATGGCCTCGCGCAGATTCACGTCCGCTCTGCGCTGGGACCTGCCTCTGCGGCACCGCCTGTGCCCTCGCCGTGGCCCTTAGCGCACGGGTTTTCTCGGAGTCAGCCACGGGCCCTGCGCTGCACCGTCGCCCAAACCCGTAGGGGTGACCCGGGTGCCCGGGCGCCCGCAGGCCTTGCCGAGCCCACAGTGGGCCGGTACCCGCGACGTCATGGCCTCGCTCAAACGCGCGGAGGCGACTCTGGCCCGGCGGGCGACGTGGTCTTGGTGCGCGTGATGGGGTGGAGCCTCCCACACCCGCCTCCGGTCTGGGCGCCCCAGGCTTGTCCGCAGGGGGCCTGACGCCCGGGGCACCCGTCTGACCGTCCCTCTCTCTCTCTCTCTCTCTCTCTCTCTCCTCAGTGGTCGTAACCCACAAAGTCCTTCGGAAGGCCAGAGGGAACCTGGAGGTAATGCCCCCCGGGGTCCCTTAGGGAAGGGGGTCAGGGGTGGGGGCGCCGGCCAGCAGGTGACCTCGTCAGGAAACGGGGGCCGAAGGGGACCAGGTGCGGGTCCTGCACCAGCGGCTGTTTTCCGCCGGCAGCACAGTTTCACGTGGTGGCGCGGCTCAGGCCTGGGGTGGCCGTCGCAGTCGCGCTGCTGATCCCCGGGGACGACGGCACACGGCGGGCGCCGAACGCCTCAGAGGAGGGAGCGTGGCAGGCGTCGCTGCCGCTGGTCCCTGGTCCTGAGAGCGCTGCCTGCTCCCACATGTCCCTGAAAGCGCGTTCACTCGGCCTCAGGAGCCCCCCGCTGGACCTAAAACTCTCCTTTTCTCCTCCTTTTCGCAGCTGAGGCCGGGGGGCGCCCACCCTGGAACGTCCAGCCCCAGCCGACCGGGCTCCTGAGACCTCCCGCCAATAAAGCTTGTGGTTCCCGCCGAGCAGACGCTGTGGCTTCTTCCCCTGGTGGGTTCCAGGTCCGGGGCGCTGCTGCAGGACCTCTGCCTCCCCTCGCCGCGTCTGTCCCGCGGCCGGCCTCGGGGCTCGTCGGCGTTCGGGTGCCGTCGGGCTCCGCGCTGGGCCTCGGGCCGCCACCCGCGGCGCTCAGCCGCTCTGCAGCCTCAAGGTCCTCACGGGGCCCGGCAACCCCGCCGTGCGCTTATTCCTGGCAGTGCCTGGAGCCCCGGGCCTGAGCCGAGGGGGGGGCTGGGGTGTCGGCCAGTCACGCGGCCGGCGAGGAGCAGGGTGGCCGGGCGGCGCCTGCATCCGGCCTGCGTGGGGGTGCGTCACCTCCGGGCAGGCCCCGACAGGGCCTCCCAGGGCGAAGGGTCCACGTGAGGCCCGGCGCGGGGACTTGTCACGGTGTCCCCGGGGGGCGGCGGCCTCTCCAGCCCACTGTCCCTACACTGCCCCATGTTGGCCGCAGCCTCTGTGTGTGACTGGCCCGTCCTTGTCCTGAGCTGCTCGCTGTCCCCGAGCAGTGAGCGCGGTGGGGCTCAGCCATCGGCACAGGGAGCGGCCCTGACCCCGGGACCCCAGCCCCTCAGCACAGGGAGTGGACCTGACCCCGGGACCCCAGCTCCTCTGCCCAGGGAGCGGCCCTGACCCCCCCGGGATACCAGCCCCTCGGCACAGGGAGTGGCCCCGACCCCTGAGACCCCGGTCCCTCCGCGGGGTGCTCCTTGCCCAGCCCTGCTGCCACCTCTCGTGCTCCGGCCACCTTCCACCTGCGGCCTTGTGACCAGGGTCAGACCCGTCCTGGAGGGACGGCCTGGTCCCCTCCCCCGTGGGCACGTGCCCCCCCATCTCTGCCCGGTGCCGCCTGGGTCGTGGGCTGCCACCGGTGGGAGAACGGCCGGCCCCGCCCCGCGGCCCCGTCCTCTGCCCCCTCCCCTGTCCTCACACCCCCCCTCACCCCATCTGCACCCCTGCCCTCTCTCCCCACTCCCCTGTCCAACCCTCTGCCCTTCCCCCTCCTCTCTCCCCTCCAGGGCCCTGCGCTTTCCCTCCGGGCTCCGCCCACTGCGCCGGCTCCCTGCCCCTCCTGTCCCTCCTGGGCCTGCGACAGCCCCCCCGCCAGTGTTTGCAGGACAGAGGCGCCCCCCCACCCAGCGAGGCCCGGGGCCAGGACGGACCACACACGGGGAGCCGCGGAGTGCCCCTGGACGGGTCCCAGGGTCTCCGGCGAGGGCCTCCTGGAGGAGGCCGGTGGGGGCCTCGCTGCAGCCCCTCCCCGGAGCGCAGCCCACAGGCAGAGCCCAGCACCCTGGGCCTCGGGGGTCCACTCGGCTGCCCTCGGTCCCCATGTCCCCAGCTGACCCTGAGGCCCGTGCCCTCGGGTCCTCGCGTGGCCGGAGGGCGCATGGGGGGTGGCCAAGCAGGCGCCGGGCATGAAATGCAATCGCTTATCGGAGGAATAACCCTAAAAGTAAAGTAGACTTCGCACAGACGTCGTAATTTTAAAAATTAAGAATAAAAAGAAGATGCATCTCGGAGGAAAGAAGTCGAGTTTTGACGGACGGTGATTAGTTCCTCCGCTAACGGCCCGAGGTGCAGGCGGCTCCCCTGCAGGCCCCGGACTCCCCGGACAGCGCGGGTGTGGGGGTGCGGGGCGGGAGGGGAGCTCCTGCAGGGTCCCCGACCGGCCAGCCGCACACTCGGGCCGCAGTCCCTGCAGCTGCTAACGTGCTGGTCCCCAGGCAGGGAAAGCGCGGAGTGTGTGTGTGTGCATGTGTGTGTGCGTGTGCATGTGTGTGTGTGCGTGTGCATGTGTGTGTGTGCGTGTGCATGTGTGTGTGCGTGTGCTCGCATCCACGTGCCGGTCCAGTGGGCCCGGGCAGCAGGGGTGCAGGACGCAGGGGGCGTGGGCGGGGCGGTGGGCCGATGGCCCCGTGCGGAGCCTTGGTCCTTCCTTCTCGGGTCCCGAGCACCCTGTGGGGCCACCTCGCGTCCAGGCGGCACCTGACGTCTTTTCTACGTGAATCCTAGGTTGAAAGTGTGCTTAACGCAGGGTTGCCGTGGGAGGAGTGGGTCCTGCTCCCCCCTGCCCCGCCCACGTCCCAGGGCCCAGGTCCCCCACCGCCTGCTGCCTCCCTGGCCCCGGCCCTGCTGCCTCCCCGACCAGCACGAAGGCAGGGCCCGGACAGGAAGCCTCGCCGCTCGCTGCTGGAGGCCGCGCCCAGGGGGAGCCAGGGCCCCGGGGGCGGGTGGGGCCCTGCGTGTCCGTGTCCGTGTCCGTGGGGCCCCAGGAGGCAGCCCTCCCACCGCGGGCCGCACGTGGAGGCCTGTGCGTGGGGCTCAGACGCGGGCGGCCTCGACACCAGCGTGTGTCCCGCTCCCGCCTCGTCCCCGCGGGGAAGCCCTGCCCGCAGCAGCCGCGGGGCCCGCAGGTGCTCGTCCCACCAGGCCCGGAGGACGGGCTGCAGGGCAGGGCCCCCTGCGCGGATGCCAGGTGGACAGAAAGCTCCAGAAGGCGAGTGACGCCGTCCCTTCTCCACCTGGGCTCCATGTCCCGGCTGCTGGGGGGAGGGGTGGGGGGGGCCTGGGTGGCGGGGGGGGGGGCCCTGGCTGCAGATCCTTCTGGCTGGGTCCCCCGTGTCTCTGCCTCCCGAGCCCCCTCCGTGGGCGGGGAGGACAGACACAGGGTCTCAGTGCCACTCCCGCAGACCGTGGGTACCTGATGCTCGGGCGCTGGGGCATCGACTGCTGTTTCTCTGGGGGGCGGGGTTCATACAACTGCGTGTTTCCCTTCTGGGCTGGGGGTGAGGGAGAGGGGAGCCCAGAGCCTTCCCGAAGGCCGGGCGGAGGCCAGCCTCTGCTCCACACATGCAAGCTGGGGGAGGCAGTGGGGGGAGCTGGCGTGGGCCCTGGAGGCTCGGGACCCAGGGAGGACACGCGGCCTTGGGACGCGGTGGCTGCCCCTGTGCGGTGCTGTTTCCAGAGCCCTCGAGCTGCAGCACACTCGTGGCTGAAGCCTCTTATTGAATACATGTAAAAAAAAAATAAAAATTAGGGCAAGTGATCAGTAGTGAAAAACTAAAATCTAAAATATTTAATTAAGGGAGCTGGGTTAAGTAGATTTTGATGCCCTAGAGTATTGTGGTAAAAAAAATTTTTTTTAAGAATTTTTAATGAGGTGGGAATTGGTTTAGGATATAAGGTGAATGGAAAAAGCCGGGCATGATACAGGGTATGGTTTCAGGGGCGTTAGTGAAACAGTGGAAGGAAACCTACGGAACATCAACGGGGTTAAGCAGGGTTTGAATCTGGAAGGTGGGATTGTGGGTGACTTTTAGTCCCGTCTTTTTCTGTTTCCTGTAATCAACAATATTACTTACAAGAAGAAATTACAAGATACAATATCATGTTTATTTTTTTAAAAGATGTTATTTATTCGTGAGACCCAGAGAGAGGCAGAGACCCCGCAAGGAGCCCGACGCGGGACTCGATCCCGGGACCCGGAGTCACGGCCTGGACTGAGGGCAGATGCCCCACGGCGCAGCCCCCCAGGGGGCCCCAATACATTTAGAATAAGAAGAAACGTAGAAGTTTACGGAAGGAGGCCAACGCCCGTCACCAAGTCGCGGTCTCGGCTCCGAGCCGGCACCAGCCCCGGGGCCTCTCTTCCGGGCTCCGGGGCACAGTCGCCCGAGGCGGCCCGGGCTCCCAGCAGGGCCCTTTGCCCCTTCGCGGGGCGGCACTTACAGGAGCACTGATAGACGTGGCCCGAGGGGGAGGTGCCCCGTGGGAAGAGGTGCGAGCGGTTGATGACCAGCTGTTGAGTGACTGGTGACCCTCGGGGGTCCCGCCCCGGAGTCCTCGGGAGGGGCCGCAGCGAGTGGGTCACAGCCCCTGGGAACCACGGCACACCCGGGTGGTGGGACAGCGGACGGCAGAAGCCGCCTGAGCAGCCCAGTGACCAACCGAAGGGGCGTGAAAGGGAAGCCACGTCGCGGCCAAGTGCCTGCGGACTCGCTACTGTACCGTCCCCGGGCCCCGTGGGACAGACGTGACAGCAGCACCCGCGTTTCAGCAACAAGGACGCGGAGGCGAGAGTGCTGAGGAATCCTGCCCGAGGTGCCCGGGTCCGATGTGGCCGTCCCGATGCCAAGTTCCTGCCGCCCGCGTTACTGTGACGTGCTGCGGGCGCCGCTTCCCTGGCACCCTCCCCGGGCACGGGAGCCAAGGGGCGGGCCCACGGTGCTTCGTTTATATTTAAAGCGAAAGGAGCACGTGGTGGGTAAGAGAACAGGAGTCCGAAGGGTGACGGAAGCTGCGGGCGCGCCTGGGGGCTCCCCGACGTCGTGGGCTCTGATTCGCTCCTACACGGGCGCGTGGCCCACAGCGGGAGGGAGTGCGGAGGGGCCTGGAACCGTGTGCCTGCAGCCGGGCCACCAGCTGACCCTCACACACTCCCCGCGGGGCTGGGGGTCGGGGCCTTCCCGGGCCACACGGCTGGGTCATCCCCGGGAAAGAAGGGACCCGAGGCCAAGGAAAGCCCCGCCGTCACCGGCAGCCGGAGTCTTAGATGTGACTCCGTCTGCCCACTTGCCTCGTGGGCCGGAAGGCTTCCCCTCTGCTAGGGGGTGAGACCGGGCGCCGGGGGCTCAGGGGTGGGCGCCCGCCTCCGGCTCAGGGCATGACCCCGGGTCCCGGGATCGAGTCCCGCGTCGGGCTCCCCGCACGGAGCCTGCTCCTCCCTCTGCCTGTGTCTCTGCCTCTCTCGGTGTCTCTCATGAACCAATAAATAAAGTGTCAAAAAAAAAAAAAAAAAAGAAAGACGAGAAGCCGAAGAAGCCGAGCATAGTTGACCGTGTCCCACTTCCCCTTTCCGTCCTGAGTCCAGGTCCGGCGCTAATCCGAGTCTCGTTCAGGTTGCCCTTGTGACCTAGGACCGTGCTTCGTCTCCCTTCCTCGACTCCCCCTCCTGGGTGGTGAGCAGGGATCCCTCCGACAGTGAAGAAACCCCCTTCTGGGGGGCAGCGGGGGCCTCCTGCCCGCCCCGTCCTTGTTGAATAGTGGTTCTTCCATCGTCGGGTTCGTGACATTTGCGTTCTCCGCGTCACCACCGGGCTCTGAACCGCAAGCCCGAGGAGATGCGGTTTACGCGCGTGAGCTCGAGGCCCTCGTCGCGGCAGAGCCACCGCGGTGGGGACGGTGTGCGGGGGGCAGACGGCGGCCCTCGCTCTGGGAGGCTTCCGCTCAGGGATTGTCGTGACCCCAGGGCCCGCGGCTTCTCGTGCGTTGGCTCGCGGTCCCCGTCCTCGTCCCGAGCGGCTACCGTTTCCTGTGTCCACTCCTTTTTCTCTTCCCTAAGTTTCTTAAGCATAAAATTCACTTTTCGGGCGGTGCATTAAGTACATCGCGGTGTCCTGCATCCCTGAGCGCGCTCCAGTTCCAGAACCATCATCCCAAAGGGAAAGCAACCCTGTCCCCGGCCGTGGTCAGTCCTCGTCCCCCCCCCCCCCCCAGCCCCTGGCAACTGCCCATCCCTCGGCCTCCGCGGACGTGTCTACGGCAGATGCTCGGAGAAATGTGGCCCTCGCCCCCTGGGGCCCGGCGCCCCTCGGCCCCCGCTGACCCGGCCGCCCACCTCCCGTCCATTCACTGGTGCGTTTCTCCGTCTCCCTTCTTGCTCCGGACATTTCAAGCCGACGTGACGGCAGCGTGCAGGGCCGTGAGCCCCGGAGCCCGGGGCCTGGACTCCTCGGCCGTTGGGGCTTCGCTACCGGCCCCGCTCTGGCCTCGCGCCCTCCCCTTTCTCAAATCGGCGCCCGCCCCCCTTCAAGTCAGTCCTCGGCGTGGTGTGCCGGCGGCTGCCCGGGCCTGGGCGAGTCCGGGCTCTGCTGTGGCGGGGCCGTGGCGGGGCCGTGGCGGGGCCGTGGTGGCCCGGGGACCGGCTCGCAGCAGGCTCCACTTGGGGTGAAGCTGGTCCCGGCTGCCCCTGCGGCCTCCACCCCGGCACACCCGGCGCCTGGCACTGTGGGGCCTGCTGCGCCTCCAGAATGATCCGAGGCGCACGCGTGTGGTTTCTTGGTCCGCGTGGAGTCTAACCCACTTCTCCTGAATCTTACCCGTTCCTCGACGGCGGGCACAGCTGCAGCTCCTCCCCGAGAACCACAGCGTCCTCCCGTGGAGCCCCTGCCCCTGCCCCTGCCCGTGGGACTGCACGACCTCCCACTGCCCCGAGATCGAGAAATGCTTCTCTGGGGGCCTCGGGGGGGCTCAGCGGCGGGGCGTCCGCCTTCAGCTCAGGGCGCGAGCCCGGGTCCTGGGATCGAGTCCCGCATCGGGCTCCTGGTCCGCGGGGAGCCTGCTGCTCCGTCTCCTCCTCCCTCCTCTCTCCTCTCTCTTGCTGTCTCTGAATCTGTCAAATAAATAAATAAAATCTTAAAACAAAACGGATGTAAGGAAACTTTGGGAGGTGATGGGTCTGTTTCTTGCCTTGATTGTGAGGACGGTTTCCTGGGTGTGCACATACGTCCGCACTCGTCAAAGTGTTTGCACTGAGAATGTGCACGTTTTGGTCTGTCGACGACGCCTCAGTACAGGGGGTAAGGAAAAGAGCTGCTTCCCCTGCTGACAGCAGAACGTCTCCTTCCTCGTGCTTTGCTCAAGGCCCGGCCGCTGCCCGAGTCTCCGTGCCGTGGCCCCGTACGTGGTGGGGACCCGGTTTGGGCAGCCCGGGCCGTGACCGCGTCTCGACCCAACTTGGGAGCCAGCTGCTCCGGCTTCCCCTCCGCACGGCAGGACCCGGCTGCCCCCCCTCCCCCCCCGGGCTTGGTCTCCTTTCAGCAGGTGGGGCCAAGGCGCAGAAGAGAGCTGGCTCCGCGCACGGGGCGGAAACCGTCTCCTGGGAACTGGCTGTGCGAGTCCAGCCCTGAGGGGCCGGCAAGGGGCCCCCTTCTTCCCCCGAATGATGAGCACCGCCGGGTCCTACTCGGGATCCCATGGCCCGTGGCAGGTGCAGAGACAGGCCTGTTCCCTGACCTTGCGGAGGGGCCGCTGCCCCCGAGGGAACCAGGTCCCAGTCTCTGCTCCGTGGGCGGCGAGGAGCCCGTGGCGGCCTCCGAGGCCTCCTCTGCACGGCCGGAGACACAATGACGCGTAGTAAACGTCTGGGGACTAAAGCCGCGTGGTTTCACGTGCTTCTCCAAGAACTGGTTGGGACTTCGGACACAGTATTGCTGAGTAATTAAATGAGAATGTTGCGCAACCCTGGGAGGATGATTCGACCTCTGAGAGGGGTCTTCCCTGGGCCCAGAAAGGAATTTGAGGCCCCCATGTGGACCCTCGAGTGCGTGCAGGGGACCGCGGCTTTTCCTGAAATCCGAGCGGCGCCAGGTAAGGAGAGGAGGCTCGGCTGCAGAGATGCCCCCGTGAAATATTAGGAGGGGTGGGGGCGACCGGGACGACCGGCTGGGGGCCTCGAGGCCGGAGAGCCCTTACAGCGTCCTGGAGGCCTCGACGGCGCAGTCGGCTTCACGGAGAATCACGTCAGCGACGTGGACGACAAACTTGGAAGCCTCCTTAGGGGGCAGGAGAAACCAGGCTAAAGGCGGACGACACGGGGCGGCCGTAGGCGCGACGGTGGGTGTGGAAGAGCGAGGCCGTGGGCCCAGGGCCGAAGTTAGACGCGAGCGAGCAGGGCCGAGGCCCCTTCCTGCCCGAGCCCGTGGGAGCCCCCCGTTTTGATAACTTGGGGGTAACGTGTGGAGAGCCCGGGAAGGGAGCAAAGCAGATGACGCGCGAGGACCAGGAGGGAAGCAGCGTCTCGCAGGCCGCCCAGCCAGGAGCAGCTCGGGCTTGGCCTCAGACGCCCGGCGTCGCCGTCGCCGCGGCCCGGCTCCCTTCCAGTCTCCACGGCCTCTCGCAGGACGACAGGGGGACTGCGACGGCAGGAAGGGGATGGGGGGAGGTGAGATGGGGTAAGAGGACGGTGAGACGGGGTAGGGCGGGGGTGAGACGGGGCTCGCGCAGCCCGTCCTCAGGACTGCAGGGGCCCCACGGATCGCCGCGCAAGGACCGGGCCAAGGACGGGGCCGGGGCCGGGCAGTGGGGGGCTCGAGCTCACTCCGACGGGCGCAGGGCTCTGGGGCAGCGGCCTTGCCCACCCCGTTCGGGCCGCGTCGAGCCAGCGTCTTGGCCCCCGGGGTGGAGAGACCCGGAGGGCGTCTGGGGCCCCGCGGCCGGCGCTCCAGGACGGTCGGGGTGGAGACGGGAACGGAAGCCGAGGGGCAGATTGAACCACCAGCAAAGTGTGTTCAGTGCAAGAAGAGGTTGCAGGGGAACCACCCGGGGAAGTGGACGGGGGGCGACGGGGGAGCTCGGAGCCCAATCGGAGGGGATCGGGGGTCCTGTTGCTGGCCGGGCCCCCCGCTGGCAGTTGCTTGACCCCCCACAAGGATCTCGTGTCCCAGGAAGGCCCAGGCCCCGCCCCACATCGTGGAAGGGCAGGCGGCCTACTGCAGGCCTCCCGCCAGGCCGTCCCCTGCCCGCGAGGGGAGCCTCGAGCCCTGCGCCCCCGAGGCCCTGACTCCTACGGGGACTCAGCGATCAGTCACCGGGACTCCAGGCTCCGCGTGCTCGCTCCCCTCCTGTCAGTAAGGACGGCCCCCTCCCCCCCCCACCAGGACAGGCTAATTGGCCCCGGACGCTCCGTGTTTGGAGATCGTGCGATTAGGCTAACGTACAAATTCAATTTCCGCTGCCCAGATTCAGTTCTGCTCTAATCAGAGCGATAGAAGCCTCCAGTGTGACGGCGACAGGGGTGACTCTTTTTCTGGCCGTTTCAGTGTGTCCCCCCGGCACTTCCCGGGACGCTGAGGCCTCTGGGCGAGCTCGGCTGGGCCGTGGGAAGACGGGTCTGGAGGAGCTTCGGGGTCCGGGCTGCTCCCCGCGGAGCCCGGGCAGGCCTCGGAGCGGTGCTCGGGCGAGCTTGGGACGCGACGGCCACTAGTGTGGGAGGGGGCGCCTCCCCCCCCCGCCCAGCGGGAGCCACCCTGCTCCGCACCCTGCCAGGCCTGGGGGCCCGGGGTGGGGGGGGGCCCCGGAGGCAGCATGCGGGGCTCGGGCGAGTCTGGGGCCAGGAGCGCCCCCAGTCTCCTTCCGGATTCGAGGGGCCGTGACCGCCGCCGCCGCCCTACTCATTCCCCTTGCTGAGCCGGAGGCTGCGGGGGCCCCGCTCCCCGGTCGTCTTTCCCGCCTCCAGCTGGCTTCAGGGAGGGCCGGCCCCTCGTTCCCACCCTGGGGGGGACCCGCACCTGGAGCAGCGTCCCTGCGGCCCGGCGTTGGCCTGGACAGTGGCCTCCCCCGGCGCTGGCCCTGGCGTCAGGGCTGCGGCTCCACGGCTGCGACCTGTGCACCGTCACAGAGAATTTGCGAATTTGGCACAATCCGCCCTGGCCAACCCCATTCCATTATTTGTTCCTGGACCGCGGGACCCCTGGCCGCGCTCTTGGGCTGCCCCATCTGAAGTGAAAACCCGGGAGGCCGAGGCGAGCACACTCCCTGCCTCTTCTGCTGCTGAATATTTATAAAGAGCTGCGTTTCGGCCCAGGAACACCCACGGTTTACTTGCTGTTCATTTGCGTCGTGAACTTTTTTTTAAATAGTAATTATCTGTAAAAGGTCAAATATTTGCTTTATCTATATAATTCAATTTCCCAAAGGCCTTTGGGATTCAAATTAACGCCCTTGTAATATCTTCATTGAAAAGGAAGATTAATTATGCTTACATGGAACCTAATTTGGCTTATCAGACCTTTAATATGGCTGTGATCGTGAATGCATTTAAATTTAGGATTAAGCGGGCGATCCCGGTCCCTTATTTGGGAGACTTTTAATATTTGTCATTATTTTTATGCATATCATTTCTCCCGCCTGCTCAGGAAAATTAAAATGTCGGTTCTGAAAGAAATAAACATTATGTATTGACATTGGTAATTATGTTTTGGTATTTAAGGACGCATAAAGAGCTGCACACGGGGCCTCAAATATAAATCTGCAGTTAATGCCTTCAGATGGAAACCGCAGCTCTTTTACCTGGGAACAGGCTGCCCCTGGGGTTGCTTCCTGGTGTCGTCAGGGGTGGCACCTCGGCCACTAAAATGACTTTTATTGGCCCTGAAGGATGCTCTCAGTTCCCCGGGTGAGTGGCCCCGGGAAGTCTCGGCTTTGGGTCAGGAGCCCCAGGCTCCCCTTCGTCCCTAACGTGCTGCGTGATCGTGGTCGTTACAGCCCCCCCGGCCCCCCCGAGCCCCAGGTCTGGCCTTGGACAGCAGCCCCCCGAGTGCTCTCTCACCCACTCTCAGCTGCTCGCTGGCGGGGGCTTGTCGGGGGGCTGCACCCTCCACCTGTCGGCACGGCTGCTCCCTACAGGCTTTGACCCCGAAGGAGGCCCCCGGCTCCCTGAGGTGCCAGGGGACGTGAGCCGGAGGGGGGCTTCGTGTGGGTCACTCACCGTCCCAGATCCTGGCAGCTCTCACCCAAACTCGGTGGCTTCAGGGAAGAGGTGTCGGTTCCTTTCCAGGCCCCCCGGTGTGGGCCGTGCCGTTGTGCCGCCCGGGCTGGAGCGGCTGGTCTTGGCTGGGCTCGTCCCCCTCGGAGCGGCTGGCCGCCGGCCGGGGGGCTCGCGGGTGTGGCCAGGCCTGGGGGGCTCCACGCACTGGCTCCCTCTCCGGTCCGACTCCCCCAGGCGTGTCGTCGCCGCAGGACGGGAGCCGGAGGGCGGGGGCAGAGGTGTGCAAACGCGCGTCCGGGCTCCTCCCTGCACCGGGGTTGCTAGTGTCCCACGGGCCCCTGCTAGAGGCCGGGGCGGGCACGGGGCCGGTGACGCGTCAGTGTCCCACAGGCGACGGCCTGGCCCTGCCACTCGCCAGCTCCGGGACCGGAGGGCACAGGGCCCGACACCCCCAGCCTCAGCCCCTGCCCCCGTCGAGTCGGGCAGAGACCGCCGAGGTTTGAGTGAGAGCAACGCGCCCTGAGTATCAGTTCGGGTCCCCGGCGCCCAGGAAGGCGGCGACCGAAGGTTCAGGGATAAACGTCCAAAGAGGAGCCGGTGGGCCTGTTTATAAGAACGGAAAACCAGAAAGAAAACGACGGAAACGTCCATCAGGTGCCTCGTTAGGTAAATCAAGGCACGGGCACGTAATAAAACGCTTTTCAGCCCTTAGGCCAACGGATCAACCGAGCGGCATGGAGGGGTGTCCAGGGCAGATTGTTGAGTGCAGAAAAGCAAATTTCAGCACAACTTACAGAGTATGATACTCCTGGGTGTGCGTGTGCGTGCGCGTGCGCGTGTGGGTTTATTCCTGTTTATAGGGAAACGGTGTCTGGAAAGCTACGCCCCAAACTGTAAGTAGCAGCACTCAGTCCTTCTCGATTGTTTGAATCTTTTTTTTTATTTTAAAGATCACATTTATTTATCCGTGAGAGACACACAGAGACACAGAGAGGCAGAGACACGGGCAGAGGGAGAAGCAGGCTCCACGCAGGGAGCCCGACGTGGGACCCGATCCCAGGACCCCGGGGTCACGCCCTGGGCCCAAGGCAGACGCTCAACCCCTGAGCCCCCCAGGGGCCCCTATTGTCTGAATCTTTACGATGAACATACATTACTTGTGAAATAAAAAAAAGAAAAAAAACAGAAAAAAGTTTTAGGCAAAGAGCTTAAAAATGATGGCTTTTGGGTTGTAAGTCACCTGGAGAACTTGCTGAAAACCTGTAAAAACGATACAAAGTACAAACTGGCGTAAAGGCGACGACGGCCACTGTGTATTGAGGACTCGCTATGCGCTCGGTACCCACAGCCTCCGTCTACCAGAGCCGGACGGTTGGCGGCGTCCCCATCTCCCAGGAGAGGACACTGAGGCCCCGAGTCGAGAAGCTCCCCAGCGTCGGCCTGCACCGCCTCGGCTCCTCGGGCCCTGCGCTTGCCCTGCGGGGTGTGGGGCACACAGGGTCCCCGTGCCCGGCCGCCCGCCGGGGGGCCAGGGGTCTCCGGCCCAGGTGCCAGGGCCCCGCCCCGCAGCCGAGCCAGCAGGTCTAAGAGGAGACCCGGGAATCTGTATTTCATTACGGGCTCCTGCGGCGGGCAGCCTGGGGTGAGGGTCTGCTGCCCTAAGTCCTTTTATCCTTGTCCAGTGGGTCGTGGGATGGTCACCCCATCCGGAGAACTAACCAAAATGTAGACTGTGGCCACCGTCGGCATTTGACAGATAAGGAAACTGAGGCACAGGGGGAGGACGTCGCTGCTCAGGGCCCTGGAACTATTAGTGGGACGGCAGCGTCGGCCTGGCCCCGAGCCTCCGCCGCCGTCCAGTGCCCAGGGGGTGGCCTGGCGAGGCCCTCGGGGGTGACAGGGAGGGGGGACAGTCCTGAAGAGCCAGAGGCCACCCTCGCTAGTGGCAGCCAGCGGCCTCCACCCCGTGACCCCGACCTCTGGGGGTGTCCCCTCGGCCGTTCCCTCCCAGGCGCTTCGGACGCTGCCGCCGCGGGGAGCTGTGGCCGGACTGACACCGTGGTCCCTGCGCGCTGGGGGAGCCCCCGCCCCGGCGACCCCCAGGATCCAGCCCAATGCAGTGGGGCGAGGAGCGGGCCCTGGGGCGCCTGAGTGGCCCCGTCCTGTAAGCGTCCGGCTCCCGGGTTCGGCTCAGGTCGTGACCCCGGGGTCCTGGGTTCGAGCCCCGCGTCGGGGCCCACGTGCAGTGTGGCGTCCGCTCCGGGCCCTCTGCCCCTCGGCCCTTCCTGCTCGTGCTCTCGCTCCTTGTCTCTAAAATAAGGTGATATTTCTTAACAAAAGAAAAGCAATGGGCCCGGGGGGGGGGCGGGGGGGGCTGGTGTCCCGGCCTCCCAGCTGCGGGGACCCGGGGGTCTTACCCTCTCCTCGTTTTCACTTCGCTGCTCCTCGACCTTTACGAGCGACGTCAAGGCAGGAGGTTCGCGTGGGCAACGGCGAGAGGCGGTGGTCCGCAGAGCTCGGCGCCCTGATGTCAGCCCCTGTGCCCCCTGCCCCCCACCCTTGTCCCGCGCAGGCTCCTGGGATCTGTTCTCAGCTCTTGCATTTTGTTTCATTTTTTGTGTTTTGTTATTTTTTGTGGCAGCTGTGATGGGACGGACACACACCGCAACGAATGACCTACACCCAGGGCCGCCGGGGGCTCAGCGGTGGGGCGTCCGCCACGGGCTCAGGGCGTGACCCCGGGGTCCCGGGATCGAGTCCTGCATCGGGCTCCCCTGCAGGGAGCCTGCTTCTCCCTCTTCCTGGGTCTCTGCCTCTCTCTGTGTGTGTCTCGTAAATAAATAAATTAAAAATCTTAAAAAAAAAAAAAAGAGGGATCCCTGGGTGGCGCAGCGGTTTGGCGCCTGCCTTTGGCCCAGGGCGTGATCCTGGAGACCCGGGATCGAATCCCACGTGCATGGGGCCTGCTTCTCCCTCTGCCTGTGTCTTTGCCTCTCTCTCTCTCTCTCTCTCTCTCTGTGACTATCGTAAAAAAAAAAAAAAAAAAAAAAAAGACACCCAGGCCGACACCCGCCCCCGAGGCGCGGCCCGCGGCATCCCGCAGCTGCGCCGTGCGCTCCCCATCCGCATTCGAACATGTTCGTTTTGGGGAAGCCAACGGTGTGGGCCTCGCCCGGCCGGGCCGTCCGTGCACCCTGCGTGCAAGCGGCGCCTGGCGCCTGTGCTCGTCTCCCCGGGCGTGTGCAGTGGCTTCAAGCCTCACCCGCGGGCCCGTGCGTCCCCCGTGGGGGCCGAGTAATACGCCGGGGTTCCGCTCGGTGCAGAAACAGACCATCGTTCGCTTCGTTTTAGGAACATCGTCCTCTCCCCGCTCCCCAGGGCCTTACGGGCGCCAACGCTCAGCACGGCCGGGGTAAGGGCCGTGAGCGGAGACGGCGCGCGAGGAGGTTTCCTTAGAGAAAGATCACGCGGTGGGGGCGTGACGCCGCAGGAGCCTCGAGGCCGCTCGTGTCGGAACTGCCAAGGGGAGAAAGCGCCTCGACCCAGAACCCGGGCTCCGGCGAGATCGGTCCGGGCAGTGCTCCCGGCGGCGTGGCCCTGCGGTTCCCGGTCCTGGCCCCAGAAGCCCCCCGCGGCCTACCCGCGAGCAGCTCTACGATGCCGATGCCGTGTTCCGTGAACCTTGTACTTTGGTTCAATGAAGCCGGAGGGCCACGGTGAGGTTTGGCTCTGAGCTCCCCAGCAGCCAAAGCAAAGAGGGAAAGAAGCATCTACAGCTTCTTCGCTGTTGCCCAGAGAAGTCCTAGCGCTTTATTTTAAGATTTTATTTATTTGACAGAGAGCGAGAGCGAGAGCACAAGCAGGGGGCAGCGGGTGGAGGGAGGCGAACACGGGTCTTGATCCTCAGGGGTGGCCACAGGAGCGGAGGGCGGGTCCTCCCGGCAGAGCCCCGGGCGCCCTGAGAACTGGGACAGGGCCTGCCCTCCTGAGTGTCGGGGAGACGCTGCTCCCTGCTGCACGCGCGACACCGTCCGGGTCACCGCCTGGGGCCACGCTGCCACTCCCCACTGCTGGCCGTCATGCCCCCGCCCCCGGGCAGGCGGAGCGGTGCCCCTGAGGGCAGGGGTGCAGGGGCGGGAGGGCTGGAGCCGGCGGCTCCCCGTGTTTGCAGAGCCTGTGGGCTGGGCGGGCTGCCCCGCGGGGAGGGACGGGCACCTCCTGCTCGGCCTCGGACACGTGGGCCACCGCGGCGGGGGGTGGGGGGGTCACTGCTGCCCAGCCCTGGAGCTGCGCGACACGGTGGGCGGCCTCGGCTCTGGCTGAGCAGGGCCGGGCTCCTGGTCTCCACACCCCACGGCCCAGCATGTGGCCCCAACCAGCTTCCCTGTTGCTGGGCCTCAGCGTCTCCCGGGACACTGGGATGACGTCCTCTGTCCGCTGCAACAAGGGGTGATGTGCAGGTGCCGCGGGCTGCATGAGCACCCAGTCCTCTGCGTCCCCGTCCTCCGCGTCCCCCGTCCTCCCGCCTCCCCAGGCTGTGCTCTCCGCTCGGCTCCCGCCCCTCCTCCCCTCGCTCAGCGCTCCCTTCCCATTTCTGGGTTAGGGCACAGATGCCACCTCCTCCAGGAGGACGTCCCTGATGGCCCACCCCGCTGCCCCCCCCCCCCAGGCACCTCCACCGCCGGCGTGAGGGCAGCTCGGCCTGACTCCCCGAGGCCTGCGGGAAGCCGAGCGGCTGCAGTGGAGCAGGGCCCGGGCCAGGGCGGGGCTGGAAGGCTGGCACCTCCGTGGGCGGAGAGAGGCCGGCGGCGCGGGCCTGTGTCGGCTCCCCGGGGCTGGGGGCCCCCGCTGTCCTCGGGGCGGGCACCCCGCGCTCGCACAGCCCACCCGCTGTTGCGTCGGGTGGGGCGGGCCGTGGTGGGACTTGGCAGGTGAGGAAAGCGCCGCCCGGCAGCCTGTGTCCGAGCCCCAGGGAGCGGGAGAGGACGGCACTGCACCCCGGGTCCGAGCCGCGTCGTGGGGAGCCCCACCGTGCGGGTCCTGCGTGGGGAGGCGGAGGTACCATCGGGGGAAAGCGGCAGAGGGCGCGGGGGCGGGATGGGGAGTTCAGGGCGCTGACGTGGCCCCAGGTGCCCAGGGTGGGCCCACACACCTGGCCCGGGCCGAGCTCCCCATGAAGGCACCGACAGGCACCCGGGGCACCTTCCTGAGAGCAGGCTGGTGGGAGCCACAGGGTGGGGGGACACGGCCTGGCGGGGTCTGCTGGGTGGGGAAGGCCGGATGGGGACCGCGGGGGGGACGGTTGGGTGGGGACGGTCAGGAGGGGACCAGTGCTCAAGCCCCTGACCTGCACCCACTGCGGCGTGAACCCTGTGGCCTGGGAACTCGGGGGATGCAGGAAGGTGGGGGGTGGTAGGGAGCTGCACCCCAGGACCTGCCCCCGTGGGCGCCCGGCCTTCAGCTCCGGTCCCCAGCTGCCCGGCCCTACGCCCACCTGTCACCGCCCCCTCCTGCCTGCGACACCCACAGTGCTAGGAGCCCCGCCGCACCCATCAGGGCCCGGGGTGCAGGGCACACGCTCCTCTGTCCCCTGCTCCGGGCCCTGCACCTGCCCGTCGCGCCCTGGGCTCAGGGGTGCCCCTCTGGCGTTTTGGGGAGCACATGGGTCAGCGACCCCCACTCACTGGTGCAGAGAGAGCTGCATGCGGCCCTGGGGAGGGACTGTGCTGGCGCCGTGAGCCCGGTGACACCGACACCGACACCGGCACTGACACCGGGGACACCGAGTCACACGCTGGAGCTCGGGCGGGAAGGGGCGACGCGGGTTGGAGGCCACGTGGGCTGTGCGAGCCTGAGGGTACCTGCGGCTCCCGTGCGTGCAGCTCCACGTGGGGCCCTCGCCAGGCCCGTGGGGTGTCCCCTGGGGTGCCCAGCCCCACCCCGCCTCCCCCCGCCCGTGTCCGTCCCCGTCCCCCCCCGTCCCCCCACCGCTCTTCCTTCTGCGCCCTGCTGGGCAGGTGCGAGCCTGGCCGCGTCCCTTCCGCGCTCAGGACGGGCAGGGCTGCCGCTGTGCGCACCGGGTCTGGCCCCCGGCCCTCGCCCCGCTGACCCCGGGTCCGCCTCGCCCGTGGGGTCTGCCCCGCCGGGGGTCGCCGCCTTCGGGGGCCTTCCCTGGGCTTCAGGATCCGGCCGCGCACCCCACTGTGTGCCCCCCTCTGGCCCAGCCCCGCAGCCCCCACTGCGCCCTCGGCGTCCTGGGCACTTGGCACCGTAGCCCCAGGTTCCAGGCCCGACCCGACCCCGCGGCCCCGTCTTCCCCGGCGCCTGTGCCCCACGAGCTCCTGCTGGGAGGCGGCCACGGTGTGGGGTGACCTGCCCGGCCCTGCCGAGCCCCCCCCCCGCATCCTACAGGCCCCACCGGCCGCAGTCGGGACCCCTCTTCTCTAGGTGAGAAAATGCGGGCACGGAGCGGGCGCGGGCGGCCACCACCCTGGGCGGGCACAGGAGCAGGTGCCGCGTCCGCTGGGAGCCAAGCAGAGGGCCGGCGTGGGCGGCGGGCGCCTGGGGACTCGGTCAGCCGGGGAGGCCGGGAGGCTTCTGGGGGGCACAGCGGAGCCAGGGCCTGATCCCAGGCTCCCCACCTCCCCGGGGCACCTGCACCCTCAGGCACCCCGCTAGGCCTCTGAGGCCGGGAGGGGCGAGGCTGCACTGCGGGGAGGGTGGGGGGTGGGCTGTGGGGATCCCTGAGCCGCATCTGGGGGACAGTGAGGGGCTGCGGTGGGGGTGCCGGGGAGCCGCCACGGAGCAGAGGGCAGGGCCCCTCCCTCGTCCCCTGTGTGACCTTGGCTGGCTGCAGGCGGCAGGCAGGTTTGCCAGTGGTGTCACCGGGAGGTGGCTGCGGTGGGTGCACCGTCCTCCATCCTCCATCCTCCGCCCTGTCCTCCAGGAGGGCCAGGGGCGCGCCCCGGGGTCCTGTAGGGAGGGGGGGGTGGCTGGAGCCGCCGCCGGGACTTCCACAGGGGGTCAGTGTAACATTAAAGTTCCTGCACCGCTGCCCTGGCGGCGAGGCCCCGCGGAATCTGGAATCCGTGGGCAGGTTGGGTTTGGAGCCCCCCCCCCCCCCCCCCGTCAGGTGCGCGGCCAGGTGCGCGGCCAGGTGCACTGGGGCCAGAGCCGCTTCAGACCCACCTTGTTGGTTGGTTTCCTTTTTGGGTTGGGCTTTGGGGGCGCAGGGGAACTTACTGAGAAAGTGGCTCCCCGTGACTCACTGGGGCGCCCTCCTGTCCCCCCTCGAGGCCACCGGCGCAGCCCCTTGTCGGAACGGCCTCCGCCGGCTGCTCTCACGTGCGAGGGGGGGGTGACCCCCAGGGCGACGCCAGGGCCCCCGGGAGCCCCAGGACGACCGTCCTCTCCCATGAGCCCGCGCGGTGTGACTTTCTGCTTCGTGGCCGTGGAGCAACTGAGACCCGAGAGGGGTCCGATGGGCCCCGGTCCTTGGGGCGTGGGCGGGGCCGCCAGGTGGACTCTGGGTGGGCTCCCCCCAAGGGGCCTGTGACTTCCGTGGGACCAGCCCGGGGGGATGCCATCGGCCAGAACTGTGAACTGTGGGACTTTGTCGCGGGGGCTCGGCGTCCCCCCACGGTCCCGGCCAACCTGGGGGCAGTGGTCTCGGGAGTCACAGGTGGGAGGCCCCAGCGGGAAGCTCAGGGGCCCTCGGCCTGCAGGTGGAGGTCCGGGCCCGGGCTGGGGCCTCCGCACTCTGCCAGCGCGCCCCAAACTCCAGCGAACGCCAGAAACTCTTCAGCTTTTACGAAACGTCAGTCCCTGAACCCCGCTTCCGGGGACCCCGACACCGGGGGTTGGGGGCGGGACCTTTGTAAACAGACTCCCCCAAGGCATTGCGGGCACCTTGTGGTCGGGGGCCCGTGGCCACGTGGGGAGCCCGTGACTATGGGAGAGCCCGTGACCGTGGAGGGAGCCCCGTGACCGTGGAGGGAGCCCCGTGACCATGGGGGAGCCCCGTGACCATGGGGGGAGCCCCATGACTGCATGGGGAACTCCGTGGCCTCGTGGGGAGCCCCGTGGCCTCAGCAGTGCCTCCCACTCCGTGAGGCGTGGACGCACCGAATGCGCATCGGTGGGGTGCCCGGCCCGGGCGCGAGTGGGCGGCTGTCGTGCGGCCGAGGGCCGAGAGGCTCCCTGTGAGCCGCCTCCCGCTGCTGCTGGGGACGGGGACGCCGCTCTCGTCCCGGGCCGTGGCTGACCCCCCCCACACCGGGGCACACCGGCTGCCAGGTCTACAGCATCCTCCTGGCCGTCCCCTCCCAGGGGACACGCGGCTGCTCAGCCCTTCCCCGTGTCCCGCGTGTCACAGGTGGGGTGTCCCGGAAGGGGAGGACGGGGTGTCCCCAGGCCCGGGGGGGTCCCCACAGACCCGCGGCCCTAGCCTCGCCCCTGATGTCCCAGGGTTGGGGGGAGGGAAGGGCGAGCGCTCAGGGAACCCAGGTGACCGGGCTGGTGGCCCCGCGTCTCTCCCGCGCCTTCTCCGGAGGGTTTCCGCTCCCTCCTGAACCCCGCCTGCCTCCCGAGCTCCCTAAGTATTTTTAATTAGGTTTCCCGAGCAAAAGGAAGTTTCCAAAGTTAATTAAAAGTCGTCTCACTGAAATTGCGTAAAGGCAGATTTTGCTTCTGAAAAATTAAATTCTGGTAATTAAACTCCTGTCTCCAGGTAAGGATTGCGGTGGGCTCTATTCATGCACCAGGAGAACCTGGGGGAGGGTCAGGCTCCCACCGCCGGGCACCGCCCACCTGCCGCCGCTCGCCGTGTCCCCCGCGCCCCCTGGAGGCGTCAGGCCGAGGCCGGGACCGCAGGGGCGTGAAATGCAGGCGTCGAGCTCGCCCGGGTTGTGGGCGCAGCGCGGGTTCCATCCTACTCACGCCTGTCACCTCCCTTCCTGTCGCCCCCTTTCCGCCACGTGACCTCGAGCCACTGACCGGAGGTACCGGCCGTGTGTGACCTCACGGAGGAGACGCGGAGAGCCGGCCTGGTCGCCCTGGGAGACAGAGGCCGCCCCGGGACCCCACCTGTGGCACAGGCCGCAGCCGCCCCGAGGTCTCCCGTGAGTGACGTCATCACCCTGCAAGTGTCCCCCACTCGTCAGGGCGGCCAAGGACGAGGGGCCAAGGACGAGGGGCCCCGCGGCGGTGGGTGGTCGTCCCGTGAGCCCCGAGGCCCCGGCTCTGCCAACCCCGGGCAGGTGCCTGTGACCAAACCCATGCCAGGGCGTCCCCTGAAAAAGACATCGGTGCCCGTGCAGTTCCCCACGACTCCTAGGAGTGCCGGGGCTGAGACGCGGTGACCCACTGCTCGCGACGCCCGCACGCCCCGCGCCCCGCTGACCCTGAGGCTGTTTTCTGGTTTGTCGCTGGGTTTTGTTTCTTTCTTTGTTCTGGGTCTTAAATTCCAAATACGAGCTAAGTTGTGGGGACCCGAGTGCCCGGGTCCAGGCCGGTGGGGACCCGAGTGCCCGAGCCCAGGCCGGTGGGGACCCGGTGCTTGTGGAACGGGCCGCTGCGCTGCGGAGGTCCCCTGGGTGCGGAGCCGAAGCCCAGCTCCCTGTACTGGCCGAGCCCGGCCGTGGCCGAGCCCCCCGCCCCCCCACCATGTCTCTGGGCTTCGGTGTTTCACGTGGATCCAGGAAGCAGCCCCGGGGGTCCCTGGTCGTCCCCCACATCGGGCCGGGGCTGGGGACGGATTCCCGCCCTCCTGCAGGGGAGGGTGAGGAGGGCGAGGCTCCGCCCGTGGCCGTGGGGAGGCGCCTGGGAGGACCTGGGCCCTGGGCCCCACGGACGCGTCGGGTTCCGGCCGCGGACAGACGGCGACAGGCGCTGGGAGGGTGCTCAGGGCGCTCGGGCTGCTCAGGGCCGGCTCGGGAGGTGAACCCGGGGCTGGAGGTCCCGGGGGGGGGGCGAGTCTGCGTGGGGCGCACCTGTTCCCGGGGCGCTCAGGGCCTGACGGCGCCCCGCTGTGCCAACGGGGAAGGCTCCCCCCAAACACAGATTTTGTCCGAAGGTGCACAGCCTGGGAAGACGCTGTGCTCCGTGGGAGCGGCCGCCCCCTCCCTCCCACGTTCCCTCCTGCTCCCGCCCTCTCTGCTTTCTCCTCTCTCCCAAGGTGTGGGGGGGAGGGAAGGGGTCGCAGGTCAGACCTCACAGCGTCACCCTCGGAGCCACCTGTGACCTGGCGTCATGGCCCAGCCTCGGGATGCTGGGGGCTGCGGGTGGGACTGGGTGGGGGGCCGGGCGCGCCTGGAGCGGTGAGGGGGGCTGTGGCCTCGCTCCCACAGCTCCCAATCCTCCAGCTGCCCCAAGGCCCCCCTTTAAGCCACGGCCTCCTCCCCCCACCCTCCCCACCCGTGGCTTTGGCAGAGGCCGCTGCCGGGACCCCTTTTAAAAACTCCTTTCGATGTGACCCCCTCGCCCTGGGAGCTCCTGCTCCTGCTCCTGCTCCTGCTCCTGCTCCTGCGTGGGGCCGAGCTGCAGGGGCGGCGGCACCACGTGGGGCCTGACCCCTCTCAGCTCCCGGTCGGTCGGTCTCGCTGGGGCGGGAGAAATGGTCCCTGCTGACAGGAGGCTGACGGGGAGGGGACGGAAGGGACCCGGGACACCAGAGGCGAGTGTAGTAAAGGTGGGAGGGGGCGGTAGGTGCTGAGTATGTGGGGTCTGCTGGGCCGTGACCCTACCAGGCCGCAGCCCCCACGGTCCTTCCTCGGCCCCAGCCCCCTGCCCAAAGCCTCTCGGGGGCTCCCGAAGACCCCGTGCACCTGTCAGCCCCTCGGGGGCGGGGTTGGCAGGACGAGCCCCAGCCCCTTAGCTCTGCCCTCCGTGTTCTTCAGCTCCCGGGGACCCCGTGTCTCCGTCACCTCTATCCCTGCCCCGTCCCCGAGCTGCAGACACCCCAGCCCCCCAGCACCTGACCATCCCGGTGCCTGAGCATCCCCGGGTGCCGTCAAGCACGCAGGATGCCCCTTGCTTCCTTCTGAGCCTCCGAACCCCTCCTCGTCCTCCTCCAACCTCATCCGTTGGGTGAAGCACCCCCGTCCCTGGCACTCGGGGCGCCTCGGCCGCGGGTGGGTGCCCTGGGCAGGGAGGGACGCGGTGAAACGCGAGGGCTGAGTGTGCTCCGTGCCGCGTCGGCTGCGTGACTCTGGGCAAGTTCCTAACCTCACTGAGCCTCACGTGGGCACGAGGACTGTGTCCCCCCAGGGCTGTGGACCCCGTGTGCGGGGAGAGGCTTAGCTGGTGCCCGGAGCTCGCACGGAGGGACGGGAGCTGCTGTTACGCCACAGGCCGCGGCGGCTGCACTTTCTGCCTTTGCCTTCCCTTGGGCCTCGGCTCCGGGGTCCCTTGCCCTGGGGCAGCGGGTTAGCGACCCCTTGCCTGGGCACGACCCTGCGGAGGCCACGCTCGCGCGGCGGAGGCGAGGTGCTGATGTGCCGCCTCAGGTCCAGGGGAGGCCCGTGGCCGTCTCCGCTCCCAGCCCAGGGCCCGTGGGCACCGCGACCCCGATGTGCCTTCCTCGGACGCTCGGTCCCAAGAGCGGTCTTGCAGGGGTGGGGGGTCGGACCTCGAGCCCCGGGCCCCCCTCCTGCTGTCATAGCGCCTCCGGCTTCCCAGGGTCTGGGCTCCTGCTCCATGGCCATGCGGGTGGGGGCCTCCCGGGGCTCAGCTAAGGGCCGCAGCGCTTCCTGGAGGGCGTGTGGGTAAGTGTCCCCTCCCTGCGCTGAGCTTGCCTGGGGGGACAACTGAGGTCCAGCTGCTGCTGCTTGTGGCGCTAAGAGCAGCCGGGTGGGGGCGAGGGTGAGGGTGGGGGTGTGGGTGGGGGGGGGGCGGGGTGGGGGTGGGGGGAGGGTGGGGGTGGGAGTGGGGTGAGGGTGGAGGGAGGGTGGGGGGGGGGGTGAGGGGGGGGGGGGGGTGAGGGTGGGGTGGGGGGGGGGGTGAGGGTGGGGGGGGGGTGGGGGTGGGGGGGGGGGGGGGTGGGGGGGGGTGGGGGGGGGGTGGGGGGAGGGTGGGGGTGAGGGGTGCCGGGCTGCGGTGGGTGGAGTCTGTGTCCAGGTGGGATGAGGAGGACACGGCACAGGCGTCTTGCCACGTGGGCCGGGAGGGGGCGGCCTGGGGGGAGGACGCGCGGGGAGGTGCACAGTTCATGCCTTCGTTCAGTTCAGTTATTCACTGTTCGCGTCTAGGGCAGTTTGCTCTCCACCCGTCCTCTGCCGCTCCATTCCCTCCCTCCCTCTGTCCCTCCCCCTCCCTCGCCCGCCCTCCCCCTCTCCCTCCCCTCCTCCACCCCTGTGTCCCTCCCTCCCTCCCTCCCTCCCTCCCCCCATAGCACCAGTTGAAGGTAGGGAATGTCACCC